AGGTAAGACGATCAAACTGGGCCATCCGGGAGTGGGGGAGGAGAGGGGAAAGGGAGGCGGAGCTTGGGGTATGAAGTTCTTCGATTTGAGGGTCAACGTCCGGCAGAGCTCTACTCCGCAAGCGAACGGGGAGGAGAGTGGGATTTCAAATGAACTATTGTATGGCGGTTGATCACTTTTCCTGGCGCCTTTCATTCTGCCTCCTGATCGACTCAGGGTTTGGAAAGGGGAGCTCGGTAATTGCTGACGAATCAGTCTATCATCACTGCCTTTCTTGGCTTGTCAGGATACTAGTTACTAGTTCCTATTTTTACATGGATGTCAAGTGCAGATCATGGAAAGGCAGCAACAATTCTCTCGAGACAAGAAAAAAACGGGGAAGAAAATAGAAAGTGACAGGCAAGATAAGGCCTGTACGCATCATCCATAGTTCATCATTTCAAATGCTGAAACACAATTGGGTTATGCTGTCGGATAGTCGCATTATTGAGGTCAAATTACGTCGGTTGCCCAATAGTCAGATATCTTTGCCAAGAACCTCCTGCCAAGGCTCGAGACTCTTTCCATTCCTCATTGCGTCTGACTCTTCAACTGACGGTTTGTCTCTGTCATCTTGCATTCTTGTACAACACGGTGTTTGACCCTCCGTGGCTGGTCGTTGGACGATCAGTGTCATTCGTGTATCATCTTCATTCTCGAAGTATAGAGGCGGGAAAGCGGTTCTTCATTCCTCCTCTGTATACAGAATACAGAATACAGAATAGGAAGAGAGAGAGGGCAAGTGGAATTCCTCAATTAAATGAATAGATCACATTCGCCCAACGTGCTTGTGCTTGTTATCTATAGGAATGATTAATTATCTTTCTAGACATTATCTAACACTCCTAAACTTTAAACTCTAAATGCGCTCCCCTTTTTTCGTTACTATAATTTTAGCGTCGAGCTCTTATCTTTCGTCCTTCCTTTTCCACAAATTTCGTGCACCATAGCCACCGTGAGCTTGGCAGCGGACCTCCCGTCGGTGATGTGCTGTCGATCTTGGTCTTGGCCCTCGCAGTCCTTGGGCGAGACGCTGTTCGATGAAGCCTACCGCCGCGCACGTTGAGAATCTTCTTCTTCCCAGACCTTCCGTGACATTAAAGGTGCCTGATTCGGTGATCGAATGGCCCAATGGCCATGATGGGATCCACTTACTATGCAGGAATTGTGGCGAGTCTCGCCACCTTTTTGTATTTTTATTTTATTTTGTTTTTGTTTTCGCGCTGTGTCTTAGCAAAGAATCCCTGTAATTCGGGCCGAAAAGGACGGGCTTCGGCTTGTCTGGGAGGAAAACGCATGAGAAGCCGACGGTGTCAGACAAGCCGTTAAGTTCGTGTTCGGCTGGGAAATCAAAGGATAATAGATCCTATCTCAACCGAGATGGGAAATCGATATCATAAACGGTTAACTAGATGGAGAACTGTATGGAGTTTTAATTATGGGAAACAAATTTTTTGAAAAAAAAAATAAAAAAAAAAAAAACGTCTGCCTTATGAATAGTAGCATAGAGTGTAGGGGAGATGGTGACACTTGCTAAACCATTGCACTGACACAGCCGACAAGCCTACGGAGTGGATCGGAGAGTGTTTTACAATGGGTCTTTTTCCTTTTCCTTTTCTTTTTTCTTTATTTTTTTTTTTTCGCCTTGAGCGGATAAGAATGATTTTATGCCTGGTGATATCAAATCAACTGGGTCGTGCATGCATTGCATAGTCGTTGACATTGTTGGAACTTGTTTCTACGCCGCCGACCCACCGGAACTACATAGTATATCCTCTCCTGGCCTTGGCGGATCAAAGTGAAGACGCTATCCACCGAAGATCATGAACCATTCTGGCCTTTCTCTCTACTTCCCCTGGTCATCGCTGACTTGAGTTCAATGCCGAGCCCTTGCGCCATGGTCTCTCTGCCCCTTTGCAATAATGCGATGGGCCCCTGATATGCGCCAAACATGAGCTCTTCCTATTCCTTCCGGCCCGCAGTGGGCTCTGTATCCCTTTTCTGGGACGACAAGAGTTTAGGAAAGCGGGTTTCGTCATCTCTAAGCCAACCAGCTTGATATGTATCTGGTTTCTGTTTCTTGGCCCTGCATTCCTCAGTATCGACTATAGGCGCCGATGAACATCAGCCTGAAGTCAATGATGCCCTATCATCCGCGACATGTGTAGAGGATGCCAGCACGGTTCTTATATCTAGACCGTCCCACAGCTGTAGCATCTGGCTCGATGTATCTCTGTTCTGGTCCATTGACTGCTTTCCACGCTTTTCCGAGCGTTGTCCCGTTTTTTTAATCCATTCACTTTCTTTTTTTGTCCAGCTGCATTGCATTGCATTGCATGCCTTCATACTTTCATTGATCTTGGTTTAGCCTGAAGCGTCTGATCCTTTCGTGATTTTACCTGCAGTAGTTCTTTGGTCGTTCTTTGGGTTCCTTGCACTCATTTTCCTATCATACATCAAGATATAAGTGTGTGTGATTTCCTCATCAGGCACAGTTGAAGATCACTGCCACACAGTCTGTCGTATACAATACTATCTCTCTTGATTCCTTTCTCTTATCTTCTCTTGCCTTTCTCAGTGTCACACCACTCTACCTCTTCCTAGGGTCGTGCCACTGCCTATCTCGTTCTTTATCGTACCACTCCACTATAGTCTCTTCCTTTGTCTTATAAGCTTCGCGCCAAGGGCACAATGTTCAACAACAACAACGAACACTTCATACCACCGGGTTCCTCCCATTCAGATGTCGAAATGCTAGCACCTCAGAAGTTCGAGGATGAGAAGCAGCTGGGCCCGGTGGGTATCCGGGAGAGGCTTCGTCATTTCACTTGGGCCTGGTACACGTTAACGATGAGTGGAGGAGGTCTGGCCGTCCTCATCATCAGCCAGCCCTTTGGGTTCCGCGGATTGAGAGAGATCGGCATCGCAGTTTACATCCTCAATCTGATCTTCTTCGCCCTTGTCTGCTCGATCATGGCTACAAGGTTCATCCTGCACGGTAACCTTCTCGAGTCCCTCCGCCATGACCGTGAGGGTCTCTTCTTCCCGACCTTCTGGCTCTCCGTCGCAACCATCATCTGCGGCTTGTCTAAATACTTTGGTGAAGAACCCAGTGAATCCTTCCAACTAGCCCTCGAGGCCCTCTTCTGGATCTACTGTGCCTGCACCTTGCTCGTCGCCATCATACAATACTCATTCGTCTTCTCATCCCACAAGTATGGCCTTCAAACCATGATGCCTTCATGGATCCTTCCAGCCTTCCCCATCATGCTCAGTGGCACAATTGCCTCCGTCATCGGTGAACAACAGCCCGCTCGTGCGGCCCTCCCCATCATCGGCGCCGGTGTCACCTTCCAAGGCCTCGGCTTCTCCATCAGCTTCATGATGTACGCCCACTACATCGGCCGACTGATGGAGTCCGGTCTGCCCCACAGTGACCACAGACCAGGCATGTTCATCTGCGTTGGACCCCCAGCCTTCACAGCCCTCGCCCTCGTCGGCATGACCAAAGGCCTCCCCGAAGACTTCAAGCTGCTCCACGATGCCCACGCCCTGGAAGACGGACGCATCATCGAGCTGCTGGCCATCTCAGCCGGCGTCTTCCTCTGGGCCCTGAGCCTCTGGTTCTTCTGCATCGCCATTGTCGCCGTCATCCGCTCGCCCCCGAAGGCCTTCCATCTCAATTGGTGGGCCATGGTCTTCCCAAACACCGGCTTCACCCTGGCCACCATCACCCTGGGCAAGGCGCTCAACAGTGACGGCGTGAAAGGTGTGGGGTCGGCCATGTCCATCTGCATCGTGTGCATGTACATCTTCGTCCTCATCAACAACGTCCGCGCCGTCATCCGCAAGGACATCATGTACCCGGGCAAAGATGAGGATGTGTCTGACTAGACCACCACCACCACCACCCTCCATTCTCCCCCCCCTACCCATACAGCCATATCTACATGTCCATACATTTTACACACAGTTCCTCATACTCCCTTCACTCCAACCCATCTCTCCAGTTTAGACGTTACTTCCATTCATCAGCCTCCCCCTTTCATATACCCCTTCACCATCATGTCTTTGTCCATTGCTACCTGGCATCCCACGGCGTTTGTTTATTCGGTATATATATAACGTTGCGTTCACGGTCATGCTAGCACTCTGTTTCTATTTTTTGTCTCTGTTGTTGTTTGCGTCTTTCCCTTTCCTGTCTTTCCCACATTTCCCTCCTGGCATCATCTTTCCCCTTCCCCATAGACAAAGAGATAGAAGTCATAGATTTAGAAGGAAACAAGTCTCATTATACGTTCCAAATCCAGTCCCCAAAAACTTAGTACGTAGCCAAAAAAAAAAAAAAAAAAAAAAAAAAAAAAAAAAAAAAAAAAAAAAAAAAAAAAAAAAAAAAAAAATAGATAAAGAGAGTCTAATCTCCCCAGCAAATCTCCACATAACATCCACATAACATCCAATGAAATGGGCAGAATCTAGACCGCGTTGAAAACCCATATACATGTCCCTAGTAGTTAGTATGAACCAATCTACTAAACCGGATCATGCATCCGTCCTACTGCACTCGGTAGGTGGGGATCTGAGTTGGGATGGATTATTATGGATTCCGGTTTATTGGGTTTTCCCTTGGCGGGGAGATGAAACTATATACTACTGTGTCCTGTGTAGAGGAAGTACTTCATTGGTTTTACGTAGGTCAGTGTCTAGGTTACGGTAACTAGGAATCAGTTCCGGTTTGGGTAAGGAGGTTTTGCTCCGAGATACTATGCTTGTTTAGGGTGTGATTTCGGTTGGGCCTGGAATGGTCTCTAGAGTGGGGGTTTATTGGGTCTTGGATCAATGTCTCTACTACTGAGTAACTAGTAACTAGATGTCGAAAGTATTCTGTTGAGAAGTTGTAATTTGGTGGTAGGGGTTGGGTGATTCAAGTTGTGATATATTATATATTGGGGTTGTATATCTCTGAATTACCATGATGGCCTAAGTTTCGATAAACTGTACTTGAGAGGAGAGTTTTTATAATATCCAGCTGTGCTTTCAACAATTCAACATGGAAACACAGCACACTTCTATGGCATGAGGGTATTTACGTCGACAGCATTGTATCGTACACAGTAGTTTAGACATGACAGGCCATGGCCATATATGGATCCAATCCAAAAGGTTGGCAGCCCAAAAGACGAGAAGAGATCTAGTGCACCAGTCTGATCTCGGTGAGACCGGGCTCCCACTCCTTCAAACCCTGAGCAATATTATACCAGAAGCGCAGGCGCACGCATTCCTGTCTTGCGGACTCCAGATCGCCCGTATCGAAGGCATTCGCTAGCTTCTCCACACAGTCTACTACACGGGCCTCGTTTTGTTTCTTCAGCTCGGCGATCGTGGACTCGGCGCCGGGTTCGGCGCCCACTTCTTCGATCGTCTCCTGCACCTCCATTACTTCCATCAGTGTCTCCGGGTCGAGCGCATGGTGTGCGGCGCCGTCCTCGGCTGTGACGTCGATGTCATGCATCTCGCGGAGGAGGTACTGTGCGCGCGCGAGCGGATCAGACAGCGTGCGGTAGGCTTCGTTGATGCGGGCTGAGAGGGCCTCGGCCTGTTGTTTCGATGGGCCCGGCGGGTACTTGTCCGGGTGGATTGTACCCTGGAGCTGAAGAAACTCGCGTCGCAGGTCGCTGACAGATATGTGAAAGGGTGAGCTAGGCGGTGGACCTGCTGGGAGGGTCTTGGGGAAGATAGTGTAGTGGTTCGTGATGTCGGGGATGTTTTGGACCGTGCCGTTGTTATCAGTTGTGGTAGCATTGGAGGGAGATGTGGAAGCGAAGCGACGGGGTTGCTGAATATGATATTCACGTGGTACGCGAACGGTACTTTGCGGCCTGAACTGGCAAAGGAGGCATGCCCCTGGTGTTTGCTCGGGGAACGAAGGCCGGCTTCCTGATGTTGCTCGGGAGGTTGTAAAGGAGAGCCGCGGGAGCAGTCTCTGAGGGCGAAGGGATGCCGCCATCTTCTTCTGATTTGCCCGATTCAGGTTCCAAGTTGGTCTGAAAAGACAATATGTGTAGACTGTACGAGTAATGGTTGTAGATTACACGAGGAGAGAATACTCGGACTGAGTTGGAGAATTGATGCTTATCGGGCAAACCTAATATAGGGCCGGTTAGTCAGCATGGGGTTCCGGCCTCGGAGAAAACGGAGAGAGTTCCGGCAATTTACGTCATAGTCCGAGAGCTTACTTTTGATATTCGTTGGATTTCTCAGTGTACGGCTGTTGGTGACTAAAGGTAAGAAGCTCCATGAATTGCATTGGTTCGTGATTTTCGAGATTGCCCATGCTTGTATGACCGCGGAAAAATCCCAAAAGGCTGCGCCCGGACAAGTAATGCTCCCATATCTATGGAGCAATGGACTACCTAGATTCTGAAGTAGTGACCTGTACTGCAGGGTCATAGATTGGGCAAACTGACCCCGTTATTATATTGCTGCATCTTCAGCTATCCTACCCATCGATGCCCCAAAGCTTCACTGTGCGGTCGTGGCCACAACTAGCGATCCACTGCGCATCATCGCTGATATCAGTACTCAGCACATTGCCTGAATGGCCACTCAGGCTCTTCACCAATGACCAGTCGTCCGCACTAAAAACGTTGACATTCTTATCAAATCCACTGCTCACAAAGAAAGTGCCCGACTTCCTGGGTTGTACAGATGTCGACTGTGAGGATTGATCGCCGTCCACATCCATCCGGCCACTCTGCCCATCGGTAGACGGCAAGTAGGAGCTGGCAGATTCTGTTCCTTTATACCACCGAAGGTCGGACACGACACTCTTATGCGCACCGATGCCACCAGTATTCCGTACTTGACGCAAGTCCCAGCACTTTACCCAGCCGTCACCCGACCCGGTCAGGACACGATACCCATCCACACCCCAGTCACAACCGTAAATTTCACGGATATGGCCTTCAAGAATCATCACAGTCCGACCCGTCCGAAGATCCCAAATACGTCCAATGCTGTCGAGTCCTCCACTAGCCAGAAGAGAACCATCATTGTTGAATGATACTGTGTAGACCTCACGAGAATGACCTTCCTGGAGCAACAGTTCCGCGGTCGTCTCAACATCCCATAACCGCCAAGTTGTGTCATAGGACGCGGACGCCACATATCTCCCGGATGGATGGAATTCCGTTCGACACACCCGACCACTGTGGCCTGACAGTGTAGCTATCGGTTGATCCTGATCAAGCGACCACAGACACACATTTCCCTCGCCACCTCCCGAAACGAGGTTGACGGTCGACTCGGAAACATTGGACGTCGACAGTGTAGCACCTGGGAACCATGACAGGCCACCTACCCGATCTGTATGTGCTTTGAACGACCGTTTCTCCTCCAGGTTTGGCACCGTAAGCAGCTTAATCCCACCGCCCCAGTTACCTGTAGCGATGGTCTGCCCATCCGGCGCAAAGCGACAGATGCTGACTGGACGATCACCCGCAATCTGCGAACCGTAAAGATCAAACCCATGTAGCTTCTCCTTAACCGCTTTACGGTGCTTAATGTGCGTCCGGAGTGGAATTGTCGATTCTTCTCTCTGTCGGGCCACGCGCTGCTTTGCGCGCGGAAGGGAGAATCGCGCGATCGCTTTCCGTGCTTCTAACAGATCTTGGGAACCCTCAGTGTAAAACTCCTCCTGCTGCTCTGCTTCCTCCTCCTCAGCCTCTTCAGACGCTTCTCCCATATCCACATCTCCCTCTGCTGCCGCCGCATCCTGTTGCTCGGCGCGGTCGGTTAAAAGCTCTCGTAGTCGGTCTCTCCGGTCCGCGGGGCCTTCGCCAAACAGAGTGATGGGTTCTCCAAGCTCTCGTAATCGCGCGCGTACTCGACTATCGTCGGTCGGGACCACCATCGCAGCAGCTCTTCGTTTGCGTTCAAATTGGGATAGAATAGCGGATGCTCTCTCCGACGGGATGCCCGCCGCAGCGGAGGGGATCTCATAATCGCGGTCAACAGCTAGATGAGACAGATCAGTTAGTGAAGTTCGAGTAAGATACATACGATACTTATCTTGATAGGGGAGTCGTTGTTGTACTTACGCAGATTGGCCAGATCAATACCCATCTCGGTGTCCTATGAGCCGAGCCATTGGATGTCAGTGATTTTAAGAGAAAAAGCCTTGTAAATGCATTGTGATCATCTGTTACCATTCCCGGGTCTATGGGATTCAGGATCGATTGATTCGAACAACAAAAGGGTAGGTCTTACCGCCGCCTCCTCCACATATGCCTGTCTGGATGGGTGCATCATCGTGGGCAATAGGACCACGGGCGTCGATCAGACTGCCCAACACCTTTTCAACAAGTCGGACGGAATGATTCGCGTGGGTTTGTACCACAAGGTACAGCAGCGGGTTGTTTGAAGGGAGTCGGAGGTTTGAGGGAACGCTGTGGGTTAGTGGAAGTTCGGACGGAGGAGTTCCCTTTTTCTCTTGAAATTTTGAAGGTGACGCGAAAGGAAGCGGCAAGATGAGAAAATGAACGGCGAGTGTGAACAGACACACCACCACAATGTCACAACACCGCAGCCTCCTTTTTTCTAACGTACTCGATTACATGTTGCTTCAAGCTACAGAAATTCTCTATACGGCACTATTGCCATGTCTGTCCTTGATGAACGCTTGATTTATGCTTATCGGCCCGAGTGTCACCTTATGGTCTAGACAGACCCAATCGGTATTGTCAATCCTCTCGTTTTATTCTTTTTACTCCAACACGTGGGCAATTCAGAGGCTTCAGTCGGCTAACCACGGAGATATCCAGTCGCGAGGCACTCAAATCACAATCAAACGACCGTATCCCAACGTTGGCACTGGTCACTCCACTTAAAGAATGGAGGCGGTCGATTGATGACGACAGGCGGTCGGCAATCCATTATTTGTAATTTGAAAAATGGTGCCGAATCCCAGTGTTCAAACCCCCTCGGGAGATATCAAACACGACCGCGAATTTTCGTCCTTCCGCTGTATATATACCGACCGTTGTCTCTAGATTCAATACTTGGCTCAGCGGGAGGGTCTGCTCACTCTCTTTCACGGCACGACAGGCCCTGTGCGAGGGAACATTCTGTTGCATGTTCCTAACAGACGGGTCAAAGCAAAATTCCCTATCGCTCTTTCGCGAGGGTTTGAATTGCGTTACTTAGTGCCCTTCGGCGACGATCTGGTCACTGCCGATGACCCCTCTGGTTTTTCTCCGTAGAGCCTGCAGTCCAACCTGCAGTAGGCTACAACCCGTCACGAGAGGTAGGCTCTTGGCCTCGTTCTCGACCAGCACGCCATGGTCCCGATCCTCTCCGATATCATCCTCCTTTCCTCCACCCCGACGATCCTTCCATTCGACACGGTCGCTTGACTCGAATCCCCCGCGCATCTCATACCGCATTGCCGCTTCATCCTCCGGCAAAGGCCGTCGTTTCCACCCCGCAAAGAACACGTCCGACTTTGATCCCCAGCGCCACCATGCCATTGGGGTGGCCACAGATGTGAAGAGTCCGGCCATCCGGCGCCAACGGAGGCCTGATAGTGGAGAGGATGCATACTTCGTGAGCAGAGTCGGCCAACACGATAACGGAGCGGTCGCCTTTGCCGTCGCAGACGGGGTAGGAGGCTGGGCGGAGTCTCGAGTCGATCCTGCGGACTTCTCACACGCGCTGTGTGGATATATGGCGGAATCCGCCATTGATTGGAACGCCCCGGCGGAACAATTGCGTGCAAAGAGCCTCCTCCAGGCCGGCTACGATCAAGTTGTTGCCGATGAATCGATTCGCGCTGGCGGTTGCACCGCCTCGGTGGGTATCGGCTTGGACGATGGACGGGTCGAACTGGCAAATTTAGGTGATTCAGGCTCAGTCCTTCTACGTCTTGCTGCCGTACATCACTACTCGATCCCGCAAACCCACGGCTTCAATACGCCCTACCAGCTTAGCATCATTCCACCGCGGATGCGCAAGCAAGCATCTATTTTCGGTGGTGCCTTCCTCGAAGACTTTCCGCGCGACGCGGCCGTCACCAACCTCCACATGCAGCATGGCGACGTGCTCCTCCTTGCAACAGATGGCGTCTTCGACAACCTCAATAACCAGGACATCCTTAAGCTCATAACCAGTCGGATGGTACTCACAGGCGCCTGGACCGCCACACCCGACGTTGGAATCAAACCCTCTACCGATCTCGATCAACTTACTGGTCCTGAGGGCCTTGCCTCCCTCATCCCATCATCATCCACCCAAACTTCCCAACAGCAGCGCTCCACAAGCAAGAGCCACCTATACAGCCTTCCATCCCTCCTCGCCGCCACCATTGCCGGTGAAGCCAAATTGGCCAGCGTGGATATGCGCCGCGACGGACCCTTTGCCAAAGAAGCCCAACGATATTACCCCGGCGACTGGTACCGTGGCGGGAAAGTGGATGATATTGCTGTCTTGGCTGTGGTGGCTGTGGAAGAAGGTTACAATCCACCGCCGTGAATGATGGTATATACCCCTCATCAGTGTTCATCCAATTTCAGTGAGAGACAAGCTGCCAGGCCGCGGTCAGACCAGGTCTGCCCCGAGACAGCTACGCGCACTTTTGATATCGATTGGAATTCAATCAATTTGGCGTTTTCATAAATACCGGTGGCTTTATACGGGTTTTGTGTTTTTTGTTTCATTTGCCCTCAGGGATGGGCGCATATCTCATTCATACATATTCATGTATACATTTATCTGTACTTTTGTTTCATATGCATTTGGGACTGGGACGGTCGGGTGTTTCAACTGGTATATTGATACTGATATAGAACATTAGAGTCGCACATCAGCGTACCATTAATAACTACTTAGAGATAAAAAAAAAAGGACTAAAAGAATAAGAGGATTTATGTCTTGAGCAAATGAGTACGTTGTATCTACCTAGAAGGATCTGTTTCCATATTAAGCTGTGTATTGTTGCTATCGACACGGATTTAACTGTACAATACGGCCTCTATACATTAGAGCTTTAGGAATTGAGGCCTTATACTAGTTTAATAAATTTCCCTTTCTCTTTCTATTTTTATTTTATTTTATTTTATTTCTTCTTGCTTCCTCATGGAATAATAAATTACGGCGTACACTGGGGAAAGCAAGAGACTATAGTTTGGACTGGGTGGCACATGGATATAGTAGTAGTAATAACAGAGGATGGAGTGGATGACGACTATCGGGAGACCTCACTTTACCTCCTCTTTCACTGCACCAGAACTATCTTCCAAACACTTATCATTTCCCACCCCTCCGCTTGTCGCCATCAAGTAATGCGGGGTTTTGAACTTCGCTATACAAGGTAGTAGTTGACATCCTTCAATTCAGGTGTTACTGTTGGCCTTTGTTATTGTGGCACAAGGTCAGTCGGCCATTCGTTCGTTCATTCACTCATTGCCCATCCGCTCTAATCAGGTTAATATTTGATTGTATCCTATACTAAAAATACTTACCAGGTTCCTTTCGCGTGACAGACTATTGCTGTCTCATCAGGCTAATTGCCTTGATTTGGATGCCTTGGCTTTTCTGCATCAACCACCACTTTCACAAAGCATAGATCTGCGCAACGCGTCTATCTCATCCTACCGCCGTGACAAAGATTGAGATTCTTTGACACTCAGGTGGCAGGTCTCTTTGCTGTCTCTGTTTCGACCACTACTGGCTGTGCAGCTTCCTCGTGTTTGGCACCAGCTGAATCACTGATTGCCATCCATTCTACGCGTTATTTATCTCTTCCACTGTTACTACTATTATCTTTATCACAGCTTTATCGCTAGTTGTGTGTTCTTGAGTCTACAGGGCAAGCTCTTGCGAATAACTGCGAAAGCTTGTTGAACGACTGGGGTCGCGTCGCGTAGTGAGATCACGCAGTCTCACGTGGATAAACCTGCATCCTCAGCGGTAGTATATTTGGCTACCTGACTACCTGTGAGGCTCAGTGACAAACAGCTGTCGCGAGTTGTGGAAATTCCCATTTGTTGTGGTTGCTGGTGAGCGTTGCGTCATTTGCGGTCTGGCAGCGCTTTTTTTCCCGGCAAAAGGAAGTGCACGCGTTGTCAATCAACTTCCCGCCCTCCGTCGCGACCTTCTCCACCACTTCTTCCCTCACCCACATCCACCTCGACCTATCCACCACCTCTTCCATTGCAAACTTTTGATTCCCGCGAACCTCAGGTGGAGCTGTTTTTGATCTACTTTTTATTGAGCTTTGTCGCGCATCATGGCTGAGGATACCCCTACTGCCTCGGCACCTGCCCCCGACGCCGCTGAGTCGGTCGAGCGCGCCCCTGCTGAACCCAAGGAGTCCGCGCCAGAGGCAACCAAGGAGAAGGAGGAGACGGCCAATGGATCGGAAGAGAAGCCATCGGGTAAGTGGCGCCCAAATGTTCTCTTTTCCTTCTCCCTCCTTTGCTCTGATCTCCTAGACAAAGTGTGTTACCGAGCTCGTGCGCTAACTCGTGTTACTTGATTTGTTTTAGGAGATGCAACTGCCACCGAAGAAAAGAAGGAGTCAGATGAAAAGTCCACTGAGAAGCCTGGCGCGTCCGAGTCTATTGACGCGAAGAAGCCTGAAGAGAGTGCTGCACCTGCAGAGTCAGAGGCTGCCCCTGCCCCGGAGGCTAACGGAACCCCTGCGTCGGCTAAGAAATCCGGAAGCACAAAGCGCAAATCAACTGGCGCCGTGCCCGAACATAAATCCAAATTGAACCGGAAAAAGTCGCAGGCTCGCATGACGAACCTGAACGCGAAGCCAGGCGAGTACTATCTAGCGCGCCTTCGCAGCTACCCACCCTGGCCATCTATCATCTGCGACGAGGAGATACTTCCTCAGACTCTTCTGGGTACACGCCCGGTGACCGCTCAGCGCTCCGATGGCAGCTATAGGGAAGATTATGCCGAAGGTGGCAAGCGTGCTCACGAGAGGACCTTCCCCGTGATGTTCCTCGAAACAAATGAATTGTAAGTAATATGCTCCTCGCTTCGCCTTTCTCGGGGATGTGTCAGCTCATGGCAATCACAGTGCCTGGATTCCTAACACGGATTTGACCCCGCTCGAACCCGCCGCCTGCAAGGAAGTGTCAGAGAAGGGCAAGTCGAAATTGCTTTTGGCCGCATATTCCGTGGCTGCTGATGGCCACGACCTTCAACACTTCAAGACCTTGTTGGCCGACCACCAGCGCGCCATCGAACAGGAAGAAGAAGAGCGGGAGGCCCAGGCGGCCGCAAAGGCAGCTGCTAAGGCTGAAAAGGACGCTAAGAAGAACAAGCGGAAGAGCATGGAGATCGTCGATGACGAAGATATTGACATGGAAGATGCAGACGAGGAAGCCAAGAAGCCTAAGAGCTCCAAGAAGAGGAAGAAGGATGCTGAAGCCGACGCGGAGGAGAAGGTGAGGAAACAAGCCGGCCTGGAGAAAACTGCTCGAATACTAACTGTGCATGATCTTTCTTTAGCCTGCTAAGACTCCCAAGACCGGAACCAAGCTCAAGCTGACGACCCCGAAGACTCCTGCCAGTGAGAAGAAGGCTCCTGCTTCGAGCAAGGCCAAGCAGACTGCCAGCAGCAAGAAGTCCAGCAAGGCTGCTGCCAGTGATGAGGGTGAGGAGAGCACTCCCGCGGCGCCTAAGGAGCCAGAGAAGCAGGTCAATCCCGAGGAGGCTAAGGCCAAGAAGGAGAAAGAGAGTATGATCGCCCCGGAAGCCAACTGGTCGTTTGCAAAAGGGAAAACTAACGAGAGACAGTTCTTTTCGTTCGCCATAAGCTTCAGAAGGGCTTCATTTCCCGTGACCAACCTCCCCAGGAGGAAGAGATGACATCGATGTCAACCTACTTCACTAAGTTGGAAAATTATCAAGACCTGGAGGTTTCCATCATCCGTTCGACGAAGATCAACAAGGTTTTGAAGATGATTGTCAAGCTTAGCTCCATTCCTCGTGATGAGGAATTCCAGTTCCGTCGCCGTGCTGTGGATCTCTTGTCCAAGTGGAAAACTGTGCTCGATGCAGATACCACTCCAGGCCCTTCAGAGAGGAAGCCCAAGGCCAACGGTATCCACAAGGAAGATAGTGTGGATACCCCTGCTCGTGGAGAAACGGAAGGCGAGAAGGAGGACGAGCCCAAGCCAACCAAGTCCGAAACCAAGGACGAGGAAATGACCGATGCGGATGCTAAGGAGAAGACCGAGGCCCCTGATGCAGTAAAGGAGGAATCCGACAAGACGGCCCCCAAGACCGACGAACCAGCCGCTGAAAAGGCCACAGACACAAAGGGTTCTGAGGAGAAGACAACAGAGGAGAAACCTACCGGAGAGAAAGCAGAGGAAAAGACCGCAGAAGCTTCTGCATAAGCGTCGGTCCATTCTCGTGTTTTATCTCGGAATTTTCCCTGCTCTGGTGTTCTTGGTTCTGATGTTGTCTCACCTGCGCTACTTTTATCGTGGTCTTGGTTTTTAAGCCGCTCTGCTAGTGTTTCTATCTCCTTTCTCTGATACTCCGGTTCTTCGTTTTGGAATTGAGCATTGAGACTGGGAATTCCAAGAATATTCATAATAGGCTTGACGCCTTCCCGTTCCGCGCTCCTTTTCTATACCTCCTACTCTTCCTTTTGGACCCTCTCGCATACCTCGCCACTGTACATCTAACCTCTTCAATGGATGCCCAATCCGGTGTCACCGACTGAAACCTGGAATCAGGACCTAGCGACGGAACCAGACCCATAGGATATTTTGACGGAAAAGCCCTGGACAGAGACAGATCCTGCATAAACAGGTCAGAGCTGAGTTTGACTGATTGGGATTTCGGATATCGAAAGCTACAACATGAGTTGCGATGTAGTCAGCCTGTCTCATTTTCTTAAAAATTATTCAGCGTGTGGATGGATGGTGTTCATCATTGACGTTTCTTTCAGTATTGTGTCTAATTGTGCTTTTATGTCTGTGCTTCATCACTTCGAGAATGTTACTTGTTCCGCTTGGTTGTATTGTGATTGATCCTCATTGATAACTATGTTGAGCCAATAAATACTGCTTTCGATTATTGGACAACCTTGGGGTACCGTACGGGCTGGTAGATGCTATTTCCGCGGCTTTGTGAATCTTGTAGTATGTCTAGAATTGGGCCAAATAGATATTCAATTGTGTAGTCTTGTGGCGGTGAGAGATGCATCAATTCCGGATGAGGATTTTCTCCCGTGGTCATTAATACGTCAGGCTTGAAATAAAGGAATTTCCTTGATGTTATTCATCTTTATAGGATCAGTACTTGTCCTTGTATATATAGCACTCCATAAAATATGTATTTCTCCTAGGTTGAACAGTAGAATTGGCAAATTGAACGGGAGATGTAGAAGAGAAATCAAAATGCATGGAGAAAGGGATATACGCTGTGAATAAACTAGGTGGAGATTTCATGCTGGGCGTATGTTTTACTCTTGTGTCACGTAGTATCCATATTTAATGGTAGCTACTTGATACACAGGACATATTTAATTAAATGTTCAGTAGATTAGGAAGATACAGAAGCGTACTATCTAAGATACATGCTCAGATGGGTATAACATGAGGTAAATGGAAGGGATATGATCATAGAGATGAGGGATATGCAGAAAACATCAGAAGACATAAATATCATAAAAAAGACATAAAAAAGCCATAAAAACGCAAATCAAAAAGGGTAACTTTAGGCATGGCGTGATCGAGGCTAGAAAAACAAGAGAAAAAGAACCTGAGCGTACCAGCGCCAGTCGAAGATCACCAACCCCTCCACTTGATCGCAGCTGTAAACCTCGCCCTCTTGAACCCACAAGGCTCCAAGATTTCCTTCAGATGAGGCTTCCACCAATCCTCGTGACCATCTCGAACCACAGCCGCAAGTGCATACTCCATATACTCCGGAAAAAACCCACTATATTCCCAATCCACAATTCCAGTGATTTTGCCATCTTTCACCATGATGTTCCGCGCAGCTAGGTCTCCATGTGTCAGCACGAACTTCTGTTCCCCCGTTCCACGCATCCCAGGGAGAAGCTGTGCCCATATCTTCTTCGCAGTGGGTGATTTCACCCGCTCGAGACACCAACTATCGAACTCCTCTTCGGATTCAAAAGGCCCCATGTAGTGCAAGTGGATGCGGTCGTAGAAGTTTTTTGTCTCCTGTCGCTTTATACGACCAATGTAAGGCTGTGTGCACTGCCGGAAGAGGCGTAGTTGCTCCTTGAGCTGTTGCTTTATGGACTTTTGTTCGGCCTTGGTCATGGTATGCCAGACGTTGTCGAGTGACTGCCCCTCGACGAGATCTGACACGGTTACGGTGATCTCGGGATCGACATCGTAGCAGCCTAGAACTTGTGGTGTTAAGATTCCAGGTTGCTGCGAAGCATAATGCATCATGTCGGCCTCGGATCTTACGAAACCATCAGCTGGCTTGACCTTAACTGCGACAATCCGACCACCTGATGCCCTTGACTCAAGGACCCGATTGCCGAAGTAATTGTATAGTTCTTTGCCTTGAATAGCGTCTGTGTAGGAAAACTTGTATGGGGACTTGGATTTGGAGGGCATCTTGATAGATACTTTAAGTTGCAAAAGACTACGAATGGTAGCGAGTGCATACTTCGATGGAACTGTGGATGTACCAAATGGTTCCATTGATGGGGCACGTCTATTTATCTGGGGTTGAGGGTACATTTGGCCAATCACATGTGCATAATGCTATTTATAGCTCATCTGTGCGCCCAATACAACGTTGGTTTCTTTGTAGAGGTACAAATTGATGACTATCGTGTATGGAATGATCAGTAGTTATATTTAGGCCTTTAGTAAACTATCCGTGGTTCAAACATATCCATTCATCTCATTCGATATGATGCACTAGAATGCAACATCCCATATTGACTGATCATCATATACTTCACCCCTTCTCTCTTTATATTACACAATTGAATTGTTATGGCGGATGCTATATAAAGTGTCATAATCTTACACCCTGTAGCAGGTACAGTTCGTATCATAGAGTGACCCCACTATTATCCCTGGCTTTTCTCGCTTCTTTTTGGGGCTTTCATCAAATACTCTCAGTGAAACAAGACTTGGAAGCTACATACCCAGACAATACCTACTGGGAATCTAATAATCAAGAATAGCCACTAACATTCCTAATACACAAGGATGTCAGTGGGGAAAAGATCGGCATCCCCGCATGTCGTCTTCTAGATTGGAGGTGTTTTTTAAGGAGTACCTGTGTGGTAACCCGAGCGAGGACCATTCATCCAATGTGAAGATAGGCGAAACACCACCACCACTACCATAGAGAACTGGCCTCTATATATCGCCGCTGATGAAGAACAGACAAGAAATGCCTCGATCTGAGGAAAAACTTGACTGTGGGCTCAGGGCCTGAACGTTCGATTCGCGAAGGTTCTTTGAGGACGCTGGGAGCAATTCGCTTGACCCTGGAGCTATCAACAGGTTCTGGACAATCCCGGAACTTGTCCCCATTACATTTACAGGAACCCCCAGTAAGAAAATTGATATTCTTTATGACTGATCTCTGCTTACTTTTTATATCTAGAATACGATTTGTTCCCCCCAGAATGTCTACAAAGAACCGGACTTTGTTTTTGACTCTGACGAGAAGGAGGAGTTGGTGGCACTACCACGAGGATGTCAACGGCATAACTTCTAAGAGAGCCAGCCCCCTTCAAGGGCCTCTGGTAGAGCCTCTGGCAAAGCAACGTCTGGCTCTCGCGATATTGCACGACACGACCGCGTTTTCAGAAAGGCAGTGTAGTTGTCCAAGGGGGGACGGTTGCATACATCCGAGTGCGGAGTTGAACTTTTTTTCTTCCTCAGTCCCACGAAAGCATCTCATCCAAGTATAAAATGAACTTGGAGGCCCCCGAGATCAGAGAACGTTTCTCCCAGGTTAACCAATTGACTGATGGCAATGAGCGGAGTATAGTATCACAGTTGACAGGATCTATTTATCGGCTTTCTTTCAAACATTTGTATACCAATATGTTTCGATCTCTGTCACGTTTGACAGGTAGCCTGGCTTACCTTCGCCTACGAGATGACCCGAGAGGCCTAGAGAGAGAAAGCGGCATTTGCAGTCTCAGTCTTAAAGGAACCACTCCTCTTTCACGTAACAGTACATCTCACAGTGCGTCTCGCGAAATTAACCATATATTATTTGGTACTAATCATTGTACTAAGATATTTAGTACTAGTGGAACTACTGTGTATATAGAAAGATACAATTGCCTGATATAGTTATGTCGTTTTGTTATTAGTAAACTTGGTAATATTTTACATTGTCCAGAACCTCGATATATTCACGCAATTCAAATCAAGAAAATATCATTCTCGTACACTGTCAAAGCAAGGTATCTACTCCGTACGTGCTAACCATGAAAGAAGGTAATTATCCGTGAAACAAGAGAAATAGAGCTTAAATCGACCAGCAAAGAGTACGTACCAGTAAAAGCCCCACAGTTTTTTTTTTCATCATACTCTATCCAAATAGGTTTATTGCAAAGGATCCATGTGTCAATCGCGCCAATTTACCTGTATGGTGATAATGCCGCTCGGCAACGGCTCGGAAGCGCGGCCGTAATTACCAATAAGAACAGCTATCCTCATCTTATCGCCTATAAGATACAATGTCAACCCCGGTCCGAGACTCATATAACTAACCCAAACTACTACCCGCGTCTCACGTATACATAATCTATGTACCTCCACAACATATCCAAAAAGTGATAAAGAAGACAAGAAAAAGAAAAAGAAAATGGCAGTCAAACCGCTCACCCAAAAGCCCAAACCAAACCTCCTCCGCCAATTTTCCAACTTCATCTCCACAGTCACAGGCCTCGAGAAGACCTGCCGTCTCATTCAATCCTTCGCCCAAATAGTAATACAACTCAATATCCCCCCGGGGTCAACCACAACCGCGCAATGGGAGACTGCCATATCGCAAATCGCACTGAGTAAGTTCCACGCACCTCTACAAATAAGTAAATCGAAAAATGAGATGTTAATCAATAATTGAACACCTGAACAGCGAGACGGTTTTTCCGCTTCTTCGCGTTCATCAATTGCTTTAGCCAAGTGTATGAGCTGCTTGGCGGGGCGCAGAGTCTAGGGTTGTTTATGACCTTGGTTGAGATTGGGAGGTGGAGTTGTTTGGGGCTGTATCTGGTGCTGGAGGACTTGACTATTGTGAGTTTCCCCTCTCTTTTTTTCCCCCCCTTGTGTATGGGCTCCTTCTCGAGGCCCCAATGAGATAGATGGACAGGTTAATAAAATAAACAGCTCCACGCGTTGGGCGTCCACCCCGTCGCCTGGAATACGCCTGTCCTGGTCGAAGCCTTCAAATTCTGGTTCTATTCTCTTGCATTATCCGTCTTCGGTGCTGTTTGCGGTTTACTATTTACTTCCTCTTCACCTGCTAGTAATAAGACCAGCAACAATGAGAAAACGAAAGAGAACAAGAACGCCGAGAAGACGGCACCCAATACCGACGATTCTCAAGCCAAGGCCCAGAGAACTGCCCTCATGAAGCGCATCGTGGCCGACGGATGCGATCTCCTGATTCCGGGGGTGTTCGTCGGCTGGATGCAGATTAGTGATCTGATGATTAGCGTGACGATGGTGATCAGTACGGTTGTTTCTGGGGGAGACGCTTGGGTGAAGGCGCAGGAGTGAGTTAAGGTTTAAAAGGGGGGGGGTTGGCTAGATAGTTAGATTGCACAAGTCATGGGTGGATTGCTGGGTATGAAGTGTGATTTATATGGCTTGGTTTGATAGAGGGTTGGTTATAGATATATAGATGTCATTTGGAATGGCGGATTGGTGATTCGGGATAGAGTGCGAAGTAAGCGTTAAGCATATTTAAGATTGCTTTTGATTCGCAAGTCATGTGTCAGTGGGCCAGGCTTGACGTCAGCTGATCTCCTGTGTCGGTCTAGTTTCAGGGGTACTTAAGTTACTTCCAGGGTCAGGACTTAGCAGGAGACATTAAACTTCTATCCCCTATCCTGTAGTGTAGGAGTATGGTGTTGTACGCGTACTGGACCCAGAATTCCCCCGGATCGTTGGACACATGTCCCCGGTAGTGGATCCTAGGACGGTGGACTTATCAAATGGATCAAGGGCGTATACAACGAGCACTATATTATGCCGGGATACAATCAAGAGTATGAGATGCGTCTAAACTAGGCATGGTGAGGTGCCAACATGGAAAAGTAGGGGACGGTAGCACAGGGACCAGGAACAATCCACCAAAACAAATGCCGCGTCAGCTGGGCAACGGAAAGTCTAAGCCAACAGCTTCAACACCAGATCAGGTCTTATCCATATAAGATCCCCAGAGTATCTACAGAGTAAATGTGCTATGAAATCTCGGCGAAACAAACCACGCCTTCTACTAGGCCTCTACGCACGACCCTGGTTTGTGTTGTGATCGGGAAAGTTTCCTCCCTGGAGAATGCGGAGAGGGTGTTTGGTGAAACGCCCTTCTACCAGGTTGAGGATCCGGATCAGGACAAAGCGTTGGCTTTCGATTGTCGCTCGTGGGTGGTAGATGCTGTGGAAAGGCTTCGGAAGTCCGATGGGGTTTCTTCGCTACTTGATTGGGGAATGCTGGAGAGGAGGGCTGTGGAGTATGTGGAGGGGAAGAAGAGAATGGGGAGATGGAACGCTGGCCAAGATGCAAGTGCGAAGCGACGAATTCCGATCATGGACTTGATCACAGGGGCGGAGATTTCAACTTAATGTGGGTTACGGTAATCGATGTGATACGATATGATATGATTAGATCCGGGATTGATAAGAACTTACCCTTACATGTGTTGTATGCTTCGTGAGATCACATTCATCGCTTATGTATATTCTTAGCCACACTGTTGCCTGCTCATGAACCCATCAATATAATCCATAGATGATAGGTTTATTCTGAGTAAGACAAGGCCCTAAAGGAGCCCATCAGCCCCATGGACCCCTCAGCACACAGTCAGATATTTCCGACCCCAGCACTAAAGCAAGGAGTTTACGTATGCACCGGGGCAAGCGACTGATGAAGATCTCCACATTCCCAAACCCGAGCCAACAACATTTCTCATGGCTCCCAACTCCCAAAACTAAGGAGTCGCCGATCGACAGCCATGGCACTTCTCAGCAAACGAGGCTATGTGCCGATCGCAACCAACGCCCTAATACTCAGTCGTTGGCGCAAATCCCTTATTAGCTGCCGGCCGCGCGACGACCCGCGCAAAGAGGCTGAAAGAAAAAAAAAATGATAGGAAGTAAACGACTACGTCAACCGGACGACGAGGGGATAATAAAACCCACCGAGTGCTGCTCACTATGTGGATGTTTCGAATGCGTCGGACACAAGCTTGGGTCGTCAGCGCGGCGACCTCCGCACTGATCTTCGGTTCTCTTTATCTCTTTTTCTTTGCGCATCGGCGCGGCGGGAATATCTACCGTCTTGTGACGGTGCCGAGACCTGCGGAAAAAACGAATGAGCGTACGCTGGTCGTGGCTAAGACGAAAGATGCGGACACGACCTGGGTCGATACGCTCCTGAACGAAGATGATCGGTTATACAGCGCGGTGTACACGGTTGACGCGCCGAACACGACTGATACCCCGTTCACCGTGCCGATGAACAAGGGCCACGAGGTCATGGTGTATCTGACATATATCATCGATCATTACTTTCAGCTTCGCGACGTGACGGTCTTCATGCATGCGGACCAAATCTCCTGGCACAACAACGATCTCATGAACATGGATTCGGCGCTGATGGTTCGTCGTCTGCGGAACGACTATGTTTACAAAAGAGGATACACGAACTTGCGATGTCAACACGACCCCGGCTGTTCGGCTCAAATTCGACCCGCCCCTGCGGGCGGGCAGTATAACCCGGAAGTGCCCGAAGCAAGGGCCATCGGAGAGTCTTGGAAGACGCTATTTCCGGAGGAGAGTATGCCGGCTGTGCTGGCGCAGCCGTGTTGCAGTCAGTTTGCGGTCAGTGCGGAGGTGATTCGGCGGGTGCCGCTGATGAACTATGTGGCGTACCGGAGGTGGTTGATCGAGACGGAGCTGGACGACAATCTGTCTGGACGGGTGTGGGAGTACTTATGGCAGTGGATCTTTACGGGGCAAGCTGAAGTTTGTCCGGATGAGCGGGTCTGTTATTGTGAGGGGTATGGTGTATGTCTGGAAAGGGAAGAATACGAGGAGTTCTTTAGGGCTCAGGAGGAGGTGAGGAAATTACACGCGGAGCTGGAGCATACCTCACTGGCTGAGAAGGTCAATTCAATGCGGAATAAGGTGGCTGCTTTGCAGCAGAGGATGGATGAGATTAAAGCCACCGCACTCATGAGTTAATGAAATGATTAACGACATTGTATACTATTTTCCATACTATATCCGGATTAATCTTCCACCTGCAAGTTTTCGTCTAGAGATTTGAGATTTATGTCTATCGTCTGGTATCTAATATCCGTAAGTACACAACGTCCACCCCAGTCTGCTCCTTTATTTCATCGCATATAATTTTAGATCACGAAGAGTCCCTCTGCTGCAACAACTCCTTGATGTGGTCGTTTAGCCAGTATGCCTCCAGATCCTTCCGGTCCATCTTCTTTGCCCCATCGATCAACCCCTTGCATACACCCTCTCCAGATCCACAGTTGCACTGGAATGGCTGGTCCATGTCCCACTCACTGCTGGGGTAGAAAAACGTGAGCTGGTCGCCCACCTTCAGGTCACGATCATCGACGACTCGGACCTCCATCTTGCCCATGTCGAAGTTCAGCGATGGGTTGCATGAGTGGTTGCAGTAGACGAGATCGGAGTTCAGTTCGATGTGGCTGTTGGCACCGGTCTGTACCGAAGTGTATGCTTTCTTGGAGGGAGTGGCTGTGGTGATCTTGGCGAAGAGGGAGCCGGCGGGCAGTGAGACGAGGGACACGGCGCTGGAGGAGAAGGCCTTTGCGCCACGGTCGACTCGGAGTATGTCAGGGTGAGTCGGGGGTGTCACAATGGAGGTAGGGAGAATGGTTGCGGTAGTGGTGGATGCGGTGGCCGTTGAAGGTTGTACAGCGATTGGAGACATCTTGGATGTTTGTATATAGATATGGTGTAATTGAGAAGGATGAGAGGGATTGTTGAGTGCTTTCAGTGGGCGGAAGCTTTTAATCCAAGTCGTAGACGAAGAAGGGAGTGAGGGATGGCAGGTAGAGACGTAGTAGTGGGGGCGGGGGGAGTAGGATACCCTCGAGATCCTACATCGTCTTTATAGATTTCCGCATCCAGCCGTGACTCCCTTCCCTTGTCCCGAGGATCCTGCCCGCGGAGGCATGGAATGGAGGTGAGTGGGGCCATGTCTTAGGCGTCAGTCATACCTAATCTATGAATGGCATGGCTTGGGAGGCTACGTGTCGAGCCTAAATGCCGATGTGCGGGTTAAATGAGTTGAAGTAAGATTAGGGTTGGGGGTAGCTGGTGTTTCCGATGGACTGATTGATTGATAGTTCGATTACAGTTCCGGCGGTGCCTCGGCTGACCAGAGGCGGCCTTATGTAATCACATCAGCGACTCTCCAGTGACTTTATGTTTGCTCACTTGTCTCTAGATCATATGACTAGACTTGTATGAATCATGACTTCTTCCATATGAAACCTCCAAGCCTGTATGCCTTATTCAGTTCTCTCGAACGAGGATCTGACGGTTTTGCGCTGGCACAGGATCCGAGGTACAGAAAACAGTTTTCGATTCTTGGTCCACGGAGATCCCCCCACTATGACGAAATCCACATGAAAGTTGAAACCCAGAATACGACAGAACGAGTCTTTTAATTAAGCTTCATTTGCACAGCAGAAAAAATACCTCTAAGGACAGATTGGGTCTCGGTGAAGCACACCTTAACCAAAAAGGGTACTCCTCCGGATCACATGCATCACACTTATGTACATCGTATGCAACTTGGCCTCTTAGCCACTTCAATTGTCCCACATACCATCCTGGATCTTCCGCGACAAAATGTTGATTCCCCCCTTTCAATTCATCCGTGTGTTCAATTCCTCTCCATTCAACCACCTCTCGACGTTACGAGCCACCTCATCATACCACCCGTGAATCTGTTCATCTCCATATCCCATATGCGGTGACAACACCACCTCACTCCGTCCGTCTTGACCCCACGCCGTGGTCCGCCAGGGGCTATCCTTGGGCAGAGGCTCGGGTTCGAAAACATCCAGGGCCGCCCCACGGATGCGTCCCGCATTCAACGTCTCCAACAGCGCCTTCTCCTCCACCAACGGACCCCGCGACGTATTCACCAGGATCGCCGTCGGCTTCATCACCCCAAATTCCGCAGCACCGACGATGCCCCGACTCCGCTCCGACAGTACACTATGAAGACTCACCACATCCGCGCTGCGGAAAAACTCAGCCTTGTCCCGAACAGCTTGAAAACTACCCGCCGGCAGCCCCTGTGCCGCAGCCTGTTCGTCCGCCTTTTCCTGCGTCAGATTCGTAGACCACGCAATCACCTTCATATCAAAAGCCACAACCGCTATCCGCCCAACCTGCGAGCCTAACTTGCCCAGTCCCAGTAATCCTAATGTCTTCCCCGCAAGCGTCATTCCAAGCGACCCCTGCCATTCTCCCCGCTTAATAGCTGCATCATCCCGCGCAACATGACGCGCCAACCCTAGAATCAAAGCCCAGGTATGTTGCACCGTAGAATGGACCCCCCCTGATCGGCTTGACGTTCCAGCGACGGGAATTCCGCGCGAAGCACAGTATTGCACGTCCAGGGCGAGATTGCGAGTGCCCGTGGTCAGGAGAAGTTTCAAGTTCGGGAGCGCGGCGAGCGTTTCCTTGGAGAACGGAGTACGTTCGCGCATGGCAAGAATCACATCAAAGGGCTGGAGGCGCTCGATCAGGAGCGCACGTTGGCGTTCATCGCGGGGATCGAGCGTTTCCGGGAAATAGGAGATTGAGATGCGGGATTCAAGGTGGGCGAAGTGGGGTGGGGAGATGTTCTGATAGTCGTCTAGGATTGCGAGTTTGGGTTGCGCCATTTTTGCGGTGATTGTGATGGCAGGTGAGGTCCTTCGGATAGGATTGTAGCTTTTCGTAGTATGTTTGGTTTAGTGTTTGCGTGGGTAGAGGTTGATGTAGAGATATGCCCGGTAGAAAATATAGCCGATCAGAGGATCGGAAGGAGTCATAAACCCCACATATGACGATTCGTTTATCCCCCGCATTTCCGTGATAAAGGCAGTAGGGCTTGATAGTGATAAAATTAAATAGATTGAAGCAAATGAATACATTCCCATGAACACACGGGTTGCTTGGTAATAATATGCAGGCCAGTCCCACATGATAATACAGTACGAAGTAAACCGAACAAGTCGATATTGACAAGGCTTTGGGGCTGAAAAAAGCAGCGTTAGCCCCTCTGTAAATACGGCAATCCTGCAAACCGCCAATACAGACGAGCCACGTCAACAAACATGAATAATTACATATATCACTACCCGCTTTCTTTGGTACATGGCGATCAATGGCTTCCTGTCCGTAAAGTCAAAGAGCGCATCTTGAACGTTGCCAGGTGCTTGATACTGTACGGACTGTGCGGCATACAAGCAGAACAAAATCCGTATATTACAGCCTAACCAAGTTATAGCACAGCCTTTGGTTATGCACAAGAGGATGCAAAGAGCAAGTCCAAATACGAATTCTCGGGGGGAACCAAGGAATCTATGTAAACAATGCCGAACAATCAATATTGAGCACCTGGTTTTGGGATATGCGCACACTGCAACGACAAAATGGTGCCAGCTTTGCCTTCTCCTCGAGTCATCTAGAGAAACAAATAGGCTAAAACTGGCGAAGCCCATACTTCCTGGTCTTCCGCCTGCGTTATCGAGAAGTGCGGGCATCAGAGAGAAACCTATTTTTGTAATGACGAAGAAAGGTAGGGGAGAGGCTTGGGCAAGTAGTTGCTAACCAGCCAAGCTAACGTCTCCAGGTGATCCTGCTGAGAGATTTGGCGTCCCGGCAATCACTTCTCAGTTGCCTGGAACCTGGTCGGAGGACTCGTTCAACTTCATCAAACATTGCCTGCAAGAGTGCTTGATGAATCACCACTGTTCCACAAGCATGTTCAGATCGCGGCGTCATGCTATCTTCAGAAAAGCAGCAGTGAATGATGAGGTTGAATCGGTAGCACCAAATGATATAGTAGATTCTGGAGCACCTCGTCGCTTGGTTGATGTTCGAGCATTCTGCAGCGACCACGACCATGGCATTGAATGCGAACACAATGTCAGGCTAGTGGAAAACCTGCCAGTCTGCCCCGAATACATGACACTGAGTCATTGTTGGGGCAAAAGGCTCGGTATCAATGCCATCACAACACGATATAATCTCCTCAGTCGCATGGAAAAGATTAAGCTTGATGATCTACCGGCAAACTTTTGGGATGCTATTAGCATTACCCGCCGACTTGGCATTCGGTATTTGTGGATTGATGCACTATGCATCATCCAAGACTCACAAGCAGACTGGGCTCAGGAATCAGTCAAAATGGGCCATATATACGACAGGTCATACCTGACAATCGCAGCGAGTGCTAGCGAGGATAGTACCGGAGGATGCTATCGCGGTACTGGGACAAGGCAAGATGGTCTGGGTGGAGGGACTCTAATCGAAATCACAAACAAACTCCTAGCCGCAAATGGCGAGACATCGACCTTGTTCCTTTGGGTGCCAAAGTTAAGCGAAGATGATCCTCTGAGAGAACCTGCACCCTTGATTGGCTGTTCTCTGAGCCAGCGTGGATGGGTATTTCAGGAAAGAATCTTATCGCCGAGGACGATTCATTTCACAAACTCCCAACTGGTTTGGGAATGCCGAGAAGTATATGAGATGGAGGATCGTCTCCCTTTTCTCACACCCCATGATACTCTGTCCTTGGCTATGCATCGAGAGATCTCTCCTGATAGGATAAAGCATATTTGGTACGACTGGCTCATTGGATCCGGATACTCTAGTAGGCAGTTCACTCTGATGAAAGATCGACTTATCGCCATAGCTGGAATTGCGAGATCTCTGCACGAACGAACAGGCGTACCTTATATTGCTGGTCTATGGACGAATCACCTGGGTTTCGGGTTAGGTTGGCTTGAAACTCCTAAGCATGGATCAGCATATCCTTCTGAACTGTTCAACAGTTCTAATTCTCGACGCAGGCCGACCTGGACCTGGGCTTCATCTGACCATGAATTCCAGTATCCATTGAGGGATTTTGAAGAGGACCATGATCTCCGTTACGTGGACAGTAAAATGGTAACTCTAGGAAACGTTAACGATCCATTCACTATCATTATTGGCGGGTGGCTAAACATTAAAGCAAGAGTTTACGATGGTCCTGCGTCCTATTTCACAAAATTATGTTTGGATACTATGGCCCAGCAGGAAGTTTGGGGAACGGCATCAGCAGATTCCGAAACCGGGTCTTCTACCTTCAACGCTCCGTCATGGGGGTATATCCGACTAGGACAGTTCAACTCCCGAACAAAAAGCCACATTTGCACTGACGAATCATGGCTCATAGTGCGGCGAGCGGAGGCAAGAGAGGAAGAGTATGAGAGAATCGGTATTGCTTACCGAAGCTTCAAATATCATGAAGATGGTATAGATGGAGGTGTTACACTAGGGATCGGGGATTGGGAATACTTGGTAAGAGACCTTAAGCTGGTGTGAAAGTGTGCATAGCGTGCGTTCCTACCGTATCTTGTGGCCCTCGTGTCCCCTACTCGCAAACCCGTCTTGGGTGATCCTACGATATCGATCAGATCATCATAGAAAGACTCGCTGTCATGTATCTCGTACTTCAGAATCAGGTTTCCTTGTGTAGCTATGTCTCTCTTCACTTATCCAACGCTTTCCAAAGCCCAAATACCACCCTCATGACCCTCCTTTAACCAAATAATTGGTAGAATGGCAATTCCTCAACTACTGTTTCTCCGGAAGGTGAAACAGAGCGTCTTTCCAAGGCACTTCCCTATGGACCAGGCAGTGTCGTGAATTGGCCCCTACTAGTCATTATCAATTCGACGTTCTACACACACTATATTACAACAAATCTCTATGCACCACAGGTTAGCCTCCGAAATCACCAACCTCACCAGGCCTTGTGCATTGACACCACTTGGTTCGATCAGGACACTGAATCCGAGAGGAATATACAGTCTTTACTTATACATACCAGCCATACTAAAGCTGACCGTTCATTATCTAGCTGAGGGAAACATGTATGGATAGTTATATAGCCTTGGAATGACGCGTGGAGAGCGCAGAAATGCCGTCTACATCGATCACAGAAACCGACATCGATCACAGGGTATCCTGGAACGCAACGATCTCAGAAGCGCAAATTTCATAGCGACATGTCATTCTAATCCCTTGGTTTTTAGATGGCGGCGGTGAGAGGGTGATTCTGAGGATTGAATACCGAGGTATCTAGAACAAGATGTTGTACGCAAACCATTGATGAAATAGAACTGACTAGAATTCGACAGACAGAGTACTAAGTGATCCGCGCCATCCACCTTCCTAGTTTTACTCTTCTACACTGTGGATTTTGTAAACACATAACACACTCTTTGGGGACTTCATAAAATATATAAAATAAGTATGCAATTCTATAATCTCTATTGACGTCGTAAACGCTGCAAGCAATCATGATACAGTTCTTCCACTTGGGAACCCCCCACCCCCCTTCGACATGCAATTGAAACAAACGGTGGGATTTACCAAGCCAGCAGCAAAACCTCCTATTTCTTAGTTCTTCAGAGTATACACCACGCGTCCGCGGGAGTCTTTTCCCTTGTACTCCACCGGTTTTCCGATATCAGAAACAACCCGTCTCTCATCGCCGTTATGGAGGATGATGTCCAATTCCCTCCAGGCCGGAACAAATCCAGATTTCTGATCCCGAGTGAAACCAACTGTTACCTTTTCTTCCGTCGAGCTGTAGCTAATGGTGTACTGTGAGATGTTTGGCTTCAGCGAGATTCCGTCATCTTCAAACCAAGTTGTGCTGAAAGCTTGGCCATGCGAGCTGCCACGAGGCGGGAAGATCTCAACACCTCTGTAATCATCGAGCTCCTCAACGGCCACGGACGCCGGGGTTTCATCACCAGGCACTCGGGTGTGTACAGACTTTCCAATTGGGATCGCACCACCAATCCGGGCCAAGAGGGGAATACTTTTCTGCCACTCGGATGGAACCTCAACCCATTGCCCAGAAGCGAAATAGGTATAAGGCTCGTTCATGTTCACATATCCAAAATCAAACTGGTCATTGGCCTTCCGGGGAAGATACACCTTGGCGACGCTCACGCCCGGCTGGTAGACGCCACCAACCATAATAGTGTCACCGAACCAGAACTGCTCGTCCCCGGACTTAAGTGCCTTCGTCCAGACCTCAGGATCAGACTCGTAGCCCCAGCCCACCCAGCGCTGGGGTGGAGAGGCGGTCAAGTGACTCTCCAAACCTAGAGAGTAAATGTATGGAAGGATCTCATAGCGACGCTTGATGGTGTCCCGGACGAGAGGTGTGATCTCGGGGTACATCCAGGGTTCAATGACCTCCCCGACAGAGTTGTTTTCGGGCGACGTCTTGAAGCAGTTAATGGCAAATCGAGGGGAGTGAATACCCAGTTGGATCCATCTGAGGAGCAGCTCAGGTGAAGGTTGGGGTCCTTCGAAACCTCCAATATCGTGCCCACAACACTGCAACAGCGAGATACCTGCATTGAGGGACAATGCATTTGCACCTTTCATGCTTTCCCAGCTGGTAACGTTGTCTCCACTCCACGTGCTAGCTGCGTAGCGCATCGTACCAGCCGTAGCACTCCGAGTCAGAACGAAAGGTCTCTGGTTGGGCTCAAGATCGAGCAGGGCGTCATGAGAGGCCTTGCCCATGAGCTCTGTGTGCATTGCACGTCCCCAGTCTCCAACAGTGGCCTTGACCCCCGTCTTGGCGCCGTCGGAAACAGTTGGCTCATCGATAGCAAGCTGCCAATCATCATCTGGAAGCGTGTATTCATTGTTGTCATTCCACATTCCATCTATGCCGGCGCGCTTCAGACTCTGGACTCCATCGTACCACCACTTGAATGCGACGGCTGAAGTGAAATCGATATGGCATCCGTCACCCCCAGTTGCTCCGCCAGCACTCCACAATCTCATATACCCCGGCTCATTGGTTTCGGGGTTCTTAAAGAATCCATTTCCATCAATAAGCTTCTGGAAGTCTGGGTGGGAGCCAAGCAAAAATGGCTTGATGTTGGTAATGAGTCGAATTCCTCGTGAATGATACTTGGCAATCCACTCTTCCGGATTGGGGAACCGGTACTTGTTCCAAGTGAAGACATTGCGAACTTTGGGTTCGACTTCGGCAATTGAGTAGCCGGAGCTCATTTGATGCGCCGAGCAGGGAATTTCATGCTCTTTCAATTTGTCGGCGAAATCCATGAGCGCTTGGTGGGCGGGTGGCTCATCCATCATGGTATACTTGTATCCTCCGGAGATGTATCCGTAGGCCCATCTGGGGACGAGGATCGGGTGGCCGACAAGCTCTGCATACGACCTCACGACGTCCTTGAGTGTCTTTCCGACAATGAGATATTGTTCGAGACCACCGTAGTCTTGACGGTAGACTTTGAAATGGCCCCAAAGACCGTCAACCTCCGAGCCAATGGACCACGTTCCTCTGCCGTGTGTGGTCGAGAAGATGGCAACACATCCCGCAGGTGATGCCTTAATCAAAAGTGGGATGTGCTTGTATAGGGGGTCGGTATTATACACATCGTATCCAAAACTGTCCGTGGCTGAGAGCTGGAAATGACGACCACTGAGATCCATAGGGGCTCTCTTCTCCCCTAGTCCAACATGGAGGTCATTTCGGTCATGTTCAGTGTAGTGCGCAATTCCAGATGCGTCGGCTACATAAGACCGCAAGGGAAGATCTCTGTACAAAGGCTTTTCGGTGCCCTTCCACGAGAGCGAGACCACTGGAGTGTTGGCCCACTCAACAGAGGCTGTGATATCACCAACTTCGATGGTCTTTTGTTGAGAGCCGTGTTCTGTAGAAACATGGACGTCTTCCAAGCTGGTCACTGGCTTGGTCACACTCGGAAAAGGGGGAAGAGGATGATCCTCGGAAGAAAAGGTGACTCTGAATAGGTTTTCACGAATTGGCTCGAATGAGAAGTCAAATTGCCTCTTGTCTGAACCCGAACGGAGGTGTACAGCGGCGGAGCTCTGAGCTCCTGTTGAAGTCTCCTGATAGCTCTTAGGACAAAACTCTTTCTGAGGCATGATTGCTGGTTAAGCGGTCTGAAAAAATACAATTAAAGATGAGTTCAAATCAGCGGGATATACCAAAGTCTTGAAGCTCTATTTGAATGTTTCTACGCACATCTACCACATCTGCGTCATCGGGACTCCTCCAGGGCAACTACCGTGTATACATCGGACTTCGGGCCCATGTCCGACAACTGTGGTTGCTTTCCCCACACGACATCTCCACGCTCTTGGCAACATGTCGGTTTTTCTAACCGAACACCGATACTAATCTTCTTTAAGACTACAATATCCCCACCATTGCGTTTCTTGTCCTACACGGTGAAAGAACGATGGGAATCATTGGACGCATCATCGGAAGATGCCCGACGTTCGTCACGAGTCGTGACATGCCGTCCCGTTGTGTTTTGCCGGCATTGATGGCCCGGTCCGCACTAATCCTCGTATGGTCTACAGAACGAGCCTTGGCTTGATGGGTTTGCTCCCCCTTCGGCTTTTGGAAGTTTTATCCGGGGCTGGGGGTGATGTGTTCCCCACGGGGTTCTCCTATCAAGGCTAGTATAGTATACCTTTAGAAAATCTGAGAGTATGGAAGCAAATATCCTCCTGTGCTGGCTCACTCCTCTTGGTATCTATCACCATCTGCTCTGCGCGTTGGAGAAATTCTGAAACCAAAAGATACTTCTATTTCTTTCAAGATTCTCTTTTCTAGTACCACGGATTCTAAATTCCAGAGCTAGCTGAGTCCAGCTAGAGGACCTAAAAAGGAGAAGAAGAAAATGTCTCATCACAAAGCAGCAGTGTCAGGAGAGCAAGGTCAAGACGAGCATATAGAGTCTGTTGAAAATCCTACTCGCCAGGACAGGGAGCACATAGTTGGCCCTGGACAAGACAGAGCCCTAGACCTTATAGCAGATGCAGGACACTCATCTGTCCTCACAGCTGAGAACAACGCCCGAGTGCTTCGAAAGATCGACCTGAGGCTTTTACCCATTCTTCTCGGGATATATTTCTTGCAGCAACTCGACAAGTCGAGTCTTTCATATGCATCCATTTTGGTCTCGTCGAGACAGCTAACCTCCATGGACAGCAGTATTCCTGGCTAGGAGCAGTCGTTTACCTAGTGCAACTCGTTGCCCAACCTTTCGTTGCTTATATATTAGTCAAGGTTCCGATTGGAAAGTTTCTGGCATGTACAACCCTTTGCTGGGGCATTGCCCTGACCTGTATGACCCCGGCAAATACCTTTGCGGGCTTGTTGGTCTGCCGGATGTTTTTGGGTCTCTTTGAAGCCGGTATACGTGAGTATCTCTTGAACCCTAGGCGCTCTGGTCCTCGATGCTGATTATGGGTTACCAATAATAGCTGCTTGTTTTATCGCGGTCACGCAAATGTGGTACCGACGAATCGAACAGCCCGTCCGACTTGGCTCGTGGTATGCTATGAACGGTGTGGTGTACATGGTGCGTTGGACTCATTTGAACACACAGTGTACTGTTGTACTAAGGTCAGACTCTTGCAAGTAGTTTGGCAGTCTTCTTTCGTATGGTCTGGGCCACATAAAATCCTCGGTTTTTGAGCCCTATCAGGTTCGTCATATCCCTCAAAGTTGTTGGTGATTCAGGGATCTAACTGCCAGTCAAGATTATCTTCTTATTCTTCGGCCTCATAACGATTGCTTTCTCTGGCCTTATTCTGTGAGCGATACCACCTTTAAACCAACTGATGCGCATATCTAACTCTGGCTGCATAGGCTGTTTATGCCCGACTCGCCGATTCAATCCAAGTTTCTTACAGAAGAAGACAAGCTTCTAGCTATTGAAAGGTATGCGGCTGGAGTCAGATACTTGCCATATAGGACGCTAACAGAATCTTGTCAAGACTACGCATGAACCAACAGGGTATAGAGACGCATGAATGGAAGTGGGGCCATGTCAAAGAGGCTTGTCTCGACATAAAGTCCTTTTTCTGGTTTGCCCTGATGTTTTCAGTATCGTAAGGATTGGTCTATATCCGTCGTTAAAGTAGCCTCAACTCACAGTTAGCAGGATTCCCAGTGGTGGTATCTCAACATTTGGCCCATTGATCATCGAGGCGTTCGGTTTTGACCAATTCGAAACCATTCTATTCAACATACCGTTTGGTGCTGTCCAGCTCGTAGCAACAATGGGAGGAGCATGGCTAGCGACTAAGCTAAAAATGAAGGGACCTGTTATAGCCCTGTTATCTTTACCTGCCATTGCAGGTTGCGTCATGCTGCTGCAGCTTCCTCGTGATGGTCAGCACAATGGAGCATTACTTGCGGGATATTACATTGTAAGTCTTCCTGGGCATTGGTATTTGCCTGGCTCTGCTAATTAGAAATAAGATCTCTGTGTATCCTGGAATTAGTATGTTCGTTACGTGACATTGCGAGTGGATTGAGCTAACAGACCATTAGCGCCCATGGTCTATTCGTGGTCTGCAGGAAACACCGCAGGTGAAACGAAGAAGAAGATTACGAACGGCATTGTCCTTGTTGGGCAATGTGCTGGTAATGTACGTGAAGAATTCAGTCCGATCGGAACATTTTACTTACACCTGACAGGTTCTTGGCTCGAATCTGTACACAACCACAGATGCGCCCTTATATAGACGTGGTTTGCTATCCAAGTATGTGATAGCACTAGACTAATGATACGGTACCCATGCTGATTGCAATTATAGTCTTGCAATGTTCTGTCTCCTCGTCCTGCTTCCCATGTAAGTTTGTTCTCCTGGCCCCTATACCGGCCTATGTGTTTATATATCGCCAGGATGAATATGGCATACCTGTATTTCCTCAACAAGCAACATGAGAAGAAACGAGTGAGTATGGGTAAGAGTGCAAAGATTATCGACCATTCGATGCAAGCCGTTGGTTCAGTGCCAGTGGACAAGACCGAGCCTCAGCAGCCTGCAGTGAGCGAAGACAACGCGTTCAAAGATCTCACGGACTGGGAGAACGAGGACTTTATCTACGTTTACTGAGCGATTCAATGATGACAAAACATGGTATATGGATATATGTGTGAAGTTACTGGACCAGCTATCTTGTACAGCGCGTTATAGATGATGATAGCCGTTGTTGGATGGAGTATATCAATAATTCATTGCTTAAAGCTTGTCCCCGGATTTGAATTATTCTACGTAGAGAAGCCCACGCAGTTGTGAAAGGCTTGGCCACCTCTAGACTAGGCTCTAATAGCGTGTAATCCTAAGTTTGTTTTAAGCGAAGACATGCGCTACGTTAGTAGTTGTATCGGCATGTCTTTACCCGAGTCGGCAAGTCTCCGATGTTGACGGCGTTGCCCCGCCCCCATTAATATCACCATGCAACGATCCTCGCCCTTCTTGCATTAACTCTTTCTGTAATCTATCCTAGTTGACTTTAGTACATACTGTACACACTATATGGATTCTGACGGTTCCTCGTGTATGGTGTCGGCCCCGATTGGGAAAAAGCGCATCCCCGTATGGTCTCTCCTTTTCCAGGATATGCATGTGTTGCTGGCTAACTCACGCTAATCACAGAAGGCTTGCAGCGCTTGTCGACAGTCTAAAGTGTGCTTGAACTCTATAAGATTTCCGCCTGCATATCCATTTTAACCTTCCTGTAGGTGAGATGTGACGGGAAACGACCATGTACTAGGTATTGTCCCCGTTTCTCATACATCTACTCTAGACGATGACAAGGCCATTCTCACAGGTACAATAGATGCAGGCGCTCGCGGAAGCAATGCGTATTCTTCGAGATCCCAAGGGACCCTTCCTCAGAGTATGTATTCTGATCCCATCTCTTCAAAGCGGCCCTTTGATTGTTGGTAGAAGTGTCCAGAACTGACCAGACGGAAGACGGCTAGGGAATGTGGAAGCCGAAGTACAGCGACTGCAAGCGCAATTGAGTGACATGCATGAGCTTCTTCAGCTTCACATACAGCCAAATCCAGGACCTCTTGGAGATATAACCCAGGGTCCAGTTCCGGGGCAGCAGATCCCAATCCCCTCTCCAAGTCATATCATGTCGGATCCAGGGCCAATGCCTACATTCCCTGGAACGGCGGAGACCGGTGAATACCACTATCGTGGACCTAGGTGTATACCAGCTCACCGGAACGGCTCCATCTTCCAGCAACTGCAACCCGCAGAGGTGCATAGTCCTCATCCAGCTAGGCAGAGGCGCTCTGGGTTCGATGTTAGAGAAGAGCCCATTTCCGATTTTATCAGCAAGGGTTTGATGACAATTGACCATGCCATGTCATGCTTTCGGGCGTAGGTGCTGCGAGCCATCATGTATCTTGTGAGCTTTTGCTGATCCAACATAGGTTTTTCCAAGGTTGCGTACGTGCCCTTAGTTTCCATCAATTATCTTGGGTGCTTATTCCTCGAGCAATTTCCAGGATAGGTATATCCCGATTTTCGACCCGGAGCTCGACAACTTTGCGTCTGTGCGAGCGCGCAGTAGCATACTTTTAAATGCCATCTGTACAATTGGCAGTCGCGTTGAGACAAGTATGACAAACCTCATCAAGTACCCACGATTGCAGTTGTATACTGATGAACATCAGGATCCGGATCCCAGATCTCCGACTTGTTGCACGCAGAGCTTAAGAGGTGGATTAACGTGGTTATCCAAAACAAAACGATGAACTGTCTAGAGTCCGTCCAGGCGCTTCTTATAATAGCGTGCTATTCTGCCGAACGTTCTCTTCTACTGTCATTTGCGACCCGGATGGCATTAGACTTGAGCTTGGACGAAGCATTCGAAGAACTTATCCAGCGGCTGACCATGAAAGAGGTTGAAGGCATCTCTGAATTTCATATGACAACTGACGAAGAAGAGCGTTCTTTGATGCGCAAATCCCGGACTTGGTTTGGCCTTCTCGTTTTGGATCATATGTATGTTCACAATCCAGTGCGGGATTTATACAGGCTGATAATCTCCAGATTTCATGTAGATGGCGGAAAGCCGCCTGGCATTCGGATGACGGGCAATGCGCATCGATGTCGCATCTTGCTCCGTCATCATACATCGACAATCTTAGATTTGCGTCTGTTTTCTCAGGTTGAGGTATGGCTCCTTATCTAATTTGATCAAAAATCAGGCTGACTGCGAAATGAAAGTTGAACGTTATACGTGGTAAGTTAATATCCCATATCTCAACATAAACATGAGAAAGATGCTTACACCCTTTAATAGCAAAGATCAACGATACTCTAGATGCGAAGGAGACACTCGATAGACCGGATATTGCCGAATTTGTGCACGAGGCCAAGGTAGATCTTGACCTCTGGTTTGAGTAAGTGAATCAAGTACTTCTACTGTCTACATCACTCACTGACTTATTTAGCGATTGGTTGCGCATTATCGGTAAGATTAACCTATGAATACACAAATCCATATGGTGGTACTAATGCTGTTGAAATTTCAAGAAAGCTCGATTGCAGCAGAGCAAGAGAGGCCCTTCCTCTTGGCGGCCCTGCGCGTCCAAAAATGTTGGGCTGAGCTAATCCTCCACTGCAAAGCCCTGCTATCAATGGGAGTAGAGAATGTGGCGTACGTACCGTGTTGCCCAATAGTGAAAATATCATTCCGCCTTGCACTGACACAAAACTAGTGCCATGTCCCCCGTTGAACGCAATATCCTCCTGCTAGCCAAGTCCAGCGCCCGAAAACACCTCCGCCTCATAAGCACAGAGCCAGACTTCTACCTCGCTAAGCTCAAATACGCCATGGACTTCGTCTGGGCCAAATGCGCATTCTGCTTCCTACTCCTTCTGAAACTCTCCCGGCTTCTCCCAGAGCGAAGGGAAGAGCACCAGGAATTGCTGGACCACGGGAACAGGCTTCTCGATGAGCTAACGCGGTCTGTGGGATCAAGCGGTGAAACCACCGGAAACGGAAGTATCTACATGCAGATTTTGAGGCTGAGCATAGAGAAATACGGCCGAATCTTTCAAGAAAGAGAAGCGGGCGGGGATCCGGTGGCCACGGCGCCATTCTGGGAGTCGTTCGATGCTCAGGCGGACTTGCAGTCGTTTGTACCGGAGCAGTTTGTTCGGGAGTGGGACTTTCCGGGGCTCAATTTGTTTTATTTTCCTACTGCGTGGCAGGATTTCTTTGGGGACTTTTCGCTGGCTGTTTGATTCTTTCATTTGAGCGATAGTGTCTGTACTATAGGTGATGAAGTACTGCCAAGTTTAATAAATATAAGACATCTCCTAGGCATACAGGTCATAAGCCAAACTTTTATTACACGTTGTTCCATGAATGAGATGCGATGTGGCTTGTAAAACATATCCTTTCCGCACACATACCCACAGTTCTCTCGGAGACGCCATCCATCTACAAGCACAGCTGTCCACCCATTTGCCCCTATGAGCTAACTAGCAGCAAATCTAAAGACATGTACAAAAGCAACCCAAGTCCCAACGTCTACCAAACCACAGTCCACATAAGCTGACAACAGGGATTCAAATCCTGTAGTGGATCAAACTCAAAACCTAGTATACGAGCCATCCAATCAAGGGTACTCAATGTGTCCTAACTACAACGTCCGATATACCGACCCGAGCCCTAATCGGAGTATAACATCTCTTCACCGACACGAAAGTAACATAGTATAAGAACGAGCCCTCGATCACTTTGACCTGGGACATTCAGGCGCGTCTTTGCATACAACTCGAAAAGCAAATCCTCTCAGTCATGGTAGGCCACAACGACCCCAAGACAGGCTGGTACGTTGATCTCACCCTTACAACCATATCCCCCGACGATATCTTACAGATCCAGCTAATATCTGGATAGGTGGATGGGAGAGCCCGGAAACTCTGGTACGTTAAACCCATCAGGCTCATTCTCACAAGAATTTCTAAAATCGATCAGTTCGATCAGCATACCTACCACCCCAAATCATACTCCATTAAAAACCCAAACTGAACCAAGACAGTCCTCCCCACCCCAACCCGCATAGCCACCTATGCCCTATCCCCAAATAGACAGAAACCCTTTGCCGGGGCATTCCACGCTGCCATCTTCAATACCTTCCGGAGGTTCAGACACCAGGTGTTCTATGTTGTGCCGCCGTTTTTAGTTGCCTATGCGGCGATGTGTTGGGCGAATGAGAGGTAAATTGCTAGTTTTGAGATGGTCGTTTGTACTGTGTGTACGTGCTAAATTTGGGGTAGGAATGAGTATCTGAATTCGAAACGGGGGAGACTTGAGAGCGCTGAGTGAGAGGTTGGGTTTGTGGTTGTGTTTAGCGGTTGTGGGTTGTTCTATGTGTTTTGCGTGAATTGGATGGGGGAGTCTAGATCGCTTTTTGCTGTATAGAGAAGATATATTTATCTATGTGCACTCCGTATAAGGTCTCGGATAATATGTTGCGGTTTGGGAGGTGTGTTATCAAGTCGATCTGTTCGCCGTTCGGTATAGATACATATTCTAGGCTTTCCGCAACCCACCGATCCATTGGAACCATGGATACATTCGTACTACTAATCTATAATAATTACAACCTAGACCCAGAGCCCAGAACAGTATATTTTCCCAAACCACGGGACACGGCCTGAAATTACATAATTAAAAAGAAGCTTTAACTAGTTAAATAGATTTATACGAACGCAACCCCACGTTTCCACTCTTCCAATCTTGATAGCTATATCACAAGAATTCTGTATAAAATCGAAACTCGAATATCGTACCAACACTACCAGTTCATCTATCACTCTACCGGAATCAGACAAAAGATCTTAGTATCCATCATGACCACCCCAAATCAGAATGTAAGCATTCCTGCAACACCGTCCTATATTAAGATCTTCAACCAAACATAAAACCCCACGAACCTCTTAAATTTCATATCAGACACTTAACAAAGCAAAAACAGATAGTATCTCCCACCGAGTTCCAAAAAGCTCACAGCGAACATCTCACGCTCGAAAAAGCAGCAACACACCAGCTCCAAGCCCTCTCCGCAGCCCGCCGCTCCCTGCCCATAGTGCCCGTCCCGGATCCCGCACGCTTTAAGTTCGACACTGTCCAAGGCGAGAAAACTCTTCCAGAGCTCTTCGCCGGCCGGAGACAGCTCATCATGTACCATTTCATGCTGGGACCGGAGGACGAGAAGGGCTGTGTTGGGTGTTCATTTTGCATGGACCATATTCCTGATTTGCGGCATTTGGAGAGTCGGGATACGAGTTTTGTGGCGGTTGCGAGGGCGCCGGTGGGGAAGATTGAGGAGTATAAGAAGCTTACCGGGTGGGAATTTCCGTTTTACAGTTCGGAGAAGACGCATCGGGCGTGGGAGGAGGCGGAGAAGGGTGGAGAGGTTATTACGTGGAAGCCTGGCAATGGGTATTTTGGGCTGTGTGTGTTTTGGAGGGGCGATGAGGGGGAGGTGTTCCATACGTACTCTACGACGGATCGGGGGATGGAGATTCTTCTTGGGACGTATCATTTATTGGACATGACGCCGTTGGGGAGGCAGGAGGTGGGGAATGGGATGAATGAGTTTCGGAGAATTTATGAGTACTAAAGGGGGGTTGGGAATGTGATGTATGTAATTAGGGCTGGCTGAGGCTGGGTTCCGATGACGTCGGACGTTGCATACATTGAGTGAATTTCATGTAGTCATGTTATATCACGCATATTTCCAGTGTAGGCCTTATTGCTTCAAGGTTGGGTTCCAATGTTCCTTTCGTGAGCAGTTGAGCTCCGAGTGATAGCGCCATGGCTCTGATCTCGAACTCATCAAGAGTCTTAGATGCAGATTTATAATGAGTGAAATAGAAAAAAAAAATGTGGAGGAAAGAGAGATTAAAAACACGGTGGGGAATTTAACACAAGGAAAAGAAAGAAAGGAAGGGAAAAAAGAAAGAGAAGAAAAGAAAGAAAAATGATGAACATGAATAGAATCCTGGACGCGTCCCAATGCTGGAGAAAAGAAAATCAAGTCAAGGAAAGCAGAATGCGTATCGGCAGAAACGCAGAGTAGAAATCCTCCCACGGCAGCCACTTCATCCCACACCAAGGGAGAAGAAGTCGTCAACATCACTTCGTCCCAATGTACATAGTCGTTACTTGCACTTCATCGTGATTCTATACGTTTTTGTAGAGCAACAGCGGTTCGCCGACGTTCTCGATCTCGGGAATAGTGCACTTCAGGTCGAAAGCCTTCGCCAGGACGATCTTGAAGATCTACCAGAAAGTTAGTATTGGACGGAAACCAGGTTCGGAATGTATCTCCGTTCGCACCTTTTGTACGTTTATACTGTGGCTGGTGCTGCTGAAAATCAAGCTGGCCTTCATGGCCTTGGCAAACCTCTTGGCCTGAGCTCAAATTAGCGTGGTTATCGTTAAGATTTCTTCACGCTAACCTACCTGGATCGAGATCTCTTCCTGGTCTTCCCGGGGAAAGTTGACAAAGTGATCGTATTTTGTGCCAACGAGGAAAGGAATCGCGGTCTTGTTGAAACCACGGCCCTGGCGGTACCACTCCTTGATGGAGTTCAACGTGCTCTTGCGAGTGAGATCGAACATGAAGAGGATCGCGACGGCATCGTTGCAAACAAGAGGAAGCATGTTGACGAATTCACGCTGTCCACCCAGATCCCAGATGGAAAAAGTGATCTCCGTATTCCGGATAGAAATTGTTTTCTCCATAAAGTTTACACCTTCGCATGGTTAGAACTGTGCCCACAAATAGCGACCCCGGGTATGATCACATACCCAACGTTTGAATGTAGTCTTCGTCCCAGCTGCCCTCCACATATTTGACCATCAGACTAGTCTTTCCGATTTGAGCGTCCCCGACCATTCCGACCTTGATCACCACGCTGTTCTTCGTTTGCTGCTGCGATGGTTGCTTCTGGCTGACATCCTGGCTAGTCTGGGAGATGCCGGGTGCGCTGGACAACCCGGAACTTGGCCGAGACGATGAAGGCATTTGAGGTTGGGTCAAAGGAGAAGGTGTCGGCCGGGCATCATCATGAGACTGATACTCGCGAGTGGGGGAGTGGTATTCGACGGCGGAATGGGAGGAATAGTGGGCGCGCGAATCGCTGCTGTAACCGTCCTTATAAGGCGCTGCGGGGGCCGTATCCTCCGTCACATGAGGATCCTGTTCAAACTGGTCCGCCACATGAGGTGTGCTGGCGGACGGAAAATGTGACGCATCCATATTGAGAGGAGTGTTTCAACTGGGAGGGTTGTTGGACAAAGCTTTCCACAGCCCCTGTGGGAGTGCCTGAGGGTGAACACAGCCGCAGCTCCAGAAGAGGGAGAGCGTCAACAGCCCGATCGCCACTAGTCCACGATAGGCTTAGCGCCGTTGCCCGTCGGGCTTTCGCAGAAAAAAAAAGTTCCTGAACCCTAATCAGTCATTTTCCCTCTCTGTGAAGGTGGTTCTGCCGCACGACTGGTTCGTCGACAGTTTCTCGTTAATCCCTACCAGACAAAACTTATACACCATGTCGAAGAGAGCCGCCGACGTTTCCGATGAGCAATCCGCCGCTCTCAAGGCCGGAGAGCGCCCGATGACCGAAGCCCCTCCAGACGAGGTGGGGGAATTCGAGGACGAGTTCGAGGACGAATTCGAGAGCGAAGATGAGATCCTCGAGGCCGGTGTCGATGGCCGCCCTGATGCGGAGCGGGAGGAGGAGGAAAAGGGTAAGCTCTCCTGTTCACCCATTTCTATCGGTTCAGCTCTGATTGCGACCGTGTTCTACAGATGCGATGGAGGTCGACCAGCAGACTTTCATTCCCGGAAGAACGAAACTCGCTCCCGGAGAGGTGCTTTCGCCCGACCCTTCTACATATAATATGCTACACACCCTCACGACACCCTGGCCCTGTCTTTCTTTCGATATTGTCCGCGACAATCTGGGCGACAACCGCAAGACCTTTCCCGCGACCGTCTACGCCGTAACTGGTACCCAGGCAGAGGGACGCCGATCAAAGGAAAATGAGCTCATGGTTCTGAAGATGAGCGGTTTGAGCAAGATGGAGAAGGAGAACGATACCGACTCGGAAAGTGACTCGGATGACGATGATGACATGGGAGAACCTATTCTCGAGCACAAAAGTATCCCCTTGGGATCGACAACCAACCGGATCCGTTGCCATCAAACCCCCTCCTCCTCTGGAGATTACTCCAAACCTCCACAGACCCTCACTGCCACCATGCTGGAGAACTCGCAGGTGGTCATTCACGACGTTACCCCTCATCTTACGAGCTTCGATGTTCCCGGCACCGTTCTCCCTCCTTCCGCCTCGAAACCTCTTTCTACCCTTCGCATGCACAAGTCCGAGGGTTACGCACTGGATTGGTCTCCTCTACAGCCACTGGGCAAGTTTTTGACCGGTGATAACGATGGTTTGATCTACGTTACGACGCGCACCGAAGGTGGCGGCTGGGTTACTGATACGCGGCCCTTCACTGGACACTCTTCGTCGGTTGAAGAACTGCAATGGTCTCCCAACGAGCGCAATGTCTTCGCTTCCGCCAGCAGTGACGGTAGTGTGAAGGTGTGGGATGTCCGGTCCAAGTCCCGCAAGCCCGCTGTGGATGTGAAGGTTTCCAACACCGACGTTAATGTCATGACATGGTCGAACCAGACGTTCCACCTTCTCGCTACCGGTGCGGATGATGGTCAATGGGGCGTCTGGGATCTGAGACACTGGAAGCCGAATGCCTCGGCGCCGTCAGCCCAGATCACGGCATCGCCTGTGGCCGCGTTCGACTTCCACAAGGAGCCGATCACCAGTATCGAATGGCACCCAACGGATGACAGTGTGGTTGCCGTTGGTTCGGCCGACAACACTGTGACTCTGTGGGATCTGGCTGTCGAACTTGATGATGAGGAGAGCCGGGAAGCCGGCCTGGCAGATATTCCGCCGCAATTGCTGTTCGTGCATTACATGGAGTCAGTCAAGGAAATCCACTGGCAGGCCCAGATGCCCGGTACTATCATGGCTACTGGCGCTGCTGGATTCGGGTACGTATATCGGATACGAGTATGAGAATTCTTCCATGCTAACCTATGCTTCACAGAGTATTCAAGACGATTAGTGTTTAAAAGCATAAAAGTGCGATTCCGAGATATACGCCCCACGACTTGCCGTTCTCATACCTTTATACCATTTGTTTGATGGAAGTTCATTTAAAGTTCTCCGGGAATAGAAGTCAATGAATCTGATGACATTGTGATATTATGCAAAACATGACCGCACAAATCATGGGCGATGATGACTGACTAGTGTATTGAGCCAGAAGGCTGATTGGGTTTTGAGCGACCGTTTAGCGCGGTGCTCAGTGCGCCTCGTGACGATCCGCATGTCGGCAAATGATTGTCAAATGCCGTCGGGGTGTAAGCGAGCAGGTGGCCAGTCCTGATTTGTCGTAGACTGACCCAGCATGCATACACACTGTGGTAAGGGAAGAAAAATATTCATCTAAAAGCCTAAAATGGCGATAGATACGCCATTTGCAAACTTGAAGGCATGCAGCAGAGAGGCACGTGTAAAACAGTCGTAGAGTGCAACCATCTCCCGTGACCCGGCATATCACAGTCCTTCCCCATGGAATCTCGTGGGGATCAAAGTCTGGGGCATCCAATCAGACGTGCGCTGAAAACGTTCCCCATTTCTGCGCAAATGCGGGGAAAGCTGTGCCTCGATTGGTGTGTTAAACGTTGTCGCCAACCTGGGCCAAATCCCTCGACTCAAACCTTCAATTTATTGTTGATCTCTCGGGCAATCACTCTTTTGCTCCTCATCTCTTGTCCCTGCAGTGCGCAGACCTGTCGGTTGATCAGTTCACTAAACCAATCCGCCCATGCTTGTGCTTAATTTGTATCATTTCCCCGCAGCGCTCATCGCTCAGCACCAACTGCCCCGCAAACTGCCATGAGGATCGGAAGGGGATGTGAGCGTTGTCGCCTTCGTCACATTCGGTGTACTACTCGCGCGGGGGCTTCGTCATGTAATGCATGCGCTCGCTTAGGACGGACTTGTCGTCTCGATCCTCCGTTCCGTTTCAAGACCGTTCGGCATGTGTATCAGAAGAGCCAAGGGACTGCCTCCAAGTTTGAGTTGGAATGGGACTCTGCACAGACATGGGTGAACGTTCCTCGGTCTTGTATGTTCTGCTATTTCCACCTCCATGTTCTCTTTTTGTCTAGATTAGTCCCGACGGGGCCCTAACTCATCCGCTTTAGTGACCTTCGTTCACGAGTCAGCCGAAGAGTCAGCGGATGGGAGCGTCAGTGATGCTCCGAATGAGCCTCAGGCCGAGACCCAGATTCCGGGCGGCTCCCATACATATATCCCGGATCCTTTCGTCGCTCACCTGCCTATCTCCGGATCTCTGAATCCACACGATGAGGCCATTGGCATCCCACATGTGGAACCAGTAATATCGACTCCTTCAATACACGATGAACAACACTCCACCAAAGCCACGGCGATCTCGCCGGGGGCTGTCAATGACATGGTCTCCCCTTTGGCATCCAATAGCACCTGGTCGCCGATGACTCCATCCACCCCGCGCTCGACCTCCTCATCGACGATGACATCGCGGGAGGCGTTCCTGTTGCGCTCATACATCAACAAAATATCGCACTGGGTAAGAACCATACACTGTCCGTCGTACCTCTCAGTAGCAGAGGATCTGATCACTACAACAGTTAGATATCTGTGACTCGGGATCTACTTTCAACACCGAGGTGCCTCGCAGAGCGCTACATGTACCGATGGTTTTGAAAGCAGTATTAGCGCTCTCTGCACGACACGATGCGATCATGTCCGGCGGTAGTGATTGGGAGGCCTCCGAATACCACAGCCAATGTGTAGAGATACTGCTTGCCGCTCTTGCGCGGCCGGAGGAAACGTACGACGACAACATGCTGATTTCGGTCGTGATCTTGCGAATCTACGAGGAACTCGAGAGTACGACCGATGAAAAGTGTCATTGGCTTGGTTCCAATCGGTTGCTCAATACTATGTCCCGAGCCGCATCCTCTGGCGGGTTGACAGAGGCTGCTAGCTGGCAGTTTCTACGGCAAGCCATCTACGCATCCATTGTCCAAAATCAGCCTATGCAGCTGGATCTTCGGAACTACGAAAGGTCATCTGTTTTCAAGCGGGGCGACGACGCTGCCTATGCCAACACCATCATCTTCTACTGTGCCCGGATCATTCAACTCTGCTCGGAAGGCCATGTAGCAGCCGTGGATGAGGAGGACTGGCACGATTTGTCCAGCAGCGTAGAACAGTGGTACCGCGACCGGCCCGTCAGTTGGCAGCCACTGCAGTACAAAGACGCCAATCCAGCAGAGAATCGACCGTTTCCCGAGTTATGGGTCATGTCACCCCCAGCCGGTATGTACATGGATCAGAGTGGACTGGGATATATGTTGACTGGTATAGTGGTCGGACTGCAATATTATCACACCTGTCAAATTCTCCTCACGTCGTCCGACCGCCATTGGGGCGTCGTGAGCAACTATGAGCGTGCACGGCTCAGACGTATAGAAGAGGTTCGTCCTTCGAAGTGCCATCGACAACTCCATATATATACTCACCGTCCACAGAAAGTAATTGCATCACACGTGGTGCAAGTGATCGGGCTATCTTCGTCGAACGAAACCGTCGAAAATGCCTATTTCATGGCCTGCCACCTACTATATCGATGTAAGTTCGTCGATCTCCGGTTAAATGGCTTTCCCGTCCTAACCCGCACAGATGGACACTGCCTGCGCCATCCCGCCGAGAAGCGGGGATCACTCAAATTCCTGACTCAGGTGGAGGGCTCCGTGGGCTGGCGCACGGGATGGATTATCCGTGAACTCGAGGATCAATGGAACGAGCTGCAGGGATTGGATTCGTGGGAACTCGAGCTGCAGCCGAGACGGATGTAAAGTATATTTTTCCCTATATTTTTTTTCTTTTCCTTTTTTTGCTTTTTGGTGGAGTTGGCGTTCCGGCAACCAGTCAACAGCCTTGATGAGGGCATGACATGATGCAATGATATGATTATCTCGATGCCTGATGAGCGGGGTCGCGACGGAGTGGGTCTTGGCGTACAGGGTGATAGACGATAGAGAAATTAGAGATATAAATAGATTCCGCTGTGAAGAATGTTACCGCCTGCGCTATATCAAGTCAGTCGTAGTACTACTACTACTCCGTTACTGTGCTCTTTGTTCACACCCCCAGGCATCCATATATCCCATGGAACGCCAGAGGAAAATCAATCCAATCGCCACCGATCAGACCCTCGGAGATTTCCCGGCGACCTCCTCTGTATTAGCTCCCGCAGTAGGGGTACACTGTTGCCTGGTACGCAGGAGTTCTCCGGACCATCGGCACCAAAGGCGAATGAATTACTTAACAGAAAAGCCCTAACCACAATAAAAATAGCAAAACCATCGCTGTACAATTCACACATACTAATCAAATCAAATATTACAAATCTATCAAATACCCAAATACACAGGTTGAAAGCGAGACACCCAAGGAAATTCACATGTCGCCAACACACGATCTGCAAGACCGCCAATACGCCGGAGTATAACTGAGGGAATCCGTGACAGCAATGCGAAACCAGGGTCCAATGCCAAGACCCGGGCTAGGGATCCTGAGAGTGGGGACTCGGTTACAGCTATGCCTTGGGGGGGGCGGTGCTTTAGAATTTCTTTCTGGAAGGAGGGAATATTTTCATTATCGCATGATTTCATTAGTTTATCCTATTTGTTTGACGGGTTTATGGTCGGTCACTGGCTCACGTTGCATTGCACCTGTAGACCCCAATTCCTGTCTGAAGGGTGGTAGAAGTGAAGTGGTCGAGGTGAAGTGGATGGAAAGCTAGCAAAGTTGCCCTATCTTGGCAGTGGGAACTGGGGCGTCGCCGTGCCTGATGGATTCTGCGTAGTTTCTACCCCGGCGATGGCCGAGACGGGATGGGAATGTGATTAGTATGTGTAGTCCAGTCTGTCACTTGTGATGATTTGCTCTCTGTCGGAGGGGGGATTGGAGTCCGGTTCCGGTTTTGGAACGATTGATGTAGTAACTCCCTTAGTAGTAACTAGTAGTAGGAGGTTGTGTCTTCTTCAGTTGCTCAGCCACTCGGAGATTATTGTACAGATCTTTGTTTGGCATTGGACTGGTGTGATTTCATTATTCGTTTTAGTTCTAGTTTTAATTTACCCCAAGGGTTATTATTCATGTAAATACCCTTTTGGTTTTGCTTCTCCCACTTTTTTTTTTATAATATTATTTTTATTTTTTTTTTAACTCCCTTTTTTTTGGCTGGAGATAGTATATGTGTTGTACTGCGGTTTGCATATCGCAGTCCTTCTCGCGCGAATGAAGTCAAGACATTTACGGTCAATTTCTGGGCTTTTGCTGGGTGGGACGGGGGTTTTGGCTTCGAATTCATGTGCGTAGTGCTTCGTCTCATTTTCTTTGCTTTTGTAATTTGATGCCTGTCAGGCAGTCCAGGTTGAATTGACACAGCTAACTGTTGGCAGGCTCGGGAAACCTGAGGATATCTTCCCAATCCGACGCCGACGCCCTCAAGGACTGTGAAACCATCAACGGCCCGGTCACTGTCTCCTCCTCCTCCAGCGGTACCATCAATATCCCCGAACTCCAAGACGTTAGAGGCCCGTTCACGGTCGAGGGATCGTCAAATCTCAATGCCGTCACCGCGAGCAATTTGCAATCCGTCAGTGGGCCACTCACGATCAGCGGTAATGGGGCGCTGAACAGTATTTCAATGTCGAATTTGCAGACTGTCGGGGGTGAGCTGAAGGTTCAGGGGAATGAGGGGTTGAAGGAGCTGAAGTTGGATAATTTGGAGAGGGTTAATGGGGATTTGACCCTGGATGGGGACTTCGACCGGTTGGTTGCTTCTTTTGAGGGGGTCATTTTCTGGCATGTGGTCGGGTGCTGATGTTGATATAGGATATCGCTTGGGAATCTGGACAATGTCTACGGCAAAACAAGTATTCAGAGCTCGGGCTCGTTTCAGTGCTCGAGTCTGGATGAGCTTAAGTCGGACAATGGAGCGTTCAGGGGCTCGTTCTCTTGCAATGAAAAAGGGTCGGGGCTTAGCTCCGGCGCGAAGGCCGGTATCGCTATCGGTGTCATACTCGGTGTTATTCTCCTCGCGCTCCTCATCTGGCTCTGCATACGTCGAAAAAGGAAACAAAAACGGAAGGATGCAGCCCTCGCTGGCCTCACTGCTGCTGGCGCCGCAGGGGCGGTAGGGAAGGATGTCGAGAAAGCTGAGAATAAAGTGCCTGCTGCTGTCTCCAATAGTTCCCCGTCCAGCCATGAGCCACCAAGTCCGCCGTCTGATACCGAGGTGGTGGCGGCGAGTAATATACCCAGAAAGCCTCTTTCTCCACCCCCGCCAGCATCGGTACCTGCAGCGTTGGTGCCTGGCGATCGGTCTTCGAGGGTTCTTTCCAACCCGGATGACCCATCGTTGTTTCTGCAGGCGATGCCGAGGCGGAGACCTTCAGAGTCGGAGGTCCCCATGTTGGATAGCGAGAACGTGCATGAGGCGCCGGCGCCTGAAGTTGGGAGGCAACAGGAGGGGTTGTTTGAGCTGGATGCTGGGCCTGTGAGTGGTAGGCATCAGCAGGCTATACATCATGATTGAGGAGTGGGCCTTCCTTTACGTGCAATGATAATAATGATACCTTTTGTCTCTTTCAATGTGGTTTGTTTCTTGTTTGAGATTCGCGGTGGAATGACTAGATGTCAGCAATCACAGGTCCAATGTCCCAATTCCCTGTATTATCCAGTCCAGGTCCGGCTTTCATCCGGTGGGATTATGGTAGATAAATCTGGGACGAATGACATGGGTTTGACCGAAAAAAACATCAATTAGGTGCTAAACTCGTAACCAGTGTATATCCATGGTAGTATACATCAACATTAACAATCATCTATTCAGGTCGAAATTCCCTTGGACCGCGGGGCTCGCACTGCCTGCAGTGTTTCGCCCGACGGCAACGGCCCGCACCATCCATATGCATCGCATCGGCACTGTTCGTAACGCGGACAACTGCGGCCCGTTAGCATCTCCCCCATCGTAAAAGACAGGAACCCAAAAGAACTTACTATATGTCCTTCATGCCGAAAACAATATGCCACACCTTCTCAAACACCCACCCGACGCCAAAACTATCCGTCAACTCCGTCTCCGCCGCCCACTTAAGCATCCGCTCGTAATCGTGTCGCGGTCGCTGGAGGATCCGTTCCCGGCTCACGGCGAACTGTCCGCAGCAGACATTGCCGATATGCTGGGGAACCTTCTCCGGGCCGACATTGAAGAGAGTCTCGTAGACCTGGGGGAAGTACGCGCGGATGTCATCTTTTTCGATGTCAATCTGCGTCGGGTCCCATGGGTTGACGCTCGTCGGACAACCAGGGTTATGCTCGCAGCGGAGATTGACATATCCTTGCGCGTCGACGGCTTCGAGACGGAGATGGGGCAGCACGGAGCTGGTGCGCGGGCCGAAGAGGTCGTTGTGCCACTGGTCAACGTTGGAGTGGATGAAGATGGTGTACTTTGGGAGTTGATCATAGTAGTCTACCAGATAGGATAGATAGGCGGTGGCCTCGCGACCGCGAGTTGTCTCAGGGACGAGAAGGTAAGGGGCGGGAGGGGTATCTGTGGTATAAATGAAAGGGATTGTTCCGCTGTGGGCAATTAAGGTTAATCATTAGCATTGAGGCGGTCCGTGATTTGGGGTGGTACAATATCGTACTGATCCCGGCAATAATTGAGGAGCCAGTTAAGGTCCTCTCTTTGCGTGGCTGCTAGCACCAGTCCAACTTCACTTGCATTCGTGTAGGTGTTCGTGATCTCGGATAATTGGCGAAAGACTTGGTTGTTGACGGGCTCAGGCTCTAGATATCTATGAGCCATGATATCATTGGGAATGTGGGAAACTCCCTCTCGGAATGGGGAGATAGGGGGGGGCTGAGATAAGTATACATACCGGGTTGGATGTCCAACGGCTCGCTCATGTATAAGAACATAGTCACCAGAGTGGTGAAAACTAGTGCCAAACATCCTAAACACACCGTTCGAGGGGCAGGCCAGCGAAACAACCGTCTCTTAGACATTATAGATGTATGAGCACTCTCACGGGCGAGAGGCCGAAATGGGGGAGAAGCAAGGGAATGGCGGAGGGGATGGGAGGATGAAGCGTGTCAAGAGTGGTCGATGCATTGAACTAGGTGTTATCAGCCATTTTGTTGGAGAGTCGATGGACCACTACGATGGAGCCTCAACCCCAAAGCACAAATCCTGGCAGGTCTGCCTTACGTCCTACGGAGAAAAAAAAAAAAACAGAATTGGGGGCAGAACCTGAGTGGATCCATGGATGGCCTCACGGTAAGGGGCGAATCGCATCCTGAATATCAACTAATGGTTCTCCAATCAACAGAATCTGGATGAGCGGAAGGCCCCAGTGGGGCCATTACTGTCATACCATTGGTATGCGGCACGAGCCACCCAACTACTAGTCTTCGTCACCATCGCCCTTTAGGATTAGGGACAACTTATTTAACTTATTACAATGTCTTTGAGCCCCAAGGAGAACCAATGGGGACATTTTTGATGTTGGATCGTTCTTCGAATCGTAGTGCCTAGGTGGGTAATAATCACTGCTCGGAATATGTTTTTCATCGGCCCTCCCAGACTGGCACGCTCAGTGACGACGAAGCTTGCGTGGCACCTTGTGTGATTAAGTAGACAGCAGAATAGTCCCGATTTAAACTGACAACCAATCACCTACCAAGCCAAGATGTCCGCGGAATACAAAAGTCCTGTCAATAAAATACCTAACTACTCCGGAGTACAGTATAAATAAGTGATCTGTCATGGCCGAGACCTTTCCCGCAAATTATATATGCATATCATTTCCGTGCCGCGTCCACCATTGGTGTGATTAATGATAGCCCCGCCTATTTATTTTTATTCTGATTCTGATTTTGAGCCCGAAAATTCGAGAAATTTAACGTGACGACTTTCCTACTGAAGTTTAGCGACGTGCAGTGTTAAATTCTAGGTCTGGTTAGGCGGAGCAATCCGTCCCGTGTCAGGAACCAGGAGCTCCACCAGATCACGCATCGATGGATCCACAATGAGTGACTTTGACTGAGGAAGAGATATCGCAGTACTACCTCAATGAGCATCCGGAGTAGTGAAGTGTGGAGGATTGGCATTGACTGGGCATGGATATTGCCATGTCATCACTAGCAATGGACAGCGAAAGCAACCTGGTAAAAGTAGTGGAGGGATCACTATAAGTGGACTATTTCATATACCAAAGGCATTGCGAGAATCACATTATTAGATTAAGAAGAGAAGGTGTCTGTCAAAGGCGTCCCAGAAAGGGACACCTATTCGAGAGCTGTCGGCTATTGTTCCCTCGCGTGCCTAGATCATATGGGTAAGCCGGCCTCTAAAGTATTAATCAACACCTGGGCAAGGATTTGAATACTCGCTAGTTTGGTCATACGCGCCAAGGGCTTTGATTACTTGAAGTCACGCACTCGATGGGAAAGGAAACTCCTTGAAATAGGGAAAAGATGTTGCAAAGAGGGTGAAATATGATAAAACATACTAAAAAGGTAAGATATACAAGGATGCGTAGTGTACGGAGCTCCGCTAGTAGATTAGCAACTGATGGCTCAATGGGAACGCTGAACTGGTTAAACAAAAATTGTTCCCCTGCAAAGTTTTTTGACACGGGCTCGAGCACCTTCGGGTCTAACATTACTTTGTACTCCGTAGGAATATTTTCCCGGCTATCGGTTATGATTCTTTATAGTAAGCTTAAAAAACTGACAGTTACTATATAGAAAACAATAAAAATTGCTTGAAAAATATACAGGAAGCAATTAGATAGAAATACACTAATAATACGGCTAAGAATCTTTCTCACTAATACTATACAATCTACTCGGTGGGAGCCAGGCCAAAGTTGAGCGAGAGGTGCGTAATGTCTGGCCCCAAGCACTCAATGAGTATGTGATCCACACTTGATCTTATTAGCCAGATTTCCTGCAAGCGGTCGAAGAGACATATGGATCAATATATCACTATTAAGAAGGATCTAATGTTAATTATAGAGGCAAAGGACAGAAGCTCAAGTAACAATATCGATCATTCTTATTCTACACACTGCAACTGTAATAGGTTCTCTATCACCTTATTACTAGTATCTACAAAGTGGAATTGTTTGGCAATGAAGTTAGACAAAACCCTTTCTAAGCCATACCTTGTCCATAAAACTTGGATGGACCAGAGGGAGATTACTGCATGGCGACTCTTCCAGAAACAAGTCTAATTGAATCGACTTAGAGAAGATCTGCCGCATTTATCTGTTATTGACTCTTTTGCACGGAGGTAACTGTGCTATAACCAGCACTAAATGTTCCAAAATGAAAACTGTTGACATGCCGACGACCGCTGGCGCACTTGTACACCGTAAGCTAAATGAAGCTAGGGACGCACCTTGGCTAGTGCAGCTGTCCGAACTGGGCGATTTCATTGTTTGAGAGACATCGGATGATCTTCCTAGGCCATATGAACGCTTCAATATAGATACTTATGCTCGTTAAAAGAACAGGGAAGTGTGCGGCCTATTTTCGCATATAGGGCCAACCCCAGCTTTTCATTCTCTCAATAATCGCCAACTACCCTTGGACTTCCGACAATCAACAATCGAAGGATACCTCCTTGGTTTGCTAGAAGTATTATCTGATAAGTCTCGACTTATTCAAGCTGACAGTGGTGATACCACTCGGCTTCCTGTGATTGAGGTTGATCTTGAAGTGGGTGGACTTCCAGAACTATTGAACCTTCCAACCACTGACAATACTCTGAACCCATCACGATACAGGCCACCGATAACAGCTCCTCATATGGACAAGGATTGTCAGATGCATTCTTTCTCTAGCTGTGATACAGGATATTGACGACTACTAGGTTAGCTTACTCAACTTCTCTCTCTTCATCTGCACTTGCATATCGCTATGAAAATAGCAAACGCTATCATGGTTACCGCGACGGCAGTAAGAATTTACCCCAAACAAAGCAAAGTCGATGCATTCTCATAGTATGACAGAATACCTTGGACCCAATGACGAACAAGAATCCGCTAGGCTTGGTATGAGATGCTACTGGTAATGATAAACAGGAAACTGTTTCTGGCCCCTATCGAGTCTCCGCCAGGACGTGTGTTAGACGTCGGCGCTGGAACAGGGATATGGGTAATGGATTTTGGTGAAGTCCCTAGATCAATACGCCTTCAGGTTCTGTACTAACTTGAACAGCCGACAGCCACCCATCAGCGGAGATTGGGCCGATCTACATTAAATTAGAGCAACGGCCCTTGAGCTGACATTAGCGCTTTCCAGGGTATTGGAATGGATTTGAGCCCAATACAGCCTCAATTGTGGGTCGTCAACTTCTGTGTGCTGGGCCCCACTGATAGAATGATGTCGCAGTGTCCCTCCAAATGCTAGGTCCTTGGTCGACGACTTCGAGAATGATTGGATCTACCAAGACCAATTCGACTTCATCCATGGTCGATATTTGGCTGGAACCGTGAAGAACTGGCTGAGGCTCATAACTGAGGCATACAAGTTGAGCCTCCCCTCTCACAACATGATCCCCTGATTTACTCCAACGGGTACACGAAGCCTGGAGGATAAGTTGTGTTTCAGGACTGGGATGTCGAGGATGGGTCCATCAAAGGCACCTCGGTTAAGAAATACTACTCGGTAGTTTGTGGCAGTTTCACCAAGGCCGGGTTTATGATTAGTCCAGGTCCGTCTAGGTGAGTGGCTCCAAGAAGCAGGGTTTGAAGAGGTTCACGTGCAGAAGTACCGTGCTCCTGTTGGAGGCTGGCCGAAGGATCAAGTATTATGTATGTGGGACCAGGTCGACCGCTGGTAGTGCTGATCTAACTGGCTTCGAGGCAGGGGCCATGGCGACCCTCACAAGGTTTGAAGGCTGGTCGAAAGAGGAGGTTAATGTGCTTGTGTCAGGGGCGAAAAGGGATGTCCGGAATCCTAACGTGCATACTCCGTACTATAGCCCACTTGTAGGTGAGCTGGAAGCTATATTGTCCGCTAAACCGTTTCGCAGTCATGTTGTGTGTGGCCAGAAACCTACATCACCGACCGAGCCATAACCTTGAAGTTTTAAGAAGTCCATATGGGTGGAGCTGTCAACCTCCCCTGTGGCAAAAGCAATACCGCCCTATCATGGTGGACTATAGGCGAGGACAACCGATGCACCGGCGGGACTCGCGCGACCCTACAGGGAGGAAAGTGGTGTGGATCTTCCCGAAGACCGATTGGTTGTCGTATCCAAGGAACGCCACCGACCCGAATTTCTCATGCGACTCGATCTAGACTATCGACAAAAGGGGATTAGCTGGGGGTGGTTATGATGCCGATCGCAGCTGAGAAATTGCAACCCGTGGATGTTGTTCATTTGCCCGCTGGTCTCGATTTGGGGATACCACACGAAATTCCTGGAGCCGAGTTACTACAGCATTAACTTTTGTTGAAGACCGAGGAAGCCAGTACGTCTTCAATAACGGAATACGTCATGGCGCTGAAGGGTGACACGCCTTCGCCACGACGAGTGCCTCTATGGATCAATTAGCACCAGCACAAGAATATACTAGTACACTCTATTCCCACCACAGAGTGACAGCACCGAATAAAATGTTGTCCCCACGTGGCATTGACCAGAGGCAGTGTCACTAGAAAAACGAGCCAGGAAGATTCTTCCACCGAGTGGATCAGCTGATCATGACTAAGAATTCATCAAAAGACCCCGTCGAATTTCCCTTCTTGCTTAAAGGACCAGAGCTGCAAATTCACCTACCGGTTTCACAACGTCATGAGAAACAGTTTCGCATACTCTTGTAGTTCCCGATAACACAATCTGGTTTAGGATACATAGCTTGAATTGAGTCGTTCATGAAGACAAATTCATGTGTGACGAACTCCGCCAGTACTACTTACGTGCGTCAGAAGCTATTGCCACTAACATGTCCAGTAGGATCACAAAGAGATTTCCATGACTCGCCCGGAAAGCATCCCATATTTTTAAACCATGAGTCCACGACTTGAGAAACATTCACCGTCACACACTGGGCGGTCCCCGTCTCACTCCTCAGAGGATGGAGGTTCCCGCTTCGCCTTCGTAACCGAGGGCACCTTGGCTGAAGCTCGCAGTCATGCAATGCGGGAGCATTGGAGGCAGCGCCAACGGCGCAAGCAAAAATCAGAAGATCGCCGAACCCAGAGGAAAATATTGCCTCACACAAGCCCCGTGGAGAATAGTAAACCGAAGCCAAACCGCGCTTCTGAACCAGTAGTTGACTATCATTGTACCGAGGATGTGTTCCTACTGCACCAGCCCAGTCCGACTCGTATAAAGACCAGATACTCGGATTACGGCGAAGAAAACACCGAAGCCCAGCATGCTGGGGTGCCAATACAGGCCTTAACTGGACTCAACCACGCCCTCGCGTCTTCCAGGCTCGACCCCTTTGAGATGTTTCCGGTTCAATTGACAAGTAAACATCACAAATTGCTCCATCACTGTGTGTTCGATGAGGGATAATCCTATGTGCCAGAGTGGCTAATTCGATGCCAGGGCTAATTACCCACGCGACTATGATGTTCGAAGATGTCGCCATTCCGAGCTTCAACCCGATGAAAGATGTTTGGTTCCCCCTGGATCTCTCCAACGCTGCTTCTTTCTATGGTATTATGGCCCACTCAGCAGCTCATCTGGACCATCTCTACGCGGGAATGAACCCTTCAAAAGGAACCGTCTCTGCCGATGCGTTGAAGTATAAATCAGAGGCAGTGAGCATACTCTCTACATGGATGGCCGACCCAGAGAAATCGCTGAGTAACGATGCCTTTGCTGCTGTTATTCGGCTTTTAACATTTGAGGCACGTTCGCTCCCTCTCGCAATGTTTTCCCAATGTGCCCCTCTTCTCTTCCCACCCGGCTTGTCTGGTGGCTCAAATTGATACATGACTGACTCATGTGCAGAGATACTGGGGGACGGAAGAGGAGTGGATGGTGCATCGCACTGGCCTTCAAAGAATGATTGACGCACGGGGTGGTATTGATAAACTGCACGATAATTGGCGGCTGGAGCTTGTCGTTTATCTGTAAGCTTCTATATGGCTATGGCAGTGTCATAGCTAATGTGTCAAGCAGTGTCTCCTTAATGTCCAAACCAACGTGGTTCGCGTCGTCGAACAACATATCAGAAATATCCGAACAGTCCTTCCACAATGCCGCGAAAGCAGCATTAGTGGATACACAGAAAGTCCGCTGCCTATGGCTGATATCATTCATCCAGGACATGCGAACTCTCATGGCATTTTCATCTCGGCTATATATGGACGGTCTTGCGTCTTACCCCTCTCTGTACGATGCCGTTTTACTCCTACGGTCGAATTTCCACCTAGCCAACGAGAGTCCTCCCCAGACTGCCAGTTTTCCCTCCGACTACGATAGACTGGCTTGCCTATTCTCCATCTGCATAACGATGCAAGAATCCATATCCCGCTCGCATGTCACGGCAGCGTTACCCGCGCCTGAGATTCATAACGACATGGCATTACTGGATGTGGCTCTTGCAACCTCGCGAAACGTATGGGAAACATCAGTGTACAGTCTGCGTGCATTCCTGCATCACCACTTCGTGGCATATCACCCAGACGGAGCCGCGAAGATCGACTATGTCATGAAGATGACGGACGTTCTGGGCCATCTGAGTCTTGAGGCACGTAGGGGTGTCGAAAAGTGTCTTTTGAATATGCTGTGTCGTGCACAGGAGGGCAAGCTATTTTTCTTAGCTGATGATAGCTGGACTCCTGATTCGCTGCTGTCGTCTGTGCACGGCCAGTAATTTTTTGTGGTCTTTCTTTCCTTTTTTTTCTGTTTTCATGCTTTCTTCGAGCTGACTGCTTTTCGGCGATATCTATTTCTTGCGGCCGCTATATGTCCCCGCGTCTCGGAGATGAAGGGTCAATTTATCAACCCTAATGTATATACCTTATGGCAGATATTAACAACAATTCTATATGAATCAGGATACTTAGTCTCATTAAGTCGATATATCCCTACTTAAGCACACCTGGCCACCGAGCGAACGCGATTTCACCAGGCCGGATTGCCTATGCGGAGGTCCTACGGTTGACGAAACGGTGTAGGCTGTATACTTGATTTGAGTACAGTGGAAGTACAGCTAACTAAAACTGGATGGTAGAACTTTAGTGATTTTATAGAATTCTTCGGTTCCACCCCCGATATACTAATCCATAGCTTCTAAAAATACATACTATGGAACAGGATCGGGACAAGGATCGGGACATAGTTCTTGATTCACTCTTTTCTTAGAGTCCTCACAAGGATAATCTTTCCTCTTGTGAATGACATGTTTTGGATCGTTCTTCCAGTCTTTCTATATGACATCGTATTCCAAGTAGCAGCGCATGTCGACCGCTAGGTCAAGGTGAAGATATGGTTCTGGTTTTCTTGGGAAAGGCACCCTTAGAGAATGGAGTCTTGAAGGAAACCAAAGATGGATTTTTAGTTATTTTTATATCTAAATAAAGCGAGGGTGTAAAATGTGAATTGCCTATACCCGACTTAACCTCTGATGATATTTAACTGAGTCAGTTCACATTTTGTGTTATGTACATCTGCATAAGGGTGTCCAGAGACAATTAGGTGTGATGAGCAGCTTCCACAGGCAATCTTTAAGAATTTCTAGGACCGTCTGGTATTGTTTGGAGGAGGAACCGAAAGTGTGTGGTGAAAGGGGAACAATATTAACAACTTCCCCGCGGTACGAAAGTGGAACTGAAAATTAACTCTGATAAGCTCGCGTCACCCGAGATTTTTTATCGCCAATCGGTCTCCGGAAATTTACCTTGACCACTCACTTGGTCTCTTGAGCTCTAGATTTCTTCCTTACGCCTCGACCGGTCTCCACCTGATGCAGGGTCCTTGAAGCTTTTTTCATCTTCCATTGACGGTTTTTACTTACACCCGTAGCTACTATAACCACCACAATGGCCGACACAGACGAAGCCGCCATTCACCTTCCGTCGCATGACTCCGCGACACACATCGACACGGACTTGTCCGATGAGACGCAGGACTTTCGCATGCTGAGCAATCTTTCCTTGTCAGTGTTGCTGGTTCCTAGCCCACACGTATTATGGTTATATCATGGACTGACTCGGAGAATAGCCTCGCAGATACGTCGCAAGCTACTCTCCCCAAACGCGGTGAGAAGGACTTCGAACCGAACCCAACCCTGTACCAAGCCGATATCCTAGATGCCTCACGTCAGGCTATGCACAATGCCCTTGCGCATCCGCGGTTACACAATCCAAAGAACCAGATCATTGGCATCTACGCGCCCGATGGACCTGCTCCGCCTCGATCATTAGCTACGCCAAAAACACTAGACACCATTGCAGAGAACGATACCCCAGCACAAACCGCCGAGGCGGAGGAAAGTCAGTCTAAAAAGCCTGCAGGCACTGGGGCAAACGTCCATCCGGATTCCTGCGTCTACGTAACGAACCCGAAGGGACAGTTTTTCAAGAACATGGGGCGCGCGGATCGGTGGGGTCGGATCTGGCTTCTGCCAGAGGAAGCTTTGTATATGCTTGAGCGAGGCAGTCTGGATGTTAGGTGGCTGCAGTCAGCAACGGGATGTGAGGATGATGGTGAGACGGAGGACTCTGGGATCCCAATGAGCTTGCAGGCTGCGTATGCGTGTTTCATTGGACATGGGGGGTTAACGATCGATCGGTTTTCTGTTTACTCCGGATTGAGGAGGTTGGGTTACACACTTATCCGAGCTCCTGGGTGGTACGATGAGGCGGAGGAAGAGTTCGAGGACCCAGAATCAACCAAGCGACAAGGTCCGGGTCTGGCGGGAATCTATGGGCGATTTATGAACTGGCTGCATAGCTCTACTACCACGGCTGTAGGGCCTGTTGCTGGCCTTGGGATCCATCGCAATTACAGTGAGTCAGGCTAAAATTGTCTCTGTAACGTGGTTCCGTTCTAACGCTATACAGATGATATCTACCGCAAGCTTTCGATAATTCCTTTCTACGACCCTACAGCTCCTTTATCCCAAGCCCCGCAGACGAAACTGCCATTCCGCGTTGTATTCTATGTCTACAAGCCATCTACTCCATTCCGCAAATCTGCCCCTCCTGCACCGGACTTCAGAGTTGCTGTCGTTAATGCTCGCACGCAAACTACGGTGCCAACGTTAGCTCAACTCGGCACCCTCCTTGAGAGCACACCCCTGGATCCGCCAAAAGGCGAGAAGATGGAAAGAATGCTCTACATGCGACTCCGACATGGATACCGGAACGTTGTCTTGGCGGTTGTCGACCAAGGCGTTGTAAGCTACCTCCGGGTCGCCGATGCAGCGTTTGGAAAGGAAAAACTATATAATAGACCTGCTCCTTCCGGGAATAAACGGGGTGCGAATCCTCGCAACCCCCGGCCGAAGCCCAAGGGCCGGTGATGCCAAACGTTATTGGTAATGATTCTGGTTTATAAGTACACAACATACCAAGAAAGTTTCCAGATTTATACGGCGCTACCCGGACCATGAGGCGACAGCACAGCCAATTCGTGTTATGGGTCCACACTGATCTTGGCTGCCATAAAGTATGGTACGAAACAGAAATGTCTCCCCAGGAATAAGGTCTCGATCTCCATGGCGAAGAAGGATGAGGACCTAGTAGAAGGAGGGAGAATTGACGTCATCTGCCATCATCTTTAGGACGTCCGTCTATGATGAAGATCGGACGTAGATGCTCAGATGGCGTGCAGTATTGATAGGGAACGAACAAGGGCGTGGTTTTCCATACCAGAACATGATGTATTGTGTTCATGTCATACCGTTTACCCTCCATAGCCTTCAGGACACGGTATTCTAGTAGTGTCAACCGGGACAAACCCATATATACACGAGGCCCAACGCCATGCGCACTATCCTACCCACGATCAAACTCCGCCCGTAAAAAGAAATAATCGAAATAAATAAATCATCCAGATCATAACGCAGAAAGGGTATGTCGCCTAAAGCCTGGTCAGCACAGCACCCAATAAGATCTAGATTATCCCTGACATACGGAGGTAAAAATCATGTATCCAGGTAATCCGCCGCCATCAACAACTCTAGACACAACTCCGCCGGAATTTCCATATCTGGAACATTTGACTGGTTCTTATTCTTCTCGTTATAGCAAAAGTACTCGCAGACTTTCTCGAGAACGATTCCGCTGATATTCTCTAGTGTGCAGCGACCTGTCAATGCTTCGGCGAATTTACCTAAATAACAAACTCACAGTAAGCACACTGAATCCCAGAAGATAGCACAGCGAGGACGGATTAACGAGAGGCAACAGGGAAAACGAACTAGAAGGATCCAGCATCCGACGTATCGTCCCAGAGACACAGGCCGCGCTGCGCGGAAGGACAAATTCAAACCCATCACCCGAGACCAAAGTCACGAACTCTGAGTCGGCAGCTGATGAAGCCATTTTCTCGTTAAGGTTGTGAGAACGGAGACGATATGGGGAGGAGATGGTGACAGCTGGATTTGATCAACGGTGGACGCGGGACAGGACAAGAGAGATAAGAGACGCGGCGATGTCGTGACGGAAGTTTTAACTTTCTCCACGTGGTCTGTGCGGAAGCTTTCCGATGAACTGCTTTCTTAGTCTATTTTAATTTCAATGTCCGGCTTTATATACTTCCTCTGGCATGTGTGCCTCTTGGATGGGTTGTTGAGCTTATTGTTTTCTTCTTGGTATGTTTGAAAGCGTTGGAAGCTTTCTTGGTTGTCTTCCTTGTTTTCATTTCAATCGCTTTGAGTGTTCACATACATTCATTCAGTCAGACTCAATAATGAACAACTGCCTTTCATCTCTATACATCTAACTCGATCGAGACGTGGCCGGGCTTGGAAAAGCACAATCAACCAGAATGCAAACAATACGACTCAGCATGCGCAGCGCAACAATGCCAACATCGCACCTCCCCTCTCTAGGCCGCCGATACAATAGGCGCATATTGAACACAGCTCTCTCCACAGCCTGCAATGCCCCACAAAGACGACATCTCTCATCCCAGTCACCCAGCACCCCAGCACGCCTCACCGGCCGTACCTGCATGATCACAGGCGGGACATCAGGCATTGGATTCGCCATCGCAAATCGATTTCTCCAAGAAGGCGCAGAGCGCGTCATTCTCGTCGGACGATCGTACGAGCGCCTCCTCAAAGCCGCCGCCAGCCTCCAAGTCAATGGTGAAGGTGCCCAGAACCAAGAAGCGGCTGATGACACAGCATCAAAGTCGCAAGGGACTCTGGTCGAAACTTCGGATAGAATAAGTCTCCTTGTGGGCGATGTATCGGAGGCTGGATCGTGGCTACGTGAGCTGGAGAAGGCGATGGTATGTTGTGTTACATTTCTCACTTTGTCATTTTGGCTTTGTTATTGTCTTCGAACGATGGTTTGGCTGACAAAGGATCCTAGCAACCAGTCGACATCCTAGTCAACGCAGCTGGGATCTCCCACTCCAATATTCTTCCCAAGATGTCTCCCGAAGATATCTCACAAACCCTCCGGACAAACCTTGAAGGCGCGATCTTGACATCCCGCACCCTTCTCCGTGCGTCTCTCCGCAACAGGGTAAAAAGCCGTTCTGGCGAGACCCGACCTGCATCTAAATGTATCATAAACATCTCATCATTACTAGCGCTGAAAGGCGGAACCGGTGCAGTCCCATACGCCGCTTCCAAAGCGGGGCTTCTCGGCCTCACCAGGTCGTTAACAGTCGAAGCGGCTGGTTCTCTGCGCAATGTGGTCGTGCGGTCGAATGCGATTGTGCCGGGCTATATTGAGACGCCGATGATTGCGGACTTTAGCGAGGGGCAGAATGAGAGGTTGAAGGAGAGCATTCCGCTGGGTCGGTTTGGGGCACCGGAGGAGATTGCGGATGCGGCGGTGTTTCTGGCCGGCAATGAGTATGCGAATAATTGCGTCATTAATTTGGATGGGGGGTTGAGTGCCGTTTAATCTACTGTATTATGTCAGGGGTTGGTTGTGTGTATATATGATGAGGACATCAGTGAGGGCCGTTAGAATGGTAGACCCTCAGGCTTTAGTGCAGTGTAGGATAATCTCAATTATGATAACAAGTAAATTCATCGACTCATCTGTGTATCTTTGTTGGAACGCCACGCCGAAGTATGCACATTATGACTTCGGTCAAACTAAAAAGTACCAACGGTAATCCCTTCGTCCAATCTATTCGGAGCAAACGCATGATATGTTACAGTAGATGGAAGGGGATAGAAGTAAAAAGAAGATATCTCTGGTGATCCACCCAAAACTCAAGAAACAACCAATGTGTGAGAGGAAAACATTGCATAGGGAAATATGTCGGAGGTTGAGTGGAGATAATTGGCCTCCATGTGCCTCTGTTTTGTTCGTTCAGTCGTCAATCAGAATTGCACCTCCTTCCGTCTCATCTAAGACGATAGGATTCGATCCATCGCCGTCAGCGACAGAGATACTAGCCACGCGCTTTGAACGGTCTTCACCGTTAGTAAGGCCGGCTTCCTCGGCATTACGCTTGCGCTTGTTCGGATCTGAAGTGCCATTAACGTGCTCGCTAACGGTAGGCGTAGGTGCCTGTGGTTTCCGGGGAATTTCAGGGACCTTGACTAAAGTGATCGGCTTTTGTTCTGGTGCCGAGGACTCGGGCCTATTCAATTGTCAGTAATCTATTTAATCAAGTCGGTTGACTTGAGAGGTAGATAGCCGGAGGCTTACTTCTCAGTCATGACAACTAGTTCAAGGTTCACACGCGGTTGCTCGTCCTCCTCGTCTATGATTGTGATGAGGCTTTCATTGCTCACACCCAGTTCCGATAACTTTTTAGTCAAATTGTCTTCAAGGTCGGGGTCATAAATTGTGCCCAACTCGTTGCTGACTGAAAGCTCTTCACCATACCCTAGCTGCGAGCGGAGGATATCCTGCACCAAGTCGTTGATTGTGGCCTGCTCCGGGTTAATCTTTACCCTGGCCTGGGCGACCGAGCAAACAGGGCAGTTGGGGTTGGGTGGCTTCAAAGAATCGGAATTAATTGCACGGGCACCTGATCGTTCGAGAAAGATCTATTTTGGACGAGTTAAATCGAGGCCACATGACTCAAGGCAAAAGATACCTACCATTTTGGCATGTGCGTAGTCATCCTTCAAGACCTTGAATGCCTGTAGGACACATAGGCCAGCAGTCATAGCGTTTGTGGTCGCGATTGCTGGTATAATATTACCAGCCATTTCTGCTCACAGTCAGCAAAACCTGGGTCTGTCACAGCGTCCCATTGCTACAGCACTTACGTTTTGTATCGAACTTTGATTTAGGCTCAATCCCGAATATTGTTGCTCGCAGGTTAGCACTGGCGGTGACAAAGTCTAGTGTATCCACATCGTCCTTATCAAACACCAGGATGGGCTTGACATCATTATTTGTGGTGTCTAGCAGTGTCTTTAGCCGTTTGCTCAGTCGATCCAAGCTGTGATACATATCAGTCAAAAGAATCACCACTGGAGGAACGAGGAATAAGTCGAACCTGTCCTTAAAAACTACCAAGTCCTCGGCCAAAGTCCAGACTTTTTGATCGTTACTAGAAATAGTAGGCTCAATTGACGAAGCATCTCCCTGTATCTTCTCAAAGTCCAGGGGCTCCGGGGCCTTGCGGGTCTTCCACATATCCTCCATACCGCGTAGTCGGTCTATGTCCTCCTTGAAAACCTTTGTAAATACCTTGTGAGCGAATTCGGGGGAGCCCATTGATTCGCGGATTTCTTTGAGAGCCTGTGCCTCTTTTCGTAGATTCGCAATTTCTTCCGCTGGGCAGAGTTAGCAATCTTTGCCCAAGGCTGGGTGGAAATCCATCAATATGACTCACCATTACTGGCATCTTCAGTACTATCCAATTCTGGCGTCTCGTCCTCACTTGTCCCAAAAAGCTCGCTAGACCTGCTTAGTTTATATCTTGCCGAGTATACCCTCTCCAATAACTTACGGGAAAAGATAGCTTTTCGCCCAGACAATACAATGAATAGGTTGGCTCGGGGTACTGCGGATGGTGCACACGGGGAATGACTTGGGGACTTCCTTTGAGTTGCAATCGTAGCATTCCGTTTGGCCCTGTCGGCGGTCAATTAAACCCAGCAGACTCATGTGGACGCAGTGGGTCGCCCCCATATCCTACCTTCTTGATGACCTGAACCTGACCGTTAAATCCGGTAGTTCCGCTTTCGATCAGTGGCACATCGGCAGCTAGGCACATCCTGTTGACATGGCGACGCGCGTCCAGATTGTCAAGCGCATTGAAGACCACGTCGAAATTCGCAAACCAATCCACGTTGAAACGGCTGTCCTTGATGTTCGCATGGTAGGCTTCGAGCTTTGCGCTTGGTTGAAACTTCTGGGCAACTTCCTTCGCGACCTGTGTTCAGGAAAAGACATTCGTCAGCTTCTCTTCGTCCCGAGACAATGAAAGGTGCCGGAAGGGTATCAGGGTGGGACGTTGCGCAGGTGACGCCACGGGCGGGGCATGAAGGGTGGACGGTTCAGTGTGTGACGCACCAATGCCTTTGATTTTTTAATGTGTTCAAAGCGAAAGAGGAACTGACGATTCAAATTGCTCAGGTCGATGGTATCAAGATCGATGATGTGGATTTCGCCAAAGCCAGAGAGCAAGAGGTTCTTCAGCAGCTCGCAGCCGATCCCACCGGCGCCCACAAGGAGTACGCGCGACTAGAGAGAATGACATGAATCAGCTTCTGAGATAGAAAGGAGCACAACCACAGGGTCAGAAGTATTATACATACCTCCTTTAAGCGTCTGGACAAGGTCCCGAGCGACCGCTTGGAGTAGGTGTCTCGCGGCATGATTGAGGGCGCGAGAGCAATGCGAAGGTGGAATGAGTGGCAGCTGAGGTCAGAACAGGGCGACAGTCATCGCCAAATGAGAGAGGATTCAGCAAGGAACAGTGAACAGAGCGACGCTGCAGGGGACAGCAGAAATGAGCGAAAGTCCAGGACCGGATGATTGATTTCGGGAAATGCGAAATGCGTCGGAGAAGCACCGCGCTTTAATTAGTCCCAAATTGGGGGCCTGGAATGAGCAATGACGACACCGCTGTCCAGAACACGAGACTTTCTATTCCTTCTTATATTTTTGTTATTTTTTCCCTTCTCCCTTTTAATGAGTAAGGAAAAGCTAGTCATGCATAATAGTGGTTCTACTAAAAGTCTCGGACAGCGGATGCGATCGCACGATTGGACCCTAGAGCAATCAATCTGAATTGAATTTATTGGTCATCCTCTTCTTATGCGGTGTTCTTGATCACATCTGGCTAGTCCCACTTATTGGCCATCCAGCTTCCCACATTCAACCAGAACGTACAGTAGCTTTCCTACTAGAACAAAAGTACATTCAATGATATTTGGGGTGGTGTCGATATACTGGCTGCGCAGTTGATTGCTGGGAGAAATGTGTACATACATGCATTGCAGAAAGTCGTCCCTTTATATGAACAATTTGGTCAGTCTAACTGGGGAATTGATTCCCTGCTGTTCAAATCACACATATTGGACCGAGTGACTGCAGCTAGTCATGAATTCATTGGAGAGTTCTATCTACCATAGTACTTATTTGTAACACAATTTACCATTATAGCATGTCCTCAAAGGTCAAACATGGCGTTGGGAATAAATTCATGTTTCGGTCCTGCACGAAGAGTACAACGAGGATATTATTAGAAGGCCCTATCAATGATCAGTTTATTTGTAATGACTTCTTTCTTGACTCCTACAATTCTCCAAGGCAATCTTGTTTGCCGGACCAAGCGTCCGCACTCCGGCCCATACTGTGTAGTAGGCGGATCCAATGCAAGCCCCCGAAAAGAGACCATGAAGAAGATCGCTCATACTCCCCCGTATTATTATCCATACTTTGGTTAGCCTACCCTCATAAAGCAAAGAAAAGATAGGATGGAGGTGCCCGTGATTATCTGATAATATAGTAGTTGACTCTCTCTAAGACGTGGAAGATTTTCAATGCAATCATAGTAATACCATAGTAAGTGTACATATCTTAGTGGGGAGTCGTTGCTTGTTGCCTGTCCCAATTTTCCACCTTTTTATACCTCTGGTACTTGGATTCAGGTTCATTGGTGAGGAGCCAATCGCAATGTCTCTTGGGCTGACTAACCAGGGCCTTATCGACTTGAACCCCCCCCCCCCCAAAAAAAAAAGAACCAATGGTCTTAGATGAGATCCATTCCTTTTGTTGAGGCAAGGGTCAATGAATTTTTTTTTTTTTGGTTCTATGACATTGTGCGTAAATGAAAGGGGATTCTGGGACCCATTTTTAAATGTTCAAAAAGCAACCAAATTCAAAGGCGTCTATGGGTCCTTATCAAATTAGCAAAACTTGACTCGCTATTCTTGCCCAACCGATTGTCCACCAAAGTAACCAGACTTTTTGCCTGATCGTCGCTTTTGGTTCAAGGTTCAAAGGAGTACAAACGGTCGTGGGGAATTCGGTGCGCTAATACTGTCGGTCTTTGTTCCCTCCTTTTCTTTTTTTTCTGTATCAATTATACCTGATTTCCTGCCATTTCCCTTCTCGATCTCTTTGTCTATTTCTCTTTGACTCTTACCCCTCTTAAAAGTAAATTTTGGGGTTTCTTGGATAGTTCTTCCCGGTTTATATCAAGAACCGGAGCACAAGGGAACCCGCACCACTATGTCAGACGACGAAGCAGATCCCGAATTGCTCGCTCTTTTACGCAAGTCCCTCGGGCTAGGAGGAGGGGCAGCAAACCCGCGCGCAGCAGAGACAAAAGTTTTGGAGAATTCGCAGTACGTCTTCGACAATGCTATTGATGTCGCATTGAACCCAGCCAAGACCAAAGAGGCCGCCGAAACCATCTGGCGTTTGATGCAGAAAAAGGAATATTCCACGCAGACATGGTCGGAGCATGAATTACATCCCAAGACCAAGGATGAAAGTACCGTGGACTTCATTTTCACCATGGATTTACTAAACTTCAGTTTTTGGTCGGAGCGCCCGGAGGAGAAACGCTTCGCTATCGAATATCGCGGCAGGAAGTGGACCGGGTACTGGAGCTTAGTGGCTGCGTTGCAGAGGGCTTTGGATGAGGGTAGGTTCTGCATATTTATTAGGATCTAATCCGTAATCTGTTTCAGCGCGCTGTAGATGCTAAGACTTGCAGAGATCCCCATTACGAGCCCCTACTTTTGGGTGAATGAAGACGAATGTTCTGAGTCTCTACTCAAGCATGTGTTTCGATCGGTAGCTGCCGAGGAGATTCCTCTCCTGCAAGAGCGTCTCCAGTGCCTGCGGGAAGCGGGTCGAGTCTTGTGCGAGGTATGCCCAGCAGCTCCTGAATATCAGTAGCCTATGTATGTTCTAACAGCCTATCTATCTAGGATTTTGAGGGTAGTTTTGTCAACTGTATCTATAACGCCAACTACTCAGCTGCGTCCCTCGTAAACCTTATGGCTGAGAGTTTCCCCTGCTTCCGGGATGAAACCAGCTTTCAGGGACGGAGGGTTCGGCTCTATAAACGCGCGCAGATCTTAGTTGCGGACCTATGGGCCTGCTTCAACGGCGAGGGCCTTGGCGAATTCCACGATATTAACAAGATCACAATGTTTGCAGGTGCGCTCCATCCCTTGATTACCTTCGTTAGCTATAATTTCTCAAGTTTTGACGGGAGAAGTCAAGCTAACTATGATCCAGATTACCGAATCCCCCAAATACTAAACCAACTCGGTTGCCTGATGTATTCTCCACCTCTGGAAAGCCATATTCGCGACCTCAAACCAATTCCCAGTGGCTCTACTTGGGAGGTTGAACTGCGCGCCACCAGCATCTGGTGCGTTGAATTGATTAGACGAGAAATTGAGAAGAACCATCCAGACGCGAAGCTCAAGATAACGCCTACACAGCCTAACGGGCATGTGGCCAGTGTGGACCGCCGCCAAAGCCTCACCACCTCGGCATTAGAAGAACAAAGGAAGTGCACTACACAAAAACACATTACACAAACCAGCCCTGCTAAGCCCGCATCGTCGGGCGTCAATGCAATCTTGATAGATTTCTTTCTGTATGACACCATGAAAGAGTTAGAAAGAGACGGAAAGGAGCAGATTCCCCATCATCGCACAAGGAGTATTTGGTATTAAAGGTTAGAAAACCTTTTGCTTTGCCTGTTGATTTTTGGTCAATATACCCTTGGCCACTACTGTTAGGGAATTGATGTCTTTGCTTTCTGTGCTTTTCTTTTGCTGTTTGGGGGTTTGCATAGACATCGATACCATTTCTTCTCTGTTTTTCTGTGCTGGCAGCAGCGATGTCTTTTTGGATACCACCACTTTCAGATCTGGACGGCCATCCAGAGCTCATGACCTATGACCTACACATAAACTTCCTTATAGAAATGTCATCTGTTCCTCAGGAGACATGTCGCATATAATCCGACCACTTCTAACCGCCCAACCGTATTAAATTCATGCATCCTTTTAATTTCTTTCTAGAGGTATACTGGAAGCGTCTATTTCTCAAATCCATCTACTTCACCGGTCCTTCATGGGGCACAGCACTCCGACATTTCATTTCCCCTATTGGAAAATTGCTCAGTGCGCCCCGTTTGAAGAAGACATAAAGAAGTAAAATTGCGATTTCCAAAATAAACATCTCTCGTTGAAGATGCAGAGAGCAGCCGTTTAACAGGTCGCCCAGCGCCCCAGCCAAGCCTGACAAAGATAGAGGAAATGAAATGAATAGCATCTCATTCGATACCACTACGAGTCTCCCGACGCACTATACAATAACAAAGACATGCACGGCATAAACTTAGATCAGAAAAATTCTCCTACATGGCGCCGGGGAAGAACTTATATCAACCTCCATCCCCAACTATCGCTCACTTACAAGCCACTCCCATCTTCTCTCCCCAGCACAATACTCGTAGGTCCAACAACCAGCAAAGATGTACCGGGCCTTAATCCTCCTCCTCACTACCTACCTGGTAGCATTAGCCACCAGCCAAACCCTGACCCCAGGAAACACACTCGCGAACCCAGACACGGGCGCAGGGCTCCCTCGACCCGGCTTCCAAATACTACCCAGGAAGGCCCCCCCAAAAAACCCGCCTCCCAAATCACCCCTGCAGCAGGAATGCAGAGACGTCAAGGTCAAAACAGGACCCTTAGTTTCTAAAGGAAGCCCGGAACAGCAGCTCTTGACGGCATCCTGCCGCATCCCAGGATCACAGAAAACCCAGTCCTCGGAGCTGAGCCTGGACCGTTGTCTTGGGTGGCACAAGAACAGCGACGGCGGCGGAAGATTTGTCGCGATGAAGCAGTACGTATACTACGATGACCCCTGTTCACCCATAGCATATTGTTGCGAGTGATAGGCTAACGAATGCTAGTGGCGGAGGACTTTCGAAGGCAGGGGGGGAGTGCTCGACTTGTAGGTATCTCAATTCTAACCCTAATCTGCTATGCTATTGCGCGAAGGTGCGTCAGGATGAGATGACCTATATGAACCCGGCTACGGCCACGTGGACAGGTGCCGTCATGTATAACTTGTGTAAGTGGTCTGTGTGATTGATATGGGCTATTTTCTGATTGAGAGATATAGTTGAGGTGCTCCAAGGCGGGAAGTTTTTGATAGAAGTCAATGAGAAGGGAGTTCTTTCATGCCATGGTATAGCCGGGGAGTCCAAATAATGACCCTAGAAACTGTCAACAGTTTTGAAAGAGCCCTACAAAGATGGTGTTTTAAATAGAGGTTTGAGCGTGAGGTAGGGGAATGGAATGATATCAGGGTTTTCATATAGATTAATACATAAGACTGTTTGGGTATAGACTCTATCATACATAATAGCAAGTTTTGGTGATACATGGGGTAAAAATGAGGCATTGACAATGAAGAAAACCAAAACACGATGGAAAAGTAAGGAAACAAGAACGACACTCGCCTTTAGTAACTCCTATCCTCCAAACCCGTTACCCGGAAGAAGTATATATCAGACAGGCAAGGGGCCAAAATGCTGCGCTGCAGTCTTTTGAACCTGCTCAATTCGTGCCAGGACTGTTGCCTTCCACTCAATATAGTCTTCCTTGCGATCGTCGCTTAACCAATCAACACGATCCTGCATCATGGTCCCAAGACCCGGTAGAAGGCCCTTTCTTGAGGAGTGTTTGGCCAGCGAGCGACCCGATTTCGTTGTCTTTTGCCGTTTGGTGCCTTTAGCCCGTTCTTCACCCTCGCCGTAGCCGTCCTCATCCGAAAGATATGCATCGTCGCCGTCCAGTTCTCCAGCCTGCGGGATGTTTTCAAACCATTCATTCCCATTGGCCCAGCGTTGTTGCATTATCACTGCGATCCACTGGTCGACATCCTCACGATGTCGTCTCTCAGTAGAAGGGAGACCAATGCTCACTAATGCAGTCTGGCGCATCTCAGAAAAGGTCTTCTTGTCGAGCTTCTTAGTTTCCCCTTCCTCTTCGGATAAGGAGCTTCGTCTGCGGGCGAGAGCCAAAAAATACACGGCTACCACTAGAGCATTGACAACCTCTTTATAATCTTCATCGTTCTCTTTATCCTTCACAACCAGGATAGGCTCCACGAACTCTAGGGTTTCTTCGTCGAAATAATCCTCATCCTGGGCGGAAACCCGTGAAATGAAATATAGGATGGATGATACACCGGCAAAAATATGAGGTGGTAGGGTTCTCGAAATGGGAGGCCGGGACCATGTGCTCGTTCGTGGAGCTGGTGTAGATAACGTTTTACACACGCTCCGAATAGATGTCATCACCCAGGCAGGTGCATCGGGAATAATTGTAGAGCCAGGAAGGCCATCAGAGCGAACTTTGGGCTTCTGGGGCGTCTGGGAGCGCGATTCGCTTCCTTGTTGTGTGATTGAATTCTTTAATGGCGTGGGTTTGCCCGTAGTGTTTTGGAGTTTACGCGGCGTTCCTGCTGTCTTCAAAGGTGTCCGAGTATGCTTCGAATTTTTCGTAGGGGTCGACGAAGCGGATCCGGTGCGTGAAGGGGTTTCTGAGATAGAGCTGCTTCCTGCACGCTTTACTCCAGCTACACTATTCGAAAGGGAGCGATCAAGGAATGCATAGAGCTTCTTGTAAGCACGCGGAGGACATGGCGGATGCCCCATCAAAGGGGGGAGTTTAAGGGCCCGAGCTAACCTAGACACAACCAGCTAGTCAGTGTACCAATTAACCAGAATATGGTGCAGCGACAGGGATAGGACGCTAAACACACCGGCGGCAAGCGATCTCGGCGCAAGCATAAGGGCGTGCGATTTCTTCCTCGGGCCTTAGGCTAGTAGAAAAGCTGCGAGATTGCGCGACAAGAGATAAGGCCAAGCTGCGGAGCTCTTGAGGCAGGTCATCGGCGTGGGTCGGCAACAGGGTACCCAATGCTTGTTCAACAGGTCTGTTATTCATTCTGGACGTGAGTACAACCTCAAATGATCGTACAATCGGAGTGTCGACGCCTTGAATGTCCGTGTATTTTTTCGTTATCTAAAGGCGCGTTGTTATCGGCGTCCGTCATGTGACCGTGTATTCAATTAGATACGGACTACGTAAATGCGGCGAAAAAGTCCGAGCTCCACCCATTGCATGTTTCGCTGTCGCCAGTCTCCCGTCATCTATTCTCTCATCCATAGTTCACTCATATCTCAAATAGCCATGTCGGTCACTGTGAGTTCGTTGTAACTCTCTGAATTCCCATACCCCCTCTGGGATATCGACTAATCATTATGAATACCTAACAGCTCCATACGACCCAAGGCGACCTGAAAGTCGAGCTCTTCTGTGAGGCAGTGCCGAAGACTGTAGAGGTATGTAATATCTTGCGCCTCTACGCGAACTCACTTTTCACCTCACAACTTTGTTTCGCTCTGGACCTGTATACTGACGCTAAACCGAGTAGAACTTCCTCGCCCTTTGCGCATGCGGCGCATACAACAACACGCCCTTCCACCGTCTGATCCCCGGCTTCATGATTCAAGGAGGCGATATTTCTCTAGGACCAGCAGCACATCAATCGCAAGACAGCACCAAACCCATGCTTCCCTTCGACGACATCCCGAAAGGCGGCACATCGATCAATCACCCTGGCGCATTGGACCAGGAAATCCACATCCCCGCTCTTCGGCACAATACGCGCGGAATTCTCTCAATGGCAGCGCGCCCCGTCAAAGATAGGACAGCTCCCGGATCCCAGGGTGCAATGGGGGCTACGATTAACGGAAGTCAGTTCTTCATTACGTTTGCCGCTGCCCCGCATTTGGACGGAAATAGCACCGTCTTCGGGAAGGTGTTGAACTTGACGGCACAAGATGAGGGTGGTGATGTGTTGAGCAAGTTGGAGAAGGCGAATGCGAAGGTGGACAAGAAGGGGAGGGTTGTGCAGCCGAAAGAGGGCGAGGAGTCGGAGTATGAGGCACTGCGCATTAACAGGGTCACGATACATGCGAATCCACTTGCGAAGTGAGAACGGGCTTCACTAGAAGAGTATGCAGGTTTGTGTGCGATATATCACGCGATTTTCGAGCACCAAACAAATCCCCCGAATCAAGGCGCCAGGGCCATGATACACAAAACCTGACATTGAGGAAATGACTTCACCAGACATACTGTTCTGGATAGGGAATCTTTGGCCGGCTTTACGCGCTGTCGGGGGCCATTCCACTTTATTAGGTCCATTCCAGTCGAAGAGTTGCAGACAACCAACTCGGATGTGGTCTGCAGGAGCCATTGCCTTATAACACTACTTAGGACGTGATTATCGAGGTATTTCTAATATGTAGCACGACCTTGCATAATGGAAGATGTGATCCAATGGCAAAATGTCTAGGAGCCATGGGCACAGAAGTGCTATTATTTCCCACTGAGGTGGATTACTCAACAGCATAGCATGGAATCAGACACAGTTTTCAATGAAGCTTCGAATCAGCGTTACTTCTTGCTTTTGTATACCACCCAGGAGAACCAGGATTATATTCCAAACAAACAAAGTGATATAAACCCCGACACTACACCTTGTAAACAAACCACAACGTCATCGGATATCAAGAGCGCGAAATGGGGCATAGTGGTCTTGGATGACAACTATGCATGCATGCATAGAACAGGTATGAAAAACAACTTGAAAAGAATAATCATGCACATCGTGAGGAAATGAACATCATCTACAGAAAAAGTCATGAGGCAAACAACTCAATACAGGTCAATTATGACTTCTGCTCGGCGCTCTCTTCCTTTTTCTCTGCATCCTCTTCATAACCTTCGAGCTTCATGTCCTTAAGGCCCAGCTCTTCTTCCTCTTCCTCAGTGCGGGTGTAATCTTCGGAGGTGATCTGAGGATCGACAGCAGGGGCACACAAGTCCTGAACGTAGCTGTTGGCCATGGGATCTTCGAGGGTGATGACAAACTTCATGTCTCCGTTGATAGCAGCATCGAGACGAGAGAAGAAGCGAGTCCACTTCTCTTTGGTCTCGGATGCCATGCTGTCTCCTCCAGCGCCGCTCGCATCATCTATATCGAAGATCTGACCGTGCAGTTGGTCGCGGATCTCGGTGAGCAGACCCTCAACAGTAGTGAAACGTCCGCCCAAGGTACCAGGCTGAACAGTGACTTCCAACTCTTCACTGTGCAGAGCGCAGGTGTCGGACTTGAGGATATCACGCGAGAGATCGACTTCATTCTCGACACTAAGAGTGATGCGCTTGCCCTTCTCTGGAACCTCACCACCAGTTTTAACTTCGCTAGTACGGTATCCGCAGTGCTCGCAAGATGTACTCCAGATAATGACCTCCTTGAAGTATGGGATGTTCACCTTCTTCATGTTGACAAAGCCAGGCTTTGTGCAGCCTGGGCACTCAGTAGGCAGACTGTAAACCTGACCATCGACAATCTCAGAATCATCCAATTCGCCGGATCCCTCATGCTGTACAGCATTGGGGTCCGCGGAAATTCCAAGCTCCTCATTCTGCTCGTGCGTACGAGGATAATCGCGACGCTTGTAGTTGTTTCCACTGTCGTTGATGGAAGGCGCTATCCACGAGTTACCAGTGGGGTCATCCAGGGAGACGGCGAAAGGGAAGCCCTCTCGGTTCAGAATCTTCTGAAGGTTCTCGATAATCGGCACAAGGGCATCGTGAAGTTCAGGTGCCTGGGCCTTTCGCAGGGGTTGCTCGCTAGAGAGCGACTCGTAGATCTTCTGGATCACTCCTTCGACAGTCGTAAACTGACTCTCACCCTTGGGCATCTCGATTCCCAGAGATTCCACCTTGAAGATTGAAACATCGCTCCGAACAACCTGGCGCTGGAGGTCATTTTCATCCTGGACGGTAAGTGTGTATTTGGCTCCCTTCTCTTGAATCTGCCCGGCGGATTTGACAGAGTTGTCCTTGAAATGACAATGGGGGCATTCGAAGGATTCAAGAATAATGTCGCGGAAGTAAGGTACTCGGAGGAGGAGGAGCCTTGTGGTTCCCTGAAGCCGAGTTAGTTGCGCTGCTACAGCACTCATGTTCCAGCTGGTAAACGTACGTTCTCATGGCAGTTCATACAAAGACTTTCCAAGGACATCACACCGGTATCCTCATTTCTCTCCACCAAGTCACCAGGCTTCTGGAACTGTGACTCGACGGGAGCTTCTTGCTGGACTGGCTTATCTTCTACCGACATTTTGAAGGATGGGTATAGAGAGGGTTCTGTGATACAAGGAAAACAAGATAAGAGGGTATCGAAATCTATAACGCGCAAATGAGCGGAAGAATCCACAAATATATTTAACAATCTCTGCACCCAATGATGTCCAAGGAAAGTAAAAATTTCGCCAGCGAGCGCGGGAACGTTCCTTGACTTTCCACTATCGCTGTGGCGGGGCACAATTTTTTTTTGGAGGGGCAGATGGCATTAGTCAGCCCGATGGATAGTTATTTTATGTCAGAGTTGTATGGAATCGAACAATACCCCACATATGATGCTCATAAATGAAAAGATCCAGGCTCTACAACATGGTAGACACTTCAATTGGGCTCTTGGAGAAAGTATCTCTAATCTATGGACCAATAAACTGACACAGGCCTACTTCGCACCAGCCCTCATAGGATGGAACCATTTACCTACCGGTAGCTTCGTAAGAGAATCTATAATGGCAGTTAGCTGTGTCCAATACAGATGGGTGTGAAGGACTTATAAGAAAAAAAGGGGCCGTTTCCTCGAAAGGAAACGGCGGTTCACAGGCCACCACCAAACCCGCTATGGTTCGGCTCGCCAACGTAAGGCTTACGACAGGCCACTTGCGCAAACACCTGTCCCGGGGTCTGATGACGCTTTGTATTGCAGAGCATCAGTATACTCTCTTCGTTACTCATCAATCCTACCCGTGGAGGCTTACAACCGCATGGTAAGCGGCCATGTTCGGAGATATGTCACCGAAGAAGCCACACAGACAAGCCTAAGCTTTGATCCTCACTCTTGAGAGGTCCTGCAATATGCTCCACGTTGTACACATCCTAGCATGGCAACCCCAGCGTTCAACCAACCAAACGAATGGGCAGAGATTTGATTTCTGCAACGGAGAGGAGAGCAACATGTACTGTCCCTGAAGTTTTCAGCGTTCCGTTCCCAGGACACGGCCAGCGTCGAAAGAGGTCATGCCATCGTGCCCGATTCGGCAGAAGTTGAACGGCAGAGAATGGTAGAGCCTGAAAACGCAGATGCGACATCAATAGTGCCTCACGCTCTTTATGCAGAGAGATCGAATGCACGAAACCCTTCCAGAAAGTTTCCAGTCGGACTTGGATCTAAAATCTCCATCTCCCACCTGCTTTTCCAATTTGTCATTTGTATCGATCAGAAGACATCCCGATGTCGCGAAGCCAAATTACCGAAGCTATTGCCTCGAAAAAACTCTCGTGTGTGGTACAGTATCCCCAGGGACAAGCTTTTGTTTCCTCTCCGCGTTTGTAGACTTGGAGGGCTTGGAAGAAGCGGACAAACAGCATCCATAAAAACCGCTTCCTTCCTCCCAAAAGAGAGGGACAGCAAATAGTACATTGCCGTGATTGTCGGCGCCCATCAATCTATTTGCAACCTACATTGCAAAGAGATGGCTAACACGGTCGATCGGGATCTCCGATGGAGCGCAAATCAAATGGCGGGTGCCGTGACTTGGGGTTTGCTAGCCCTTAAAAAGACAGTAAAGACTAGAAACGAGGAGTTGGAGAGGAGGTACAAGCTGCCCAGGCACCTTGATGTTGGAAACACGTACACGACGAACGATAGAGGAACAGGAAAGAGTGACGGTAACTGCTTGGCCATGCAGGACTATTATCCATCAAGAACCAATCCATAGCGGAACGGGACAACGAGCCAGATGGCACCATTGTGATCGCATGGATCACAACAGTTGACCAAGGATCACTCCGCGCAGTTGTCAGAAGAACCTCGCTACAACCTAATCCGCTGGAGACACCTGGGTTGCTTCCGCAAAGATCAAATTGATGCCGACGAGTGGATTCTTCAGGCAAACTGACTTGATGACCGTGTGTAGGCAAATGATCCAAAGATCAAATCGTTGTGTTCAACAGGAGCAGCGGATGATGCATAATATATCCCACAGCAGTTGAGAGCGCCCCCCACAGTATTCCTGCGCAGCCATCGTGATTATCGTAAAGACAACTCCGAATAAAGATGCCCGACGTATTTCACCTGCTCTCTCCCCAATATTTTCTGGCACCAGGGTATAGACAAACCATCCTCTATGATCAGCATGATAAGTCCAGCATTGGAAAACCGACGCGCGCCCCTTTCAGGAGCTTGAAACGCATGGTAGCCCGTCTTTTAGCGCCTGTGATAGGCTCTGGACATCGGGTGCCTATGTGATACATCCGCCATGCGAGACCGTGAAACTTGTGCCATAATGGCATTGAACCGACTTGGTCAACATTAGGGTCAGATTCCCAACTTTCGTCACATCCGCTAGACCAGTAAGGCAGCAAATGAAGAGGCAAAGGTTGAGAAGCTAGGGAGGGAATAAGATCTGTACAAATGTAGTCGTTTCAGACAAAGAGGAGACCTTCGACAAACTGGAATGTCTATGAAAGTACAACAACACATCTTCGAAGACAGAGGGTCCAATAGGGATATTATGAATAGAAGTCCTGCTGACTGAAAGCCCGAGAAAGAGAAGCATTGCGGACGCAGCGTAAAGTCGTTTGAGGCAATTGATGTCGGCGAACTGCAATAGTTGGAGAGGTAACCAAAACATCGAGATTGAATACTAGTACGCTAAGGTTGAATACGCGCGACGCGTGTACACGTGACCTATACGCGGTCTGGAATTCACCAGGCACCGGATTTCGAATTAGTTTCTACGTTAGACTCTCCTGCGCAAATGCTAGCGTGGGGTAAATGTTTCTTTATTTTCTTTACTTGTATTTTTAATGACCTGTGGGCCACCAGAATTATGAGCCGCGAGCACTCGGGTTTCCACCACTTCTTATTCTTACCGGAGATCAACTCCAATCCATATGACCATTTTAAGCTCCATCACAATGTTTCCTATACTTTTGACCTGATTTGGCCAAAAAGATGCTCCTAGCATGATCACTTGCTGACGGCAATGCACTGGTCTAAAATTCCGTATCAAGGCTCTTCAACTGTGACGAGAATGTCTTTCGAACCCACTCCATGTAGGCCTTCCATTTGTGATGCTCACCGGACGTCTCGGCATTGGGAAACGCCTTGCTCAGCTCTCTGGTAATCTTCAGAACACCCATTGATGCTTCCTGTGCTTTTTCAAGCTCTTGCTTCACGGCATTATCCTTTGGTTTAAAGGACAGCACGACGCTGTAACGCTCTGATAGAGCATCCAGAGACCTCTGCGTCTCCTCCGGAGCAAGGGCGATTAGTTTGGAAGTCATAAGGTTGCAGATTGTGCGAATATCTTGCTCATCGTCAATTCCGGCTAATATGCGTTCGAAGAATTCAGAGACATGCGACAAAGAGAAGGTCGTGTCTAAGGAGGCATAAAGCGTTTCGTAGGCACTCTGTTTCTAATATCAGAATATGAATGAAACAAAGTAGGTCCGTTTTACTCACCTTCCGCAGCTCAAGACCGTCATCAACTCTATGCTTGAATGGACCCATTTGCACTTCACGGATCAACTCTGGCTTGATCTGTGTGTCACCGAACACGGCAGGTAAAAGTTCGTTAAGGTGAGGGAGGATGATATCCATCTTGTTATGAATAGCAGAGTTAAGGGTTGTCAGGGCAAGTCGGTGATTTCCCAAGTCACGATCACTGAGCATGTTTACCAAAAGTGGAACGATTAACGGTCTCAATACATCGTTGTAGGTATCTCTTGAGTCTGACAGGGTATAACGGAATGCAGAGATCACCACCGCACGAATTGTCGGGTCCGAATTAGAGAGGCATTCCTATAATGTTGACATTAGCAGGTGTAACCACTGAAAAATGGGTGATGAATAATACCTGGAAATGCGGTATGTAAGCTATAGGATCAATCAGTGCTAGTCGACCAACACACTCGGCGCCAACGGCTCGGTTGTCTTCTTCTTCAGAGACATTGAGAAGAGCCTGCCATAGCTTGAGTGCCGAGGGAGCAACATCTGGGCGAACAATCTCGGGATGCTGAAGCAGTTCTTTTACCGAGTGAAGAAGCAGGTAGCTTTGATGATTGGACTTTTCCAGGCCACTCATGATAGTGGGCAGATAAGTTTTCACATCACCCGCGGCTGCATTTCCTAAAGCAGTGGCAGCAGCCAGGCGAACTTTGTCAGACTTCGAATCGAAGTGAGTCATAAATAGCTCCGGTGTCAACGAGCACTCATGGCCCATTCGTAGGCCGATTTCTCCGATGATTGCGAGCGCGAGACATTTGCGTTGGGCGTCTTGTGCAGTTTGCAACTCTTTGAGGAAATCATCCATCTTGACGCCTAGCTTGGATCCGCCGTGGACTAAGAGCGTTCCAATAGCCCTTCCAACAACAGATGTGTCGCCGTTGATGCCTACATCACGCAAAAGCTTCTTCATCAAAACTGCACCGGCACCTTCTTCCCCAACAACCTTGACGAGAAGAAGCAACGCCTTCAGAACAGTACCAACAAGTGAGGAAAGGACGATTGAGCAAAGAGCGGAAACCAAAGCCTCATTTACGAGAAGTTCCGCGTTTCCGGGAATCATTTTCGCAAGGATGATGAGGGCAGGAGCGAGGAAGTGGAAATCTTCAGCCTTGATAAGAGGCAACAAACAATCCTCTAATTCCTTCATAGTCTTCCCATCAAAATGTACTCTGGTCTTGGAATTCATAGCTAAACTGCGTAGAGCCTCTAAGCTGGCACCTCGAAGTACTCGATCTGACTTACGTAGCTGAGCCCCAAGTTCGGTGGTGACTTCGCTGACCCACGCCGCAGTGACATCTGCCTTCCTATCACACAGGACAGCAACGTCGTCAACAGCACGTACAGCCGAAAGTCGCGTAGTTTCATTCTTCAGGCGGTCTACCAACACGGCAAGCCCCTTTGACCGTCGGTCCAGCGAGATGAAAGCCGAACCTTTCTCTCCCGATGTTCGTGCCAGGAGAACCCCAAATACATGAATGGCACGTTGGCGAACTTCCAGGTCGGCACTTGTGTCGGTAATGCGACTATGAACAACATCGTACAGCTTTTCTAATTGTGCTGCGAGATCCTGCGATGCAACAGACACCCGGGGTGGAGTGAGAGCTTTCACTATCTGCTCGACAGCCCCGAGCGCTTCGCTACTCACCTTATAGTTTCTGTCATTGACGGCACCAATGACTCCAGGGATCAATGCGATTAAGAAAGGTAAAAGGGCATCAGACATGTGTGTTTCCGCAACTGCAGCAATGAGACTTAGAGTTTCGATCTGGAGAGTGCCTGCACTGGCTGTAGCTCCAGCTGGTGCGGATGAGGTTCCCGCTGGAGACGATGACTTGAGAACATCGGCTATCGGGTCTTCAATTTGTTGGAGATGATCAGCTAAACCACCGTATCGAACGAGTGCTAAATTCTTGAGCAATACAATGATAGCTTGCTTTAGTGGTATAGAAGCTTGTTTCCACATCTTTACCAAGCTCTGCACGACGAGGGGCACCGAGCGCGCCAGATCAGCCTGGGGGCCAGATTTCGGTGATGATGGAGCAATAACGGGCGTGCCAACCGCAGACGAGGTGCCGATGCTTGGTTCAAAGTCGATCATACTTGCATCGCTATCCTGCCTCCTTCTCTTCCTTGAGTTCTTCGATCCTCCCACCGATTCGAGGAAGCCATTTGATGTGATTATCATAACATCTTCACCTGTCTTACGGACGAGGGCAGTCATTGTCGAAACCACCTCCAGCTTCACGCTTTCTTCTCTTTCTTTGCCGAAGCGGGCAATAAGGGCAGGCGCAATTTGCTGGTACAAGGAAGAGTCGTCCAACGCACGACCCCGCCCGTACGTCGAGATGACGGTGAAAAGCAGCTTCGCAGCACACCGGCGCACCTTCCAGCTCATGTCATCAACGTCACTATAGCCACCTTCCTCCTCGAAATCTTCGAATTCATCGTCATCCAAATCAGGTTCCTCCGTCCCGTCGTCCTCGGAGCCATCATCTTGAGTACCACCCATTTCCTCATCTTCCTCCATCTCAGCGACATTCGGATCGTATTTGAGGAATCTAAGGGCGGATTTGATCGTATTCTGTAGGTAAGGCTGCATCTTCTGGCCGCAGGAGCTTATCAAGGCTTCTAGCGTCACCAAGGCGGTCTCGCGGAGCTCATCCGCTTGGGGATCATGTTCGTCATCCTGGGAATAAGACGACATCACAAGCGTTTCGTAACAGTCCGGGAAATAAAACAGGTGTTATGTTAGTAAGAAGGTAATCTAAGAGTTGGCTATTCGTTTCAAGGGAACGCTAGTATGTTGTAAATCAACACCCAAAGCTAATCAGTTGACGTGAGGCGGAGCTGGACGAGAGAGCTCTGGCCGATAAAGACACCCCGCGCTAGACCCCAAAATATATCGGAATAACTATCGCCGATAGCCCGATCTTGGCATAAAAAAAAGTACATAGCTAATCATGTAGCAAAGCTGTCTACTGCTGGAGGAAGTCAAACAAATCCAGAGAAGAACTAGCCCGAGATTGTTGCTTAGATGCTAATAGCGCTTGCAATCCACCCTGTTTTCTTGCCTTGGCTCGTTTCTTGCTGCTCGCATTATCGGCTGTCTTACTAGTAGGTTTAGTCTCCGCAGGATCAGGATGTTGTACTGCAGGAAGAACTGCTGGACGTGTAGAGTCTATTGCTGCAGGTATTTTAGACGAAACATTAGGGCGAGCAGGATCCTTTCGAGACGGTTTCACTGTCCGCCGACGGCAGCGGAGGCACTTGTGGATAATGGCTCCGTCTGGGGCTGCCGAGGAACGTTTTGTATTTTTCTTTTTGATATGAATGGTTTTAGTCCACTCAGGGGTTCGTATGCTACCGCAAGCCCCACAAGAAGATTCTTGTTGTCGCTGGTTTAATGCTCTGCTTTCGTCGAGAAAGATTTGGTTATGGACGGCCATTAGATGAGCCGCAGTGGAAGGGCTGAGAGAATCCAGAGAGCTGGCAGCATCCTTCAGAAAGCCCAATCGAGGGGCATGATCGCTAAAAGGCATGGTCGATATGAAGAGAATAACGATATTGACTAAACACAGCGTTTGCTGGGGTGAGCTGAGAAAAAGATGGGAACATATAGTATTAATAGGTTGAAGGGAGATTTGTTGCAGAGCGGCAACAGCCAATTAAGTTAATTTTAGTGCAACCAATACAAACCCGCCGACTTTGTCGTTGTCCTTCACTCTTTTTCAGATTCCCATTCTTCTCAAGCACACAAGAATCCTCACTTGTCCTCAATTCCCTTTGTGTTTCTTTCTGTGTTTTTGACACTGAGTCACTGTCTTTTTCAGAGTTGAGGATTATGCAAAACTGCCTCTTTTCTCTCACTGTGTGCTGAGAGCTGGGTCCTTTCTAGTTCAAATTACAGAGTAAAAAGTTGCTTTTTTCGGTATCAATTCTTTATCTACTCGGTCCAGCATTGTAACACCATGGCGCCGGAGCTCAATTCTGCATCTATTCGGGTCGCATTTGAAGGCTGTGTAAGTATTTCTGTGGCGTGTTGCTGGAGACTTTCACGTTTTTTACAAGTTACTTCTACCATGATACTAACACAGCGCTAACGATAGGGACATGGTTGTCTTCATGACATATACGCATCAGTGGAGAAGGCCGCGACGTTGAAAGGCTGGGATGGGGTTGACCTGCTGATCATTGGCGGCGATTTCCAGGTATGATCATTATCTCTGTGTAATATTTCCAGTACTAACACCCCCACCAGGCTGTTAGAAACTCTCATGATATGGCTTGTATGTCTGTACCACAGAAGTACAAGGAGCTGGGAGACTTCCATGAATACTACAGCGGAAAACGTACAGCGCCTTACTTAACCATCTTTATCGGCGGCAATCATGAGGCTGGCAACCACTTATTTGAGCTCTACTACGGTGGATGGGTCGCCCCCAACATTTACTACATGGGAGCGGCAAATGTCATTCGCTGTGGTCCTTTACGTATTGCAGGCATGTCTGGCATCTGGAAAGGTTATGATTATCGAAAGCCACACTTCGAACGGCTTCCATACAACCGAGATGAAATCCAGTCTATCTATCATGTCAGAGAGCTGGATGTTCGCAAGTTACTCCAAATTCGAACCCAGGTCGATCTTGGCCTTTCACATGACTGGCCCAAACAAATTGAAAACTACGGCGACTATAACACACTTTTCAGAATAAAGAAAGGGTTCCGGCAGGATTCAGAGACCGGTAAATTGGGAAACTCGGCGGCGAAATTTGTTCTGGATCGTCTACGCCCAGCGCACTGGTTCTCTGCTCACTTGCATGTGAGATTCGCTGCGACCGTTGAGCATGGAGATTACATTATCCCGGAGCATCCAGGCGCGAAACGACAAGCAACTACTTCACAGGGAAATACATCCCAGGGCCCAAATGCTCCAAACAAGTTTGGGTTCGACGGCGCTCTTGTCACGTCATTGCTTGGTGAAAAGGACACGACAAGTGCTCATACTTTGCCAGGGCGTACCGCAAACGAGGTTTTAGATACTGCTAGCCCAGCTCATGTTTTTAAGTCTGAAGGTGACCTCTCAGGGTCCCATCACCATCAGGCAGCACAATCGTCAGCCGATTCTACGACACAAAGCATTGTGGACGGCATTGATATGCAGCAACCCGTCTCAATTCAGCCAGACCATGAAGACACTCAAAGCAAGATATCGGCCTGGAATGAGTTTCATACGGTTGCTGCTAAGAATGAAGCGATCGAGAATTCTCGATACCTCACGGAACACCAGGGAGTTGTCCCCGAGGTTCAGCATAACCTAACCTGGAAAAGGGTCGATATTGGTGAGGATGGAGTTGGTCGGAAGCTCGTCGGAGTGGAAAGGGATACATGTGCTGACACCGCGGTAAACAAAAAGCAGAAGTTGCAACATGAACTTAACCCCGTGAAAAATTCAGATGAAATTGACTTGGACCTGGATAGCGACTCTGGTGAAGATACTGCTGCAGATACCGTTCCTGAAGCAGAATCGCGGGTCATAGATCACTCGAACTCAGCAGCTAACATTAACGAAGGTCCTACTGATAGCATTGCCAAACCCGCAGAAGATGTCGAAAAAGATACAGGAGACATCTATGAAGAAATCCGGAGCCAACTACCTGCTGGTTTTGCACGACCTCAACCGCAAACATACGCGGTTAATGGGCCTTTGCCGGAGTCTATTTCCAACAAGACCACACACTTTCTTGCTCTGGACAAATGTCTTCCAAACCGGGAATTTCTTCAACTCGTTGAGTTTAGTACTATTTCAAATCCCGACGGTGCTCAGTGCGAGCGTCCTTATCGCTTGCAGTATGATAAAGAATGGCTAGCCATCACACGTGTGTTCGCAAACGACCTTCAGCTGGGCGATGCAACCGCCAAACCAGCTGCTGATAAAGGCGACACCGTTTACGAACCCCAGATCATTGAGGAAGAAAAGTGGATAGAGGAACACATTGTGAAGCCTGGAAAAATAGGCATCCCAGAGAACTTCGTTCCAACGGCCCCGCCCTACGACCCAGCTGTTCCTATCACTACAGAGCAGATGCCACCGGAGTACAATAACCCTCAGACTGCTCAATTTTGCGAACTGATTGGTATCGAAAACAAGTTCCACCTCACTGATGAGGAACGTGAAGCTCGCATAGCTGCTGGTCCACGGCCTGTTGAGTCTAGACAGAACTTCTCCCGGCATCCTCGTCGCGATGGCGGTCATGGGCCTGGAAGTGGCAGAGGGGGTGGTAGAGGTGGCAGAGGTGGTGGCCGCGGCTGGGGACGCGGACACGGACGCGGACGAGCAGCTCCCTATTAAGTACTCATCCCTAAAAATTCTTTTGAGCTTCTCTATGATGTTTTCGTGTCTATTTGCGGAAATACCCTCGTCGGAACCTATGTTACGTGAACTCTAATATCTTCACTGATGAACTTCCTGGTTTTGAAATGCCTAAATAGTGACCCCTTCAAGTCTGCATGTTCCAGCATAAAAATTTGAGATATCATGCTTGTCCACTCTGTTTTCTACTCTTTTGCTAACAGTAGACACGTATTATCGTAATGTACACCGGTGTCTCGCAAATGCAGCAGTAGCTCATTCAATTTCTTCAATCCTAGGCCGTCCGCTTTCATTTCTTCCTGCAAGAGGGTCGATTTGAAGGCCCGCGATTCGGTCCCCCAGTTCGACTCTTGGCTCATTCTCACCATGGGCTCCAATTCCCCACAACAACGACTTCTCTACCCAAGCCTCCAAATTCTCAATCAGCACACGGATATGGCCACGGACAATGGTGTCTGTTTCGCGGCTCTCGACAAACGTGAGTGACCGCAACATATGCGGGATATTACCTGTAGTCGAAGGCCCACGGTTGCTGGCATTCTCACCCTTCCAAGACATACCACTGGCCGAGTCATCTGCAAGTGAGAACCCAAAACCGAGAGCTTGACTTCCTCGAGCCTCACGGGTAGTATCGAGGGCCTTAAGGATATCGAGAAGCAGGACAACACTTGCTCGTCGGAGAATTGCGGACTCAGGATCTTGCTCTAGGGTAAGAGTCGCAAGCGCAAGGTCAACAGCTGATGAAGCCACCGAAGGTCCAAGGCCAGCAATATTAGTTTGAACCGCGGTCGCCAGGATAGACAACGCAGATGCACGGACTCGCAGATCATCCGGTTCCTCGTCTGACGAGGCACCCGCAGCCCAGGCGGCGATGATATTGGCGGAATAGGCAGCTTGCTCAGGAGACTCAGAGTCTGAACCGTCTTCGTCTTCTTGTATGTTTGTTGCTGGTGTAGGCGACGAGATCTTCCAGCCTGATGGCATTGTTGGTTCCTTGTTTCGCCGTTCTTCCCGCTCCTTCTGTCGTTTTTCTTTCTCGAGTTGTTGTTTGCGGCGCTTTTGGGTCTCCGGCTTTTGTGCTCGTCGCCCTGCGACTGCAACCATACCCTCGCCTAAAATCTTTGCGGTCTCTCCGGTTAATGCTTCGCCGAGGTCTTGGACAGTTCGTAACAGAGATTCTCCGATTTTGAGTCTCTGGTCCAGACTAGCGGTTTCATTTCGATCTGTGTAACGGTCGACTAGTGTTTTAACAACTGTGCGGGGGTGTCTTGAGGCTAATGTGCCAATCAGTTTGATTGCATTCAGATAGATAAACTCGTCATTAGCTGCAGTTTCGGACGGATCTGTTATGATAGATAGAAGAAGGGTTAATGTAGACGGTATGTCGAGGACGGGAGAGGCTTTTTTAATCAGGTCAGAGAGAAGTGAGAACCCTTCAGCCTGGACTGGAGGGAGATCGGAATTAAGATTGGTCAGGGCTCGGCGATGTGTTTCAAAATCAGATGTTTCGGAGTATGGACGTTTCTGGCTCTGTTCGGAGGGAGATGTGAGATGAATTTCTAGAAGCATTGAGGAAGTCGTCCCTGGCTTAGCAAGCGACGGTGGAAGATAAGGGATCAATTGGTCTAGTCGTGATTTGAGATTTTCGAGGACCAGCAGAGTATCCTGCGATGCCGAGAACTCGGGGGATGCAAGAACGGTGGATAGTAAACTGAAAACGGCTGGTAGGGATTCGGTTGAGTCTGACTCTTCTGCGTTGTCTTGTTGTGCATTTTCTTCCGTAGGGACAATGTTCGCCAGCGAGGAGAGTGATACCTTGCCGGTTCCTAGATCGCCGTCCCTCTTTTTTCGTGTACTTGTGCGATTGAGCTCACCATCTATGATTTGTTTAATAAGTTCGAGTACTCTGAGCGGCCGACGAGAAAGGATATCTTTGAAATTCTCTAGAAGGGTCTCTGCCAGTTTCGCGCTGACCAGCTTGCGTTCCATGCTCTCAGCCTCATTCTCGGGGCCGAGCTGAGACTTATCAAAAGGTCGCTGATTGACCGGAGATTGAACGAGCCAGCTCTCGCTCACATATAGAAATATATCGCCGGTGCGCTCTTCGCTGCTAGGATCAGCTCCCAGTAAGCCGACGAAAAGCTTAGCCCGAGACTGTAGAGTGTCTAGAAGTCGTACAATATTCAACCGATCTGATTTGGCAGTCTCACGTTTAACCAATGAGATCCCATGGGTTGGAACTATACTGTAAGTCCAGGGGGAACCTCCATCCCAGAGCAGATGATCAACCAACTTTTTCAGTGGCTGTTCTCCGACAGATATAGCGAAGTACGTTTGTAACACTTCCATGATCTTCTCATTAAGAGAATTATGTTGTTGCTCTAAAGTAAAACAAGCCAATCCCCAGAGCGGAACGAGTATTGGGTAAACAAGTCTCTTCACGAGACTTGGGTTCGGGGGCTGAAGAACTAAACTTCTCAGTCTGTCAACTGCCACCACCAACAAGGATTCGGGCACAAGGACTCGGTCCGGCAAGTCTTCACCTTTAGCTGAGGATAACATCATCCAATTCCTTGATGAATTATCCAGACCAGCCGTGAGTGTCTTGAATAGCGGTTCCAGGAAGATAGAGTGGCCTATAGTCCCGGGTGCGCCATAGGCACGCTTGCATAAAATCCCATTACCAACCACGTATGCCGCAGTCTTCTTCAAATCCGGATCATCTCCATCAATTAAGGTCAATAGTTGGGGCCCAATGATCGAAAAATAGTGCGCTGGGTCCATGCCCTGAGGTACTGAGGATAGAAGGCGCGATGACTGCATGATCGCCTGCACTGTAAAGTGTGGGCCATTAGACGTCTGGTCTTGAGACTCCTGTCCTAGTGAAGGAGCAAGCTGTGAAGCTAGGAAGAGTATTGTTTGCAAAACCCCGTCGTGACGTAAAGGGACCCTTGATATTTGACTAGAAACTATTGATTTGAACCACGGAGCTGTATCCGACTGAAGGAAGCTCGACAGGGTGGACAACAAAACTGGGCTAGGTGTTCTACGATTCCTCAGTATGTGTAAAGTGTGGAATAAATTTGATCAAGACATACTCTTCAACTACCTTCACGAGCACATCACGGTAGCGCTGTTGCTTATCTTGGGATAAATGTTCTGCATTCGAGGCTAAGTCTGAGGCCGCACTGATTATATCGCTCAAGATACGGCCACGAATGACAGGTTGTATACTGGACCGCTCATCACAAATGATGTCCGAAAGTACGGACATTATGTGTTCCAGAAGCACTTCATTCTGTAGTTTGTTATTCGTAGGCTTCTGTGGTTGATGAGCAATAACGCCGGCCGGCAATACAGAAATCACCCTTTGCTGAAGAGGAATTCCCGCCCCAGATGAGAGTGATGGATAAATTCCCTCTAGAGAAATGAGGTCCAGGAGGGCATGTAACAGTCTGCGTCGCTTTGCGTCTTCCAAAGCGGCATCTTCCGACTCGCCGCTGGGTTGCGGGTGTTCTGCATCCTGTACTGGAGCGACAAACGCAATATGGATACGAGTCAGTATGTCTAATGCCCTCCCGATAACAGTAGCCCTTGTTGACTTTTCATCTAAGGCTTCATCTGTTGAGTCTTCACTCAATATCTTAAGTAGTGAGCTCCCGCGGGACTTTTGGAGCTCCTCTTGCATCTAGTTAGCGTATCAAGTCAAATCAAGTTTTCTTACTTCGTGGTTGCGTACCCTTTTGAAGGACGGGGTTTAGAAAATTGCCTGCGGCATTAAACGCATCTTTTAGCTGCTGCGTATCGCACATGGTCTACTTATAGATATGAAAAAGTTCACATCCAGGTATTGTCATTTTCTGTCTACTGGTTTACTTGGACATTGCTTATGCAGCAAAAGGCGACGGTTTACACGTGACTCGCACACTAGCCTCTTGCGTAGCTTACTCATAAGGACCTTTTCATGGAATTTATGGCACCATACCAAATACGGCTAGCTTAGTTTCAATTCAATATATTTGTAGCGGAACCGTTAATGATATTCTCGACGTCCTGCTCCGCTGCTCTTCCACTAGAAAACATAGTGATATTTTCAACGAATATGTTCTTGCAGCGAGGCAAGAGTAAAATGTTGGAGTGGAAGGAAGATGATTGGGGAAAGTAACTGGTACCTCCAATGTTGTTGCATACTCTGTATCTGCTGCAGGGGGTGCTTGGCATGTATTGCTCCTGACACCAGGGTCTTTTCGCCAATGTAAGAAAACTGGAGCGGCTGATTTTAGGCATACAGTGTGCTTATGATAGTCGTTATGCTTGTCCCACATTGACGGCTCTGTTAGATCCGGTAAGTGTGACCACGGTGTCAGACCAAAGCTAGTGAGAGCATTCAACGCGGGCTGTATGCAAGAAAGTTTTGGTAAAGGAGACCCTACAGTTGTGCTGTATTTCAAACTGATCCTGATGGGTAGCACAGCTGACATCTCCCTTTGATCTATTGACAATTGCGTATTTGTCTGCGCAGACAAGAGTCCAACGCGTCTTCGGCAAAGGCCCTTGCTGATGTATTTTTGTTGGCTCAGGCAGTAGAACGTGCTATTCTCAGGGACTAAAAGCGGTGTTCGCTCAAGGCGTGGTGAGCCAATATGCACAGCCTGCATCCAGTCTCCGACAGTAGTCAACATGTCATGCGTTTGACTTCTTTTCATGATGCTGAATCTGACGTGGTATTGAATAGCTATTGCCCTAGCTATCATGTCTTCTGTCGGCTCATCATCAGTCTGTGACCTCCTGCCAAAGCTAGGAGGTAACTGCAGATGTTCCCATTGAAACTGTTCGTGGCGGTGATGTTTTTGGCAAACATGCGGCAGCAATTCTGCAGGAACGACAAACTCGAAAGGCAGCCGATATTCTGTGCCTATTTGCAGTGTCTCGGCTTTCTGACAAGTCATATCGTGGAGTGGCTTATCCATTTGAAGAAATGTCTTGGATACCGTAGACTGGGGGAGTGGTATATTGGTTTCATTTGTGTCCATGCGCACTACAGTTTTACCTGCATTAATTGTTAAATATCAAGGCCCTATCAATAGGAGTATTCAGTGAGTACCTTCAAAGGATAGGCGTAGCTGATGTAAGGCAATTTGTCTTCGAGGGGTAAATAGCACAGTTCCTTCAATTTTGTCACCCGGTGTATACCTTCTGGTGCTGTCCACTAGAGCGATTTGCACCTTTGCACTCGTTTCAACGGGAAAAATTATTTTTGCAGCTTGTCGGTGACTTCCCGAAAAGCCGATTGAAGATGTCACGCCATAGCCTGCGCCGTGCTTACTAGCGAAGCTCTAATTGTAACATGATATAATACTGAAGCCATAGTCTTTCTGTTGTTATTACCACCAAGTTGTCGACTACTTTAACCTGAGTGGAGATTACCTGGTGATAGTTACTGCAAATCCGATTCCGAACCCTAACCTGTATGTATGTACATTGTGACAGCCAACGTAAATTTCAAGCCAGACTATATGTAAACCATGCATATCCGATTTATCTGCGATTCGAGCATTGGTGGCAGCTACCTAACCCTCGAATGCCAAATTATGCTTTTGTGAAGCATCGTGTCGCTTTTCAACCTGCCTAGGGTTTTCCCAGCCGGAGTTGTTCCATGATCAGTTCTGAAATGATCTGCTTCAGTAGAACGTAAGGTATATGGTTTCATTAGCGAGATATCACAGGGTCTAGGTTGCTTCAGGGTTGAGTATTATTTTCGTGAGTGTAGTCCTTGAAATTTGAAAACTGTGATAGGGTTTAGTTCTATTAATGCAAAGATATATATCCTGTCAACCTTATCCGAATTTATACACGCATTGTAATAATACCTGGTAGTGAGTGACGCACCACTCAAACTCAATCTCTCCTTCTAGACTTTTGTTTATTCTCCATTTTTCAGCCACTCATATTTAACTTGTTGGATACTATGGTATCAAATGTTGATATTAAATATTTGGCTTTCATTACTCCGTACCGAGTACTTTTTTCAATTTTCCATCGGCATCCTGACAAGTTGCCGAGGAATAGATGATTAAGCGGCCCAAGTTTGCCTCTCGGCGAAGAAGCCGAATCCCGACCAACTGTACTCTTACTGAACTTGTCCAGTTACTGTGTCTACAAACCGATCAATAGAGGGATATTGTTAGCCGAGGAATTATTTCATCCATATGCCTGTTGTTAGAAATAACCCTTACGGGCGCAACAAGAAGAAACCTGTCGCGTACGTCATGTAGTCCACAAAACCCTGAACATCGCTCTAATCTTTGTGCAGCTGCCACCGATGCCACTCTCACAAGGTCAAGTGCTCCGGCGAACAGCCTTGCGCTAGATGCAGTCAGGCCGGATGTGGAGACGAGTGTCAATATACCTTACGTGATCGGAAGCTCAAGGTTAATGAAAGGTACACTCCCCATTGGTTCTCAGTGGGCTTAGGGCTTAATCATATGCCCGTCTTATAGTTATATCGACCAACTTCTCTCAGAAAACACTCGGCTGAAAGAGCAGATTCGTACTTCATACACACCCAACCCTTCTCCAGCAAGTACCGCGGACACTACAGCACCACCACCACCACCAGAATCCTATCCTTCACTCCAAAATCCTCTGTTTGGAGAGCGGGCTTGGTTCTACCCGTATGACTCGAACGCTCCTCCAATCTATATGGGGGATGCTGCCTGCACCGCATTTGCAACGCGGTTACGGCAGTTTCTCACAGAGGATCCGAATACTGCCCATGTGGCACGTACTCAATATACCCCTGAGTCTTCCTTGCTGGAAGGTGAATCTCAATGGCCTAGCCTTGCTCAAGCCCGCTTACTAGTCAAGATTGCTTTCAACCAACTTAGTCGTGTCTACCATTTGTTCTTGCGCAAGTCCACTCTCGAGCAGCTGGAAAGTCTATATCGTCTACCGTCTCTGCGAGATGACCCGGCCTTAACATGCAAGTTCTTCTCTCTTTTTGCCTTGGGTGAGGTCTACTCTTCGCGGTCGATTTCGTCGCCAACCAGCCGAGTGCCAGGGACAAGGTACTACGTACGTGCGATGGGGATAATTCCAATTCTACCGGAAAGACCGGGATTGATCCACGTGGAAAGCTTACTACTGCTGGTGAGTGTCGTCAGTTATCTTTGAGCATGTCCTCTAACTGCGAACCAGTCATTATACTCATACTTCCTGAATAGACGGCATTCTGCCTATATACTAGTTGGAAGTGCCATGCGCCTGGGGCTATTCTTAGGGCTAAATCATAATATTCCTGCTCGGCAATGCGCGGATCCAACCGAGCGCGAACACCGTGTGCGCCTCTGGTGGGCTATTTATATCTTTGACCGCATGTACACGTCGAAAATCGGGCTCCCTCTCCAGATTCGCGACGACGATATCTATGTTGATCTCCCAGCAGCGGTTACCAGCCCCGACGCAGAAGAGCAATTCTCTGATACGGCATATCTAGTGTCTAGCATCCGTTTGGCCCGTATAGTCGGCCAGATCGTAGAGAAAATCTACACCCGCAAGCCACACCAGGAGTCATTCCTACAACGAGAGCAGCAGTTACTTCTCGCGTTGCAGGAGTGGGTTCAGTCTCTGCCAGCACATATCAAATTACCAGCTGTAGAGACTCCTCAGAAGCACGTCGTGTCTCTCCACTTGCAATTCAACCAGGTAAGTCTTACACACACACGCGTGTCGTGAGGCATGTCACTGACATGAATAAGTGTGTCATATTGGCCACTCGTCCGATTCTCCTCCACGCCTTATTCCAACAACGAGCCCACCGCGACAATCATGAAGACACCCCGCAGCCAGTCATCACATTGAGCGAGGCATGCATCCACGCTGCCCGGCATTCTCATACCCTGATAACCGAGGAGTGGGTAAACGGGTCACTGCCAATGTACGGGTACTTCTACGCACAGTACCTCTTCTCCTCCGCTATCATCCTGGTGATGTCAGGCCTTCTGCCCTCGATCGGCACGACGGCCGATCTAGAATTTCTGGAGACAGCCATCGAGATCCTTCGGCGAATGAAAGACCATGGTAATCTTGCTGCGGCAGAGTTTTACGAAAACCTGAAGCGAGTAAAGCAGTGTTTACCGAGCGGCTCTGGAAATAATGCTATCCCCCGCAGTTATACGCCTGAGCAGTCCCGTCTCTCAGTTGGAGATGCTGCTGCAAACGTGGACCACATTTTAGATTCGACCGCAGTTCCCGTTGTGGGCCTCACTACCGAAATGGCGTTTCTGGAACCGACAATGCAGGACTTCCTGGGCAGGACAAATAATGAGATGGACCTTATAAACCCGGGGGTGTTCTCGATAGAAGACTCTACTGGCATAGATGCCTGGCCTACTACCTTCTGGACATCATGAGTCTCCACCTATCTCTCATACTCATGCTTTTGGTCCATTTCAACAATGAATCTGGACAACTGGCATATCAAGCGTGGAACCAACACCGGCCTTATAGCTGACCGACAAAGACTATTCCGAATAACCTCGGGAGGTAGCAAAGGTACTAAATTGAAAGAAGCCCTGAATAAAGTCTTGCATCGGCCTTCTGGGCGGAAATGGGAGCATCTGGAAGCGGCTGCAGTGGCGGTGTACTGTTGATAACTATATCCACTTCTACCGGCCGTTTGAGGAGGCAGAGTATGCGAAAAGGGTTGAGGCAGGCCCCTCGTAACGCCGCCAGAGATTCTGCCGATATAATGCTCTACCGGTATAATGCGTTATTATAAGTAAATGAGGAACAATTACACCCATCCCGAGCGGAGAGTAATGAAAATTAATGCATTTGTGGCCTCGTAATTTCCTATCCAAAGTTCAATAAGATTTACATCTCCGACCACTGATGGAACGTCGAGTTCCTAGTAAGCCTCCGTAGCCTTTTACCACAAAAGTACAATGGAACAGCAAGGAGCATCGGCCCCATAGTCAAAGCAAACTCCACCATGGCAGGAGCAATAAAACCCTTCCTCGCACCCAAAGGCGCAACCCAATAACTCATACTAAACCCAATTGTGTTTTTAACAACCGTAGCAACGACCATGATCTCCCCGGACATGGGCTTATAGCAGTCGACCGCGTATGCAACGGCAATTGTCGGCACAGTAGTGACACTGAGCCCGGTGAGCCCGTACCCGAAAACAAGGATAATGGGCCATGGCCACTGGTGTTGATACCCTAATCCCCCAATAACATTCCCGATGGCAGTGGTGATGAAAAAGGGAATCAATGCCGGAAGACGCATCTCTGCCTCTCGAACGCCTCGATTCCGACGCGTGGCTTTGTCGGCTACCCAGTCCGAGAACGGTCCAGCAGTTAGAAGCCCTATGGTTCCACCGACGAAGAACGCAAAATTGCTATACCCGACAGCCCCCGAGGAGAAGTTATAGGGCGGCGCAGCTAGGATGGCAGATTCCGTCAGGTTAAAGAAGAGAAGTAGGTTCGCTGGCCCTGCAACGTTTAAGCCGGCCCAGAATATGATGGGGTAGAAGAATGCGCGAATGGGAGAGAAAATGTCGCGCATCAGAAAGCCTTTCCAGCGGGAGTCGGGCTTTTGGAAGAGCATGAACTGTTTCTTGGATGGTCGTCCCTTGCCGTATTGTGAACTGGTATTGGATGCTTCGTTGTCGTTTGGTGCCTGGATTGATTCTTGTGCGTCGTGCTTTTCGGTATTTGTGATCGGTGTTGGTTCGTCTACAGCTTCTGATTTGCCTCCGAAGGTCGCTGCTGAGCGTCGGTACTTTGTTTCGGGGAAGAATAATGCAAGGGTGATGATATTGAGGGCTGAAAGACCCAGTGATACCCAGAAGAAGCTTCGCCATCCATGCCTGTAGTTGGGTATTCCCTTAGCTGTGGTCATATATCTACAACTTACGGTGGTTCATCTGAAGCCAAATAAGAGATGAGCAGATGGGGATGGGCCATTACCTTTCTGCAATGTTGCCCGCAATCACTGGTCCCAAGAATAAACCAAAGAAATAGGACGTACTGCTCTTCAATTAGCTCCCTTGTCATGGAGCAGCATAGGGTGAAACCAACAAATAGATACCGGTCCACAACCCCCTTTCATGCAGAAAGAATAGATCTGCAATCACTTGCATCATGATACTCTCTGTCGTGGCCGTCGTAAGACCATTGACTACACGCGCTGCCAGAAAGGCCCTATGCGAAGTAGCAAGAGCTTCCCAGAGCACGGTAAGGAATGTCAGGACTGCCAAAGATATACTAGCCAACCTCCGCCCGAATATGTTCGAGAACGGAACGATGAGAAAGTTCGCATAGCCTAGACCGAGGATGCATCCTCCCGTGAGAAGGCCAAGCTGAGTTTCATTGAGGCCCCATTCCTTGCCCAACAATGGAAACATGGGTGCCATTGATAGCGAGGATTCGACCGCAACGAAGACATAAAGAAATTGGGAGATGATGACCAGATCTACTTCCCACCCATGTATTGTTAGAGCATTTGTTGGTCATTCGCTGTGTTTGGACAGGATAGGGCACTAACATTTCCAAGCAGGTGCCCAGTTGAGCGGATCGTTACTATTGTTCGAAGGCTGTGGAATGAGACTGGACGATGTCAGTTTCGAATACAACACATCTCAATTGAACTGGAGATAAGCCATACACAGTGTCACTTCTTCTGCCATGCTTCAAATGACGATCCTCAGCGTCGCGTAAAACATCTGTTCCCGGAACGATGTCTACTTGCATATCAGCCGGTCCCAAGGTTCCGCCTCCGCCACGGTGGATGTTGTTAGCCGTCATGACAGCTTCTTTCAGGGGTTAATTTGATATAAAAAACGGCGGATCAAGAACTGGCCCGGGAAATAAGGTGTGAAGAGAGCAGTGAGGGTCACGACTCTGGACGCAAGGGAGCCTGCTGATCAACGTTCTTCCCCAAGAAGAATGGAAGGGATTGACTTGTAGATAGTACAGCTTATCTGAGCTTACAGAGAGACCGTTTGGTCACATTCTGAACAGGGTTCAAATCAGCCATGGGGTCGGACATTAAACAGGCCGAGGACTGTCTATGTGGGTGGGCTGTAGCCATGACTGGCGTGGAAAATTGAACAATCCTGGTTCATAAACGATCTCGGCCTCCATCCCGTTTGAGGACGACCGTTATTGGCGTAAAGTGCTTATTGTGCTTAAGGCGGGTTGGAGGGCGTGTGCACTAATGGGTAGGAATATTTCTAGCGTTGCCATGACCCACAGCAGGTACCCAGATCCTTGTATACATTATATTAAATTTTTATTGCTGTGCATGACTAGTTTCCGATGGCCTTCCGTTCTCGACTCAACAGCCAAAGTACGAGCTACAGACAGTGCGACACTGCATTCATTTCGCGTCTCAGCGTCTTGTGCAACGATTGACGTGGCCTCCTTTACATGAAATGATACATATGTTAGCCAGTCACCTTTAGTACAGCCATATATTTCGGATAATGTGAGGATTCCGTCGGACTTGGCCCACACTTTACTATTTACCTAGTAGTATGAAGTGGTGCTGCCATGGTGATCATTATTTAAATCTCATACCATAAGATCATGCGCATATCCAAGTGACACCATGAAGAACCACAACCCCATCATATCCTTTCGTGGGGAAGTACCTGCCCGTAAGGTTCCCCATGCTCTCTCGATCCCGCCGGCACTTCGTATGTTAAGCTGATATCGGTTGTCTTGACGATTGTACCATCCTCGACCGACAGGATATTCTCCTCGCTTCCCTTCCCATTGACAGTGCTCACCAACAGGTCCGTCCCGTGGGGATGTGGCTTGGGTGCTTTTGGCATGTGTTTGGACGGACGGGAGTAGGACTGCAATTCTGTCCCATCACGGCTATGTTTATTGTATCGCCCAGTCGCCGATCGTGCGCTGGTCAGGATTTTGTGGAATATAATCATCAGGAGAGGACGGATTGGAGGAATGCATCCGACGATAAGGATAACCCACATCTCCGTTCTAGTGTACATGAGAGTCAGCGTTGCAATTCACGGCTATCTCCTCGATGAGACTTACTCATTCCATGTGATGAGCTGAGACAAGTAGTCTATTATTGATGTCAGAAGTATGAGTGTATACGTGCGATTGCCATTCGATTCCACGGATTGGTGGTAAGGTGACTTACACGTTACATTTTCGGTCTTGGAGAGCACGCGGAGGTAGGTTGTTTTAACAATGGAACAAATGCATGCGCTTGTATTCTATCGTGAGCAAGTTGCTTGTCTTTCGACCAAAGGATGCAGTGCGCTTACATCACTCCCAACCCCATCAATATGCAGAGCCCAGTCTTCACTGGTAATCTGAGCTGTACGTTCCAGAAAAAGCTGACCGGGTATAAGGCAAGGATAAGATCGCACAAAGCAGACCAGCCTAGAAGATGCCAGCGAAGTCAGTCTCAATCGTTTCCACCGTCCTATGGACTAGAGAAATCATACTCCCTTGGAAAAAAGCACAATTCTGAGTGCGGAGATAATCACAAGTCCCAGGATGTCTGTCATCCCATAGCTTGCTCAACGGTTGGCACTGAGTCAACACGATAATTATAATGATAACATTGATCACAAGATTACTGAATGCCACTATCCATAGTATCGCTACTTTCCAGCGGTCCTCGGGGCCATGGAGATGCTGCAGAAAAGCAACAATGGCTAGCTTCCCCATCGCGATGGCGAAAAGAGCCGACAACTGGTTCACCCAACTCCATTTTATGGCCATAGCAGCCTGATCTTGTGTCAGGATTGTCGAATCTTGACCGAGGCCGTGGAGGATGCTCAGGGTTAACGCGATAAGACTCTCGGTGCCAACGGCCTGAAACCATTTGAGGATGTTTACCCCGATTAGTCTTCAACTTTTCTTGTGGGGTGGCATATTCGAACAGAGAAAAGGGGTTATCATACAAAGGTGAAAAGTGTTAGATATAGATCGATCCGGGTGCGCCGCGTTATTCGCAGTGTCGTGTACACCCGTGCCAGCAATAGGGAGAGTGCAATGGCGAATTCCACCCAAGTAACAATCAGAAGAGTCGGGCCGTGACCTCCCACTAGGTTTACCATATCTTCAAAAAGATTTAAAGGCAGGGAGAAGTGATAGGAATGAAAGTGCATAACATAACATTGTTGATGTATACTTGAAGATCAGAGATCAAGGCGGGACAGACTTATAAAAGATGGATCATTTAACATTGGATATGCAAAATCATTTCAGTGATCGAAAAGACAGGCACAGCAATCCCTTCTCTCCCGAGCCTCTGACCATAGAAAATGAATTAACTGTTTGATCTTACACGGGATTGTACGTAAAGGCCAGGGAGCATCCCGGTAGTTAGTAACACTATGCTCAGTGCTAATATAGACATGTACACCGTGGCGTGAGTACTATCGGTCTGTGATTAAAGAGCCCCCTGGCTATATATGTGTCTCTTTAATTTGCTCCAAAGTGTCTGCTGCAGGCGTGCCTTGATTTGTGCGTGGATGGGCCATAGAGTATGTGAAATATGCACACGCACAATCTCCTAAAAGACGGAGACTCCGTGGTTGCAACAGTGATGGGCAGTACTTTCCTTAGTCCCTACATGGTCAATCGTTGTTCCGAGTTTGCTCCATCATACCACTGCAGGGATTCAGCTCCGTTACGGAATTTCGCAGCGCAGCCGATCCACTCATGTTGCGCCGCGAGAAGAATACAGTGTGCAGGGTCCTAAAGGACAAAAACAACACCCGCCAACCATCTCACTATCGATGCTTCACCAACTGCAAAGGGTATAATACTCACTATCACCTTAGGTGTGTGTATCAATGAGCACGAGCTCCAATCCAGCAGACACCAATCAATTGATTGACGGTAGATAGCCAGACCCTGGCCTGGGCCTCTTTTATTGTCAAGTCAGGAGAGACCATTTGCCAAGTCCGAGTCCAGCCCTAGAGTACTACCCTGACCCTGGAATTCCATTACTGACTTGGGACGACTGCAGGTCATCACGTCCAGGATGAAGTCTCCAAACAGGGCTCCTCGGCTAAATGGTCTCCCCGATGCTTTTATACCACCACATTGATGTTCGACATCATATATTCAGAACTAGCCTACACCTTCTCAGCCAAAACTCAAGTCTGAACAGAATTATAAGCGATTTGAAACGCGTTTACCTTATAAGCGATTTCCCGTACGGCTGCGCGTAGATAATTGTGATTGTTAATTTATTTCGATGGTTGGGCGCATTTCGAGTTGATCGAGGCTAGATATGTTAACTGATAGATAGAATGCATCGCACAAGAGGAATGAGCAAATAATCATTTTCAATGGTAAATACAAGTGAACTGGACCACTCCGGTCAGTTGTATTGTTGGTATCTGTAGCGCAGGGAGCATAATCGACAAGTTTTGGATTTAGTAGTGAACATCAAAGAAGTACAAAAAAGTCGCTCATGCAGAAAAATCCAAGACCTTTACTCAACCAATACCAAAACTCCAAATATGCAATCCTTTGTGGGACACAACGCCAGTCAGTCCGACATTAAAACACTCATACATACAAGCCGTTAGCGGATGATAGGAAAGGGGCGTAAATGAAGAATAAAAAGAGGAGTTGGAGAAACTTAAAAGAAGGGTAAAAGAGAAAAAGAAAAGAGAAAGAAAGAAGGAAAAGGGTAGACAGAGGGGGAGAAATCATCCGGTAATAGCTTTTCTTTTCAGTACTCCAAGTTTCTCAAGCTTCTTCCAAGCGTGATCTATGTCGGAGCCTGGTTCGAGCGTGGGACGCAATTGCAATCCATCCAAAATTTTGAGGGAGCCGCCTGTTCCCGCATACAGCATCAGCTCAAATACTCTGCGTCGAAGCCGTGTCGGCTCATCCAAGTGGGACAGATATTTCTGGTCGGCCTGGGGGTCCGCTGGCGGCAAAGTGTATGGGTCGTTGATTTCGACATCTTTGTCGGCGATATGTTCATCATCCTTTTCATGAATAACCGAACGCTCTAAGTCCTCAGCGTGTCCAAACTCAGCAAGCACAGATTGGATATCTAACCCAATTTGCTCACGTTGGCCGGGCTCATCTTCTACCTTCAAATCCTTTGCGTCCCCGACTCTGCCGCTTCCAGTGACAGCTGGAGGATAAAATCGGACTGTAAGCGGGTTGCCTCTTATATCTACCTTTTGAAGGGTAGAAACCTTATTCTTGTTTGTTCTTCCTATCCGACTCAAGACTTGACAGAGTCTCCTCAACCGAACAATGCAGTTGCTGGCAATGGTCAGGCGAGAAAGGCAGTTCAATCCAGCCAGTTCATTGATGCCAGCCAGGGAGTTGAAGTTCAAGTTGAGAACCCTGACGTTCGGAAAGTTGAGAGCAAAGTCTGCGGGGAGGCTTTGGATACTGCAAGATGCAACATCGAGCAGCTGCAGGCCTGAAAGAGGGCTGGACGGAGACAGGCACTGCAAAGACAGCTTATTACAAGACAGGAAAACTTTCCGAACGTCTTTTACCAGACCCAGGTCCACGTCAAAAAACCCACCATTGTGCTCACCTGTATTCATCTGCTCACGTGCAGAGAAGACGTCCAAGCCTGCACATTGTTCAAGTCCCGACACTGTGAATAGATAGTTGTGGTCGAGGTAGAGAAGGGTAAGTGACGGAAAAGCTGCAACATCCAGGCTATGCAGTTGATTACTGGAGAGTCGTAAGGATGATAGGTATGGCATAGGTGCCGATGGAGCTACTCTAGCCAGCTGATTGAAACTAAGGTCGAGCTTTGACAATGCTGAGAGCGACTCGATATTTTGTATTGACATCAGTTGGTTATGGCTGAGATCTAACTCTTCCAAGCGAACCCTATAAGAGCAAATGAGTCAGTTGTCCTGTAGCAATCTGGGCCGGAATAAGGGTACTTACAGCTCTGAGTCTTCAAAATCGACAGTCGTCAAGCTATTGTTCCGCAACTTCAGGCTTAGAAGTCCGTCCAGTTCGAAAATGCCATCAATGTTTCGGATATTGTTGTCTTCAGCTTTTAGTTCTCTCAGGTGAATCAGACTACTGAATCCATCCAGGCTCTCCAGCTCGTTACCAGAAATATCCAGATATTGCAGGTTCACTAAGTGGCCCCAGGCTGTTAGATTGGAGAGGCAGTTATGCGATATTCTCAGAGTCCTCAGAGTTGGAGGCACCCCACTCAACTGTCCAATATTGTTGTTAGACACATCCAAATCTTCAAGGCGAGGACAAAAGTCGCAAAGTTTGTGAAGCGTGATCAAGCCTTTGTGGCGAAGGACCAAACGTCGAACATGCTCCCAGTAAGGCTCAAAAGGTTCGACTTCCGTAATATGCTTTACTAACTCTTCAGTTGCCAGAGCAAATGTCCCATGCACCTGACGCAAAGACCTAGGGTGAGTGCGCTGAGCCACATAGCTAAGTTCTAGTTGTAGAGAAGGGTCAATTTGGTGGACAGTAAAGTCAGGCAAAGGACTCAAATAGAAGCTATGATTCGTGTCATGGTCCATATCACGGAGGCACATAAGCGAGTTTTCGGCCTGACTCTTAAGCGGGGTGGATAAAGCATCATTGCCCTGTCGGACTAAGCTCAGACTATCGCCTTGCTCTTCATTTGTCTCATCTATTCTGGAAATAGCGTGGCGATGGGAGGCTTGCTCCGAGGTGTATGTGTGATTAGCCGCCGTTTCAGGTTCTTGACCGGCTCTGCGGAGCTTTGACGGACTTTCATCGTCGCTATATGCGATATGTGAAACGAGGGGTGATGAGAAACTTATCGTGACCACACGAGCTTGTTGTTTTCCGTCTTTTTGGCGCCTTGGTGGCTTCGATAAGTGACCCTCATGAAGCTGGATTTCGTGTTCAACCTCGCTGGAGGATGCTCTATTGCCTTGGGTTTCAGAGCCCCACGAGGTCACTCCAGTCGCCGAGTGCGGAATACTAGAGTTGGAGCGAGCCGATTTAGACTGCAAAGAACTAGCAGCAACCGACGGCTCACCATCCTTGGTTCCCGGCCGAACCACTGAACTGGGAGAGCCGGTCTTCCGACTTAGCGGACTTTGGTCATTGGCATCTTCTGGCAGAACAGAGTCCCCAGTCCGTTCTGGGGAAGGCGAGTTTTGCATCCTCATCATTTCTTGCAATTCGTCAACACTAAGATCGGGTATATCTCTGAATGGATCATCCTCACTGTCTTCGCCTTTGGGCTTTTCGAAAGAAACTTCGGACTTTCCCCTTATCCACTGATGTCTGTGGCGGTCGTAAGTCAGGCCGTTCACCTGTTCTGGAATCAAATGAGAAACTATGTCGGACGATAGGACACCTTTAGCGTGTGAGCTTTGTGAAGACCCGGTAGGCACCGAACGTGCACTAAGGCTTTTAGCTGATATTTGAGTGTTAAAGGTCAAGAGACCGGGTAGGTCGTCATCTTCACCAGAAGTAGGCGCGGATGATTTACGTTGGCGCTGCTCAAATACGTCATCTGCCGGTTGCATCTTCTCAAACGCCTGGTTTGTCGCAGCTTCATCATCTTGCTCGATATAGTCTTCGTCGGTATCCACTCGAGAAGGCGAATCTTGTTGGTTCTTGAAGCTCAGCGAGGTGACAGAGGCGTTGTCGCCCAGCTCCAAGTCATCATGTTCTTGGAACTTCTTGAGGTGGCTTAGAATTCGAGGGTTTGTCTCTTTTTGCTCTCGCAATTTCCGCATATCGACTCCCTCTCGACTCGGGGGACGCGAGAACTCTTCCCTAGTAGATTCATCTTCGTAACTTTCACTTTCGTTTTTGTCTTCTGCCTCGGACTCTTCTACACTCGACAAGCCACCTACGTTCCTGCCCTTTGACCTGATAATGTCCATGATCTTTGTGGCTTCGTTAAGAAAATCTTGAGTTGTGATTGACCCCTTGCGAATTTCTTCATGGATACCAGTAACTTTGACCACTGGCACATTCGTCTCCGGCGGGGAGTTCTCATCATTGTACACAACATCAGGTTCATTTTTACTTGGTGAAGATCTTTTCCTTGTAGAGCCTCTTGTTTGGCTCGGTGTTGGCGTCCTTGGGCGGTCGGATGACTGGGGCCGAAGCAGACTGTCACTGTCATATCGCAGACCGTGTTGCATAAGGCTTCTCTGTAATAATGACAAGTTATCAATTGGCTGGTTGGACAGTACTGCTTCTTCCTGATCCTCCCCTGCTATGATGTGAGATCGCAGAAATGTTCTGCGTCTCTTTGGGTTTGGGTCTTTGGCAGGACTCCCAGGATTCCACTCTGGCTCTACTTGTTCAGGATTCTCCAGCGCAATCGGATCTCGGTTTTTTGACGCATTAAATCCACGGTCTATGTTCGATGACCTGCCCGTCGAGTTATGACTGTTAGTCTCTGAGCGACGGCTCGACTCTCTATGCGAGGGACGTCGTAAATACCGTCGCCGCCGCGACAAAGGACGGAGCTCTCCATCAGGGGCATCACTACTTAGCAACTTTGGCTCGTAAGGACTCGTGTCTGCGAAGTCAAAGTTATCTAATTGGCCATCACCGAACCGACTAAGGCGAGAATTTGCTGTATTCCGTGATCGCGGCCGTTCAACCCTTCTGATAGAACTTTCACCCAGCATATCGTGCCTTGCGCTTAAGAAACTTCGGCTCTCGCCCTTCCGTCGAGCTTCTTCTGAAGGCGAGGCAGGCTCGTCTTCTTCTGATAAACCACCAAAGGTTTCTTCAAACTGGCTCATCCGTCGTAGAAGCCTGTTGTTTGTGAAAGTATCATGATTTCCAAAGAGCTTCAAGGGGCTCCCTGAAGAGGGCATGACTTCACTCTTATCATCCCCAAGTATCGGGGCTTTTAAATGAGCTGACGACGGTCTAGGCAGAGTAGGTGGATCAAGTATGGGATTTGTCCGATTATAGAAAGGTGGCGAACTTCGAATCCTTGAGTTGGCGGCAAAAAAAGGAGATAATCGCTGGGAGGTGAAGGTTGGTGGAGAAAGTTGATGCTTGTGAAAGGAGCTCTCGTTTGGATACTGCTCTCGGCGCAAGTTGCCGAAAGGCCCACGGCCTCGATAATCTAAAGTCCCCATAGAGAGATCCTGAGGTAGCGAATGACTTGTAACATCGAAGATGTCTTCTTCCGGGGGTAGATCGATAGTAAATTCGGTGTGTTGATTTAATAAAACACTGTCACTTGCCCTTGAATCGGGGCGCTCATAAGGAGGTAGAGAGAGTTTCTGAAGCTTGCTTGTGACTTGCTTCAATGCTGACCGTATAACCTCTGACGTCGCGTTGCCCTCCACTGTGTTGGTGCGTGAAAAGGTGATAGGCGTGATGCCCTCATTGCGAAGGTCCTCCAGTCCAGTGGCGGACCTCATCTGGGTATCGTCATGGGTAACAAATGAGCTGTCATTGAAGTTTGAAGGAGGTTCCTCAGGATCTTTTGATATTTCCAAAGTTGCATTGGGTGATCCTTCCGGGCTGTCGCTAGGCTTCGCATTCAGCTGTAACTGAGAAGTAGGCCCTGGTGGCCTATCTTCCTCATTTGACGCATTTGTAGCATCGTTCTTGTCGGTGTCCTGTGCCTGCGATGACCTCTGAGGGCTTGTAGAGGGGTCTTTATCCGAAGGATTACCGAAATCCCACAGATCGTCCCTTTGTTTCATCTTCGGAATCGCCTCATGCTGCGTCTTCTCAGATCCTGGTGTCGGAGGTTTGAAAACACCTTCTAAGCCGATAGGAGCGAACAAGTCACGCTGCTCTCCCGTGGGTATCTCACCCCGAACCAGCCTTTTCCGCCATTCGGGAGTGCCCTCTTTGGTTTTGCCCTTCTTCGGTTTCACCTGCACTGTGCTTTGTTGGCCGGATTGCGTGGACGCATTGGATACAGATCGCAGGGGTGACCTGGAGTCCATGGCCGGTTTCTGCTTACGCGCCGAGGGCAGATCTGGTTTCGGGGTTTTCTTCGTCTTGTCCGGTGCGGGGGATCGTAACTTGGAAGGGGTCTTCGGGGTTCGAGGCGTCCTGGGGGTCGGTGGTTCTCTCCTCACAAAATGACAAGGGCGGGATACCTTTTTCTTCTCAGCGGTGGATGGTTCAATCGATCGGCGCGTGGGTACAGGAATGCGACTAGGAGAACTCGGTAGGCCTGGTAAGCTCTGTAAACTGGTGCGACGGGAATGATTTGCGGATCGCGCTGGCACCGGGCTGGTGGGAGTTCCTGGTATAGGCACCCAGTCGTCTGAAAGGTTGTCGAGCCATGGTTGGTTGCTCATTGTCGGTTTGCTTTATGACCGCAGTGTTCGCGCGTCGCGATCCCACAGTTGCAGTGAATGCAAACAGAAAGGTAATAATAACATAGAGTCCCCACTCATGCAGCTGCAATATCCGTCAAGGAAGGGGGAAATCTTAATATATAATTAAACATGGAAGTTCAGAGGGGTTGGGTAGTAAGTTGTTGTAGCATAATTCTGGTTTTATTATTTGAAGTGGAGTTTGAGGCGCTTTGAATTAACAAGCAGATCGATAAGTTAGTTCGTTTTGGGTGGTCCGGGCAACCCCAGAAGTATACCTTAAAAAAGAGAAGTTTCCACCTGTTCCACCAACAACTCTTGACTAAAAAAATGAAAAAACAAGGGAAAGGTAGAAAAAAAGAAAAATCGACCACACAGTAGATAGATCTATCATTCCCACGCGCATCCCCCATATATCAATTTTTGCTTTTTTCTCTATTGCACTTATCCATGTCAACTCACTCGTGCCTTACGTCGGGGAAATTCCGCTATAACCCAAAGCAGAAGTCATTGAGATTTCCCACCATTTTTGTCCAAAAAAAAAAAAAAAAGGATGTACGCTACTCCGTACATACATCCACTACAGAGTATGTGTTGGCAGTGGAAACTGGATTGAATTGCTGAGGGCCAATGGAAGTGAGGAGGAGCATAAGTCCTCATCCTACTGGCAGGCCACAACCCGCTGCAAGGCATCAATATGGATGCCAGGGCTCCAAGTGTTTCGGGCAATTTAATTTGGTAAACATGAGTTGGACATTATTGTCAGGACCAAAACATGTGCATGTATTCTTATTGTTCATCAATGGCAATTGATTCCACCAGAATTGATGTCGCCCCTTTATTCTTCATTCTTTTTATCCCTCTTTCTTTATTTTCTTTTATTATTATTATTATTATTTTTTTTTTTTTTTTTTTTTTTTTTTTTTTTTTTTTTTTTTTTTTTTTTTTTTTTTTTTGGAATTTTTTCCTCGCTCATTTGTTGATGGACTTTCGATCAATTAAGGCAGTTAGCTTCAACCCATCCCGCTATTTGTTGTCAGTTTGTTTCATTTTAGGGGGGAAAACTTCCAATCCGACCTCCAACCTGTATCCTCTACCCAACGGCATACGACCACAGTTCAAGGTTAGCGCACAAGAGTTGTACCTCCGTCTTCACGAAGTTGATAGGTATTGCTCGTTAAATCTTCATACTTCGCATATTCCAGTTCCAATATTTCTGCCATGCCAGATACAATGAGGATTTTGTCTATTCTCCAATGGCAATCTAGAAGGGCGGTGCTTGGGCGGGCTATTCTGTTAGTTTATCTCCATTGAATTCCACTGTATCAGGAAAGAATTGTCTGGATTTGTCTGCAAGACCCCAATACTTCTTTATCTCATAGATATTAGATCCCGATAATACACTATAACTTAGCAACCCGCAAAGCTTTAGTTTAGTTATACTATCTTAAACTAGTGATTTCTGTTCTTATACTACGCCGGCTGAGCAATTCAATTATTTGAACAGTTCCAGCAGTTCCAGCAGTTCAAGCTAGGGATAGAGTATAGAAGTAAGATTTATAAATAGGCAGAGAGAGAAATTAGAATTAAGGAAGAGCGTAGAATACAAAATAGGCGTACTACCATACAATATAGTAGTACTACAGGTGTATAAGAATACAATCACGTGTTACTTGAATGAGCGGCCAATCAGAATGCAGAAGCCTGGAAAACCACCCAGAAATTGCAGAGCGGCCGGGCGCTTTGCAAATAATCCGCATTTAGCTTTGTCCAACACTAGAAGTGTCAACATCGTCGGGCCTTCAATAATCCAGCATCCACCACGTTGCTGCGGGAATCAGTGGCGGGCGCGTTAAGTGGTTTGCTTCGCGTGACCACACCGGAACTTCCACAAGAGCTAAGAAAAGCTTTGATCTGACGCAAATGGAGCATTATCGGTCCATTACCATTGCAGTACCCAACAACACATTGTTGCAAAAGATATGAGGATCTCTCAGCCGCTCTCAACCTTCAAGTTCTCGGTCGCTCAAATGCAGTCAGTATTCGACTGCTGCTGCACAGTAAACAATCATACCCATTGATGATTTCATCCCACCCAGATGCCACCTCGTCGACCGGTGTCGCCGCTTACTCTGGAAACATGCTCTCCGCCGACATCCGATCTAGACAACAGTGGTCTTCTTGGCTCCGACGATGAACTGAATGACGAGGAGCTTGATGCGCAACGTCAGAGGATTGAGAAACTTGCCGAGTCATATCTCCAGGGCAAACCCCTCTTCATTCTCTCCGCTTCTCTACGGGGGCGCTTCGATGAAGGCTGGGTAAACCCTTGGAAAACCAATAGAAAACGAACGATACCGCCTGACCACAAGACGATACGGCCGCCCAAAGAGCCCGAGATTCCAGCTAGCCCTGTGATACATGAAACCAACTCTCGGAGAAGAAGAACATACCAAGAGCCCCGGGAAAAACGCGATTCGAGGCCACCCACTGTCGCTCCAGATTCAGATGTCCGTTTTTCGGGTCACAGTAGAGATGCTTCTGCTCCCCTCGGTCGCTCGCGTGATAAACGAAAAAGGAAGTCAGTTTCTCCGAGCACGCCTCGGACGTCAATACCGTGGGCGAGGCCAGTTGATTCGAACGCACAGTTGCAGCTTTCCAGCACTTTGAAACACACAAGTGAAGCTTGGTTAAAGAAAGACCGGAAACAGGTTAGCTTTCAAAATGTTGACCCCCCCACATCACCAACAACAACATTGTCATCCCGCTACTCAACCAAGAGTCGCGCCTCTAAAGACGCTAGAAACAACAGCCAGACTACATCTTTTGAGCATCAAGACGGATCCTTTTCAGAACGTCGCACATCATTTTCCCCTGAACATGATGGCCCCGATCCTGACCCTCTCGATGTCAGCCGGATCCCAAACAGCATCGCCTCTTCCCCTGCCAAGCAGCAGGACCTTCCCGGTCTTGGAATTGAAGCGGCCACATCCGGTGCCGTGAGGCAAGGCCCTTCATTTTGTGTCCTAGCGCCATCGTCGCATCTACCGCAATTTGAGTACCGTCGGAGGAAGCCCCGTGTCTCCAACGAAACAAGAAGCTCTAAATCCCCTATCGCCGGGGATATGGACGCTGAAGAAGCGCCACGCCCATCAGATTGCACAAAAGGTAGCCAACCTGCAGAGAAAGAGGCATTATCTCCACAAGATATGTTTTTGGCTCATCCCAATCGACATAGCCGGTCTGAGGTCGACAAAGACCCTAAAGACCTTTTCATTTCTACTAGCACTACAAAAGCGATTGGCAATATATCTGTTTCTCAGTCGGCGAAGTTTCGATCTACAAGCACTGTGAATAAGGGGAACACTAGTGAGAGGTTACCGTCAGCTCAACAAGTGCATGCAAACCCAACCATGACAGACATCACGTCCTTGCACTCGATTGCAGTACCAAGAAGCAACTCAGAGTATGACGGTGACACCATCCCCGATCCTCAATTCTCTACTCAGGCGGCTCTCCTTCACGCACAGAGGTCGTTCCAGAATGACCTCGACAGCCCGGAACATGATATAGCATATCCAGAGAGGCAGCACACTCCTAATTCCTCCAACCTTTCTTCGCCTATAGCGAAGGATACTACTCCTTTCCATCGACTGTCCACACCCAATAGAGCTGGGGCAAGTAGTGGGGTCAAGGCACCTATGACTGCCGGCCAGTGGCAAAGCACCCAGTGCATGATTGATGCGGTTACGCCGTTTACCTTCAGTACAGAAAAGAAGCCAAACCGTCGGACTATGTCCCCAGTGAAGCACTTAACAGGTAGAAAGAAATTAAAAACTGCCAGCTTTAAACTATCATCACCACCCTCGTCAGCTTCTAGTGAGGTACATTGCGAACAGGACAATAGTTACATACACTCAAGTCCTCTTCACCGTCGGTCTCCTGGGCATGAGACACAGCATAGCGTTCTCCCAATGACATTAACGGGGACAACACCACCCACCGCTCAGGAAGGGCAGCAGGGCTTTCCAGGTGCCGACAGCTTTAACCTTACTCAGGCGATCGCCGATGCAGGCAGCTGGCTGCAGCAGAGCTTCGACCTCAATAGGGATCTCAAACTCTGTGAAACTTCCAAGTCTGGTCCAACTTCTTCGACTGGCACACGGCAATCTGCAATGGGCGCGGATGGTAAAAAGTGACAGACATCATATAACCAGGCTTTTCAAGTGTTCATAAATCATATATCACATTTTCCCAGACGGAAAACACGACGGAGCTGGTCTTCCCTCGAGGCGGCAGTCCTCTGTGTCTCTATATTTGGCCTTCTCATTTTTCAAGATTTCACCTGTGACGCATTTACGATTTGATACTTTGTAAATAGAGATATATACCCTCGCTAGCCACCAGTCCTTTCTTACAGTCGCATATTGTCAAATGCTCTAGACATACAATCTGATTATTCTAGTAGACTGTGCTCAGATTACCTATCTGCATAGCGATTGGAAATTATATTTCATGGCACAGTCCCTGCATACATGGTCTTCAAACCATATTAGGACAACCCTACTCTGTCTCCACGAACTAACAAGGCAATCGTCGAACCCTCACGGACTCTAAACTCCTCATACCCACAAGCCCTAAGGATCGCCGAAATCGCATATGAGTGGACCGTAAGAGAAATAAACGAACTAGAATCTTGCGCAAAAAGCTCCTCAAGAACTTTCTGCTTCCTGGCAACATGCTCCTCAACAGACTCCCACCGATCCGGGCTCCACAGAAGATCTTCTTCCGAAAACCCAGACTCAATTAAGTAAGAAGGATAATGGCCTTCAATCCACGTCCGTGTACTTCTCTTGTCGCACGTATGATCCGTTAATCGCTCCCTCAACAGCTCCTTTACTACAGGCTGAAACGGCTCTCCAGATTGCTCCATAGGTTGGGAGAACACGAGCCGCGTAGTCTCAAGACATCGCGCCAGAGGGCTCGTGTATAGCGATTCTGGAAGTGGTACCTTCTCCGTAGTCACAGCATCTGTCCAGAATTGGCTCAGCGCTTCCGCTTGTTGGATGCCGGCTTCGGTTAGCTTTGCATCTACCCAAGAGACGGTACCGTCTCCGTCGAGGTGGGACCAGTAGTTCTGATTTTATTAGTGAGGTTGACTAGATAGGTGAAATAAAATGGGGAAGAGTGATCACATACATTCCATGCTTCTCTGCCGACCTTTGCTTCGAAGACATTGTGTATACCGAGGCCATGCCTGGTTAAATAGATGATCTTATAGGTCACGCTGTCTGGGCTTTCTGTGTTTAGTTGGTTTATATACGCTGTGAATCGTTCCCACGGCTTCTTGGGTTCAGCGTCTGGCTGGGTATTGCTTGGTGCGCTGTAGGGTTGGTCGATAAGGCCAAGGCTCGGCTGGGTGGTTACTTTCGAGTCTGGGCTTTGTCTGGCGATTTCGTGGTAATTTACGAAGAACTCGGGCATGAGTTTGAACTTGTAATAAGATACTGTTGCTCTTGGTTGCTCCATTCTGGTTATTTCAAGTAGAGGGAAGGCTAATAATCATGGGAGCTTGACAAGTTGAGTACAGCACGTCATAGAATACTTAGGCTTAGATATGCAACTGACGTCTCAATAGAGCAGAACGAGACAGCCTCCAGGGCTGGGGCGAAGTAAACTTTGCCGTTTTGGGTATGGTGCCAGATGCACCAGGGCACTGCATCTCAGCTGGCATGTACATGTGTACATGATTAGTACCTACATATTCCACAAGTATGTTTTCAAATGCTTAACCCTTAGCTATGAGCGGGAGACCTTCACTTCCCAAAAACGGTATTCTTATACTAAGCAGCATTATAGTACCCTTTCCATTTGTCTCGTCTTAACGCACGTGGATGGTAGCTTGGATCCCTTGGTGTAGCATACACCCAAATACCTGACTCAACTGTTGATCTGCAACACTCCCGACCACAGCTATGGAGAGATGTTCCTTGGCTAACGCTCCCAAGCCCAGTGAGGATGCTTGTGCCTGAAAATACCGTGACTGCTCATGAGTCGGTGTTACGTATGACATTAAAATCTGTGGTACGCCATCGCTATTGCGTGCATAGAGGCTCTGTTCAGTCAAGCCATTGCCAAATACGGTTCGGTGTTCGCTGGTGGGCTGCCCAAAAGGTTGCTGATAGATCTCGAGCATCACAAGACTTTCTTGTGGAACGATGATAGGATTGTATGTCGCATTTCCCATAATGATACGCTGATCAAGCACAGTCGCTGCTTGGGGAATTTGAGACCGCCGAGGTACAGAGTTTTGCTGCCAGCAAATCGACATTGCACTGAGGCAGGACAGTCAGGAATAGTGGAATAAAAGACCCTAAGAAAACCATTGCTTACCGGTTCCTGAGTTCTAATATTGGCCATCCTGCTAACTCTGTCTGACCGTAGTTTGATTGATGGCCATCATGAGCAACTACATCTAGCAGCTCGATGTCCTGCGGGAGACTCGTAAGATGACGCCTGGCAGTTTCGCAATGGATTCAACTTACATCCGCCTCTTCCCGGCTTCGGCTGGCGACAATTGGATGGAGAATTTGCGCCCAGTGCTCCGAGCATTCTTTTGTCTCGTTATATGTGTGAGCATTCACTCTGTATATCCATGTGGGGAGGAGATACTCACGGTCAGGATTCCTTGTTTTAACTGAAAATGAAACCTCGTCCCATCTAACAAACAGTGAGTCTATATCCTTGATACAACGGAACAACGACGTCGATAACACTCACTCGGGTCCGTATATTGCAACAGCTTCCCTTAATCGCGTCTCTTCATCTGACGCCCAAGGCCCTTGCACCCAGCGACGGTCGATCTTGAACCATCTCTTGCGGCAATCTCTATTCGTCCTCCCTGGTAATGATTGTGCAACCAGCTTCCATGCGATGGTATCTTTTCTGGCTTTCTTCGGATCTGATGGAGGAGACTGGTCCTCCCCACGAATCGTGCAAGTGTGGACAGTCCTGAAGAGGATTCCATCTTCCTGAGCAGTCCACCATATAGGTGGACGTCTTCGACTAGAAGGTGGGTTTTTGCTTTTTCTCGCCATTGCTGGATCAGGCCGTCCTAGTTCTTCCTTGCAGCCCACGAAACTCACGATGGTTCTAATGAAAGATCAGGCTTCATGCCAATATTTATATGTGTGCAACCAAGATATACTAGGGAAAATGTTATAGCACCATAAGTATGGGAACCTAATAGTGTGGCAACCTCCCAGACAACACGTCAACGCCACTACGCTATAATCCGACACTGTATACACTCTCCGGTTACATGATCGAAATTCTAGAACTGATAGAAGAAACTATAAGAAGGTACCGCACCCCTGAAAGTCTCAGGTGGAATGCGTACTCTATTCGCCAATTCAATATGGCTCACGCAGATCCATGGGTATGGAACCGTCCAGAAGCCACTTCGCTTTAAGACAGGAGAGTCAGCTCCTTCGTTATTTCTGGCGATCATACATATCTGTTCATTTGTCAGTGTTTTCAGACACCACCCTCCCGCTACCACTTATCCTACCTAGTTTAGTCACCATGCAGCACACGTATTCCAGAAAGCTCCGCACTAACTTGGTTTCAGGAGCTGAGAAGAGGGCTGAACGTCTAATGTTAGAACACGAGCATGTTAAAAACATCATCAATTATGGTATAGCACCTGCTCAAATTCTTTGTAATTTGACGCTCAAAGAAGCCACACAGTGAGACTAGCCCAACCATGTCCCTGGGTAGTCTCACCTTTGCTCGTATTCTTGAGACATCCCCTTCCACGGTTCTACATGGATGTCTGGCGTTGCCATGCGCTGAAATACCCAAAGTTTGTTGATTCTAGAACACACAAGGACGTATCTTTTGGTCCTTAGAAGAAGCTAATACCGGATACATGCATATTCTGAATCCTGGCACCATACACTCCTTCCTTAATAAGCATATCCTGTTCCACTTCCACCAGTGAAGCCCAAGCTACCTCGTCAAACCAGAGGGCTACTGATTAAATCTCAGGGGCTGTGGCATGCCGAAGCAAAGCGAGATCACACCTTGCAGCTGAAGAAATTTCTGTAATTCTAAATAGCTGTAATTGGTAGTGTAGGAACATTGCCAGGGGAATTCAGCAAGTATTGAATTCTGTGACCAGCGACATTTTGTAAAGCAGATACCCGATCCCTTAAGCAACCACTTGTAGCAATTTGTATAATGATAAGGGTATTCGGACAACACATTCGAGGAAGATCAAATGGATTGTTGTAGACAACAGAAGGAATTTGTCCATCTTCCCAAAACAGACCGAACCGTGACATTGGAGGGAATCTTGATGATCACGTCAGTCGTCACTCATAGTATAAGCCTGGATTGTCAATCGCGGCGACTAGTTCATCGAGTCGTGCCAACCGGAATAGGCTTGATATTGGTCCAAGAAATCTTGAACTTGTTCCAAGCTCAGGATCGATCCATTCTGCGATGTCGGTTGGCAGTGGACCAGGATAGCCGACGACAAAGCTCCAAATTGGACGAAAACCGGCAGCAACAAGCTCTTGAGGATCTCGTTAGAGGTCTCCAAAAGAGAATTCCAGTCTATCTGTTGAGGGCATTTTGGACTTTGTTTGGGGGGGCCTCGAGGGGATTTCGGATCAGTGATATGCTCGATGTCAGGCTTGGGGGAGTCATCCTGGTGGACACTTGAACGAATCGAGGGATAATGGTGCAAAGTGGCTCAATTCGTGGATTTGGTCCACCTAAGTTCATTGCAAATATGCTGGGGCTTCTTGAACTTTGAAAATTACATTCCTCGAATAGCCATCTACAACAGGAAGGCGCAATTCACTTAACAGTGAATAAATCAGAGAGGAGAATAGTGAGAAGGAATTGAAGTTGTCTACTATGGGGTGCAATTGCCAATAATCTACCTGTACTTAGCAAGGTCATATTGACATATCTTAGTGATGAATGCTATTATCCGTAACTATACAGGCCGTAGTTCAAAAGTTCTACGGGAGGATACAATTCATTGCCTGAGGAGACCAAACTGCACTGTGCGCCCCTATGGTCTCCCGTAGGAGCTATACCCCACTTGACAGCCACTCCATGAAGCTAGATCGGATTGATACCGACTAATCGATAAGTCATTCAGAGGGACCTCCAACCTCACTCGGTATCCTGTTTAAGATCGCATCACCTTGACTCTCGTGCTGTACTTTCGCCCCTTATACCACATTCTCCACGTTCAACATCTCTCCTCCAGCTTACCTACTATCATTTTGTTCGAGTGGAATTTGTTGTGCGGGGTATACAGCCATGGCGGACCGACAGGCAGTCCAACAGAACCTCAATGGTCTGCTCTCGAAATTGGATGATCCAGATCCTGACATGAGGTACATGTCGCTGAACGATCTTCTGGGGATTCTCAATAGCCCCACCTCTGCATATTTGGCGCACGATCAGTTTTCCTCATCACGGCTGGCGGACGGCTTGCTCAATGCCTTGGATGATCAACACGGCGATGTTCAAAATCAAGCATTGAAATGGTTAGTCTATGGTGCACGCCTTGCATTTCGTACGTAGGTCGAATATATGGTTGACTATAATCATCAGTCTCGGTCCACTTGTGAATCGACTGCCTTCCGAAAGCCTCACTACCATCCTCGAAAAGCTCTCGAACCTGACAGCATCCCAAACCATCGATACCTCAGTTCCTAACACCGCTCTACGCGTCATTGTCACCGCCCTTCCCCGTCCTCAGTCTGGGCAACCACCTACTCCAGATGTCTCCATGGCTTACTCGTCTGTCTCCAAGATTCTCATCCCCCGCTTGACCGGTCCTACACCATCTCAGTCTGGCAGAAGAGGCTCCGTCATCAAGGGCATGCTAGAGAAAGATACTTCCAAGGGTTTTAGCAGCGATGCGATTGATGTTCTGATTCAGGTCGTCACCTGCTTCGGGCCACTCCTCAAAGAGGCCGAGTTAACGGCTCTCCAGAAATCAGTGATGTCGATCATCGACAACGACACAGCTGGTACCGTAGTTACGAAAAGAGCGCTGGCCGCTATTTCCGCCTTGGTACCTCATTTTTCAGAGGCTCAGTTCAGCTCGTTCGTCGACGAACTCGTCAAGAGGTTCAATAATCCACAAATGAGCGTCGTGCACCGAAGGCACCTCATTGCCACAGTCGGTAGCGTCGCAAGGAGCAGCCCGACCAAGTTCGGTCCCCATCTTCCGACACTCGCTCCGTTTGTTTTTGCTACCGTTGGTGAAGTTATCGCGACTTAGAATACTAGATACAAAAAAGATTAATCAAGCTAGTTGAATGAATTTTTTCGGATACCCTCCGTCATTCGTCCATTTCATAGTCTAATAGGATAGCAACCATAGAGTAGCTTGTACCAATGCAGAAGAGATTTGAGCAATAGCACCAGTCCCTTTTTATCATTCCCTTGGTATATAAGGTAATTAATCTATAATTACAAGACTGAGGGAATTGGATTGCTGCTACGAGTCAAGACAAGGAAAAATAATTGCACATTGGTGTGTGTTGTTGGGAGCCAGAATGCCAGCTATATATATGTCGTAACCAGGTTTCTGCTAGCCTTTAGCGTTTGAAATCAATCAGTGAAGACTTAAATTGAATTTACTGTCCAGTCACAAGCTTTCTTTTTTAAAAAGATTTTCACTCGTTATTCTTCATTCTTTTCGGTTGCACGCCTTTCCTATTCCATCCTTTCTTTATTTGGTGATAATTAGTTTGTTCTATGTATGAACTCAGGAGTCAGGGGAGCGCTCGTATGGCTTGTCATACCACTCATACGGTATGTATAACAAGAGATTGTAGTATGCCAATAAAATATTATAAAATTAGGTATTGACTTTCGGTATTACTAGCCCAAAAGTGAGATATGGTTGAACAATCTTTCCCACACCTCAGTTGAAGCAACCACCTATAGAATGTACCCAAAGCGGGTTCATCGACGGCCAATATAATTTCCTGATCAATTTCGATATGGACTCTAATGTTATGTGTCTCATGGTTTGCCCGCATAATGATGGTGGTATGTTCATATTATGTTGAATAAAGTACTGATTGCGCGAGTGACAAAGTGGCTATGCGATGCAAATGGCGTGGAGTGTCTAGAAGTATCGTGGAAAAGGATAGCTCTGTGGTCGCAACTTATACACGAACATGTGAAGGACTCCAGAGCAGCTAATGTTCCGACTATCTGGTGCGATTGCTCCTCGCTCCTGCCATGATACCAGGATCATACTGCGCCTTCCTTAGGGAGCAATGCTCGCAATGGGTGAGCATCCATGGACTATCTTCCATGTTGATTTCCGTCCTTCATCATCTCACCACTCACTCTTATCCAAGCACTGCACCATATACAAACCCATCTCGTATTATCGTCTATATTATCAGATACATCTCACTTATCCTCAACTGATACCTCAAAAATGCACTTCAGTCGATTGATGACCATCGCCAGCACCATAGCATGCTCAGCCGCGCATGCTACCCTTCAGCCAAGCAGTACGCTCGAGGGTATTGATTCGATCACTGAGCTTGACGGGAATGATATCCCCCATGCTTTGGTGGAACGTAACCCGCAGGCCCGATGCGGCCGTGGCTTCGGCAAATGCTCCGATGATGGTTGCTGTTCGACTGCAGGTTGGTCTTTCACTTTCGCGCAAAGAAGGCTAGGTTGACAGGACCTAGGCTACTGCGGGAAAACAAAAGCCCACTGTCGCTCGCCTGATTGCCAGATCGATTACGGCCATTGCGATGCTCATATGACGCCTGACGGACCCCCAACGTCCGGTATCCCTCGACCCACAATTGGCAAGGTTCCATACGGTCCCAAAGCTGTCCGGTCATGCGTTGGGGCAGGAAATGTTGCCTTGACATTCGACGATGGCCCGAACAAGTACACAGAGGATCTCCTCGATTTGCTCGACAAGTACGATGCAAAGGTGACTTTCTTCATCACAGGCAACAATAACGCCAAAGGACCCATAGATACGCCAGGCATGCCCTGGGCCTCGATGATCGAACGCATGTATCAGAGTGGACACCAGATCGCCAGTCATACCTGGTCGCATCAGGATCTTAGCAAAATCACACCAGAACAACGCCGAATTCAGATTCTGTGGAATGAGGTCGCTCTCCGAAACATTTTGGGCGGTTTTCCAACGTACATGCGTCCTCCATATTCCAGTTGTACTGCGGAATCCGGCTGTCTGAAAGACATGGGTAATCTAGGGTACCATGTCATCCTGTATGACATTGATACCGAAGATTATAGCCATGACAGCCCCAATGCTATCCAGGGTTCCAAGGACATTTTCGACAAGAATCTGGCCCGTGGAAAGGCATCCGACAAGTCTTGGCTGGTTATCGCTCACGATGTGCACGAGCAGACTGTTTATAACCTCACAGAGCATATGCTCAAGAAAGCCTCCAAAGACGGCTATAGTATGGTGACTGTCGGCGAGTGCCTGGGTGATCCCGAGGAGAACTGGTATCGTATGGATGAGAGCTCTGAGCTTACTATCCTTCGGAAGGCCAAGCCCCTCGGTACTGCCAACCATGCCGTTTCGCGCGACGGTCACTGCGGTGGGAATGTTACCTGTCTGGGGTCGAAGTTCGGATCGTGCTGTGGCAAGAATAACTATTGTGGGAATACTCCCAAGCATTGTGGGGCTGGCTGCCAGCTCAATGCTGGTCATTGTCAAAAAGCTAGACATACATCCTTTGTTCACAAACATAGACCTGAAAAGCGTCCCGCAACATCAGGGGCGAACACTTTGCTGCAACCTGGATCGGAAGTTGCGGATTTGGTTTTATTTGTAGCAATGGCATGGTTGATGGGATGCCTTGGCCTCTTATTTTGACCCTGGTTGTAACCTTGGGATGATGGCTATGAAGTGATTAATCTCTATACTGGCTTGTCAGCGTGTTCTTTTGTACTTAGTTAGGTTATTCTTCCACTAATGCTCCTGTTGTCCGGATACTGGTTAGGACTGACATGGTCCACTCGTTTATGAAGAATGCAGTTCGTAACTCATCTCATTTGACATTATCACTTCCCGTACCATCGCGGTGATTGTATCATATACACGTTAGGAAAATACACATATTAAGAAGACAGTATAGCCAGCCGGTCGACGAACTCAACTATGGGATTCGAATATAGTAAACAAGTGAAGGGTCTTCAAGAAGATGGCTAAACACGCGCGTTTTGGTAGGGATGATTACCGCCGAACAATCTTCAACAACGGAGCAATCCTGGCTCTACGACTCAATCCAACGCGATAGGGCACTTTCCCCGTGGAGATTGGACTGTGTTTGCCGGGGCCTTTGCTCGCACCGTTGCCTGAAGCATCTGTATCCGCCGCCCCGGGAGCCGTAGAGGGTGTTTTCGGCTCCGAACCAGACTTCTTGGGTGTTTCGGGCGGGTTCTCGTGTGTAGGCAACACGGGTGTCGATTCAGAGTGAGTATTCTCTGAACCAGCCTGCAGATCGCATGATACATCAATGCTATCTGAACTATCGACGGTATTCTGGTCGACTGCCGTATTCGTAGTATTGTCGACCGTGACCGAGACAGTCTTTTGATCTTGTTCGACATGGGTATCCGACCATTTCCCTATCTTGTCTCTTGGTTCCTCCTCGATCACCGGATCGGAGGTTTTCTTCCGCTTGCGTCCGCGTTTCTTAGGTTGCGGAGCTGGCTCAGTTTGTCCTGTTGTATTGTCTGGTGGGGTTTGTTTGCTATTAGTAGGGACTGTAGGGTGTGAAACTCCGCTGGTTAGGGGATGTTGTTCTTGCTGGAGAATGACGGGCTTTGGTGGAGCATCGTCGATCCATATTACGTCGTCTTCGATATCTGGGTCGTAGGTTTTCTGGAGAGTTACGGAGGTGGTTTTGCCCCGTTTTAGTTTCTTCTTTTTTGGTTCTTTTGGTGCTGGTTCCCGAGTGTGTAGGGTTTCCGTGGGTGCTTGTTGTGGTGGGGATTGTTGGTTGGGTATCTCGATGTGGAAGTTGGTGGTTCCTGCTGCGTGGTTTTGGGGTATATCGGCTGAAAGACTAGGGAGTTCTGGCACATTTGGAGGAATTTGTGGTTCTGGTATTATGGTTGGGTGGGCGGATTGATCATCGATGTTCAAAACGTCATTGTGCTCTGCGTCAGGCTTTGGATTCTTGGGTGGCCGGCCTGGCTTGCGCTTCTCGGGTTTAGTATTATTTGCTTCGCTAGTGCCCTGGTTCGCTGGACGTGGAAGGTCTGGAGTTTCAACAATTTCCGCTGGATTTTGCTTCTTTGGACGACCTCGTTTCTTTGGTTCTGTGGGTGTTTCAATAGTGACAGGATGAGGTACCTGATTGGGGGACTCTGCATGTTGCTGTACGTCGGGGTGTGGAACTAGAACAACGTTTGAGACCGCATTGTCACTTTGCGAGCGAACGGCTTTGGGAGACAATAATGAAGAGTTCGGTTCGGTGTCGTGCGGCGAAGAGAGCATTCCTTGCATGGAGTTCCACCTCCGGGCACCATTCTGCAGGTCGATCTGCAAGGCGTCGTCGGGTCTCAAGAACGATATTGGATCGGGATTGGAGCTTCGGGAGGGTTGTAATGATGATTCGAAGAGATTGTATGACTCCGCGGACTGGGAGAAGTCATTGCTCAGGAGACTTTGAGGATGGTGTTGTTCCGTATGTGTGATAGGTTCGTATTGGTGGGTGACTGTGTCGTTTGTTTGGTACATATATTCCGGGCCACCCCCGAGTCTATTGCATTCTAAATGCTGTGGACCATTGATGCCGATAGACGGGACGAGATGTATATCATCCATATGTGGTAAAGTAGGCTGTATCGGTTCCGATTCAAGGGTAGTATGTGGGGGAAGATGCCGATTGGCGTTTTGAGCATCATCATCGTCGAAGAGCCGTTGCTGCGCGAGACCAATCTGTGTCATCATTGACCCTATCGCCATGTACGTAGTGAGTAAATGGTAGATGACTCAGTTTATCCTGCCAATGCGGAGTACTGGACTGGTAGCGCAATGCTCACCTATTGAACCGCCGCCCCCCGCTTCATTCGGGATCCATCTTTCTTCTCTCCGTTGCTGGGAGGACGATGGTCCATTTGGCGCTGTTTCCTGGGATTGAAGAAACACATCGAAGTTGATTGAGATTGGGTGATTGGGCTCCTGTACTTGGGCTGTTATAGGGTCATCTTGTGCGACTGAATTGAAGGCGTTATCGTTGTCAGCTGGATGCGTCGGGTTGGCGCGGGGTGGGAAGTCCGCTGCCAACGGATCGTCCTCGTCATCGGAGTCTTGGATCACCCGGCCGTGGGACATGGATCTAACTTATATGTAATAACGTGGAGAAAAGTAGGAGATAAACTAGACATTGGCTGCGCTTTGGCAAGGCAAATTCAATGGCTTATCACGCGTCGTGGCCGATTGGGTGCGGAACTGACGCGCGTGCACGTGATGATAAGATTATGTTCATTTGATGCCCATAATTTGACATCAAGACGTAAGCTTGGATTGGGTATGTCTGTAAACATAAAATTCTAAATACAAAAGGTATCATGATGCAAGCATTGAAGACACATCTTCATTCCATGGTGCTCTGCGGCCGCATTACCCCCCTTCCGAAGAACTCACTGATGACCCCAAAGCCATCCTTCGACCGTTGGAGCTCCCCTTTGAAAAGTTCATGTTGATCCGCTGACTCCACCTGTCTCTTGCGGATGGCTCTGATAGTGGAGTTCTGAGGGGCGCAGACTGGACACTCGGCTTCCTCATCGACCTTGTTCAGACACCGTTGGTGAAAAGAATGCTTGCAGAGAAAGTGAACCGTAGGAAGGTCCAAAATTCCACCGCAGGACTTAAGTGCACACCGGCGAGCTTGGAAAACGACTGGTTTGCTACCTAATTGTTCAAGCTCCTTCCTCTTGGTCTCCGTTTCTGTGCTATAGCTGGAAATCAAACGACGATTCTGCGAAGATTATTAGTTCACGGCATGATTATTTTGAGGGCGGGGCACTAACAGTCGATATCTCTTTCCGTTCTCGCTCGATGTTATCACTCAGATACTTCTTTACTCGGCCCATAGTGACCACTGCGTTGTTGCTGAGCGCTTGGATGACTTGGAGCGGCGACATGAGTCCCTCATCATTGATGCGTTTGAGAACAACATCTAACTCCTCGCCTGCCTCTTCGAGGATCTTCGGGCTTGAAGCAAAATAAGTCAAAGCATCAACATACAACTGGGGTTCTTCCGGGCCATATTTCTTCAACGCTTGGATAGCTCCGCGTGTATCCTTTGCAGACGTAAACGAGCGGAAAATATCAGAACGAAGACCTTCCTGCTCCCGCACCAGAGTCGATCCCTCTCGGAAGCCCGAAAGATCTGAGAGTAACAAGACGCTGGATGTGGAGATTGGGATCTAGAGAAACATTAGTCAAGCCAAGAATGAGCAAGCCATGCATATCAGGTACATACATCCTTGCCCTCGATAAGTCTCTTGGCTTTAGTCTCCCATTCTTCCTTCTCGATCGTGGCTTTCTTGCGAGATGCCGTATCCAGGTACATCTCGAATAGTGTCGTATAAAGGTCCACTTTATCTTCTTCTTTCAGGCCGTTTTGCTTGATAAGCGCCTCTAGGAATGTAATAAACTCTTGAGGATGGCCCACAAAAGCAGAGAAGGCAGTTCGGGGCTTGGGGATCTGGTAAACCGGAGTATCATCTTCTGCCTTGTCCTCTACTTCGGGCGAAGGCTCGGTGGCTGTCGTCTTGGTGCCTGCACTAGAGTTCATCAAAGGGAGAGGAAGGAAAGCGGCCAGGCTTTGTAGTGTGCTAGTAGACTGCGCCTGTGGCTCGGGTGGATTCTGAACTTCCGTGATGGGTTTGTACTTTCCCTTGTAGTATTCAATAAAAAGCTCGGTCGTTCTCTGTGGGCAATTGGAGAGGAGAACACGAGCATACTTCATAAGGTTATAGTAGGCCTTGAATTAATCAGTATCATGCTGTGGAACAATGCTAATTATTAGTACGAACCAGTTCAGGATCAAGTCTCCAGATATATTCCACAGCCTCTGCATACTTCTTTGAGTCTTCAATCAGTATGTCAACAACCATGTCGTTTTCGCCGTACTTTGTAGCCAGGTAAGCGGCTTGCTCATAGTAGCCGCCCTGACGGCACATGGCAATAGCGGTTTCCAAGTCGAACTTTAATTCTCCGGGAGCTTTTATAAACTCGTCTAATTTGCCTGTGTCCTTGAGCTTAGCGTAGCAGTTCAAGAGTAATGTGGTGTGGTCGACTGTGGCACGATCATGGTCGTGTAACTCTTCAAGGTACTCGATTAGATTGTGGATACGCTGCGTATCCAGATACTATATTCATATACAATTAGCTATGAGTGTGCAATGTGTACATGGTGTTCCAACCTTTCGAATGACTTGTGATGGCTCTGTGTTGTCAATGGCGCGGAGGTATTGCTGCATGGCTGTGTCATAGTCACCCCTCTGGTACAAGAAGTCGCCATATTTACGGTAGATGGCATTCTGCTGCAAAGTGTCGACACCTTTCTTTTGTGCCAAATTAATAGCTAATATGTAGAGACTGCGCTGGTAGAGAATCTCAAGTTTTTGTTGCAAGCTCTTCTCACGATAGCGGTAGATCTTCATCAGGTTAGCATAGCCAAAATATTACGAAGTAAACCCGCATACCTTCCCGTCGGTAGTGAGAATGAACAGATCGCCCCACTCAATGAATACTTGTTTTACAGGGGATACGAGGGCCTCCGAGTGTGCAATGAACTTCAGATCCGTATCCAGCAACGTAAAGGTGGTTGTGCTGAAGATATCATTAGGCTGACTGACATCGAAGTTTCGCAAAGTACCCGAGTTCGAAGTTGCGACCTTTGGAGGACAAACCAGTGCGACATAATCCTTGAAGATGTTGATAGAATTCTTAGGACTGTCGAAGGCGTAGCTAGGCCCGCGCCCATGCGGCCCATAGGTATAAATGGCATCCTCTCTGGCCACAAGAACGTCACCGTTGTCTTTGTCCAAAGCCATACAGCCGAGAG